TACTAAGTATGTATGACGGTTGTTGAGAATGCGGCCAAAACGATGATCATTGTCTTATATATGCATGTTGATAATGCATAAAATGAGTCCACTATTTAAAGTGACGATATTGTATAAAGCTTGTCAAATTACCACGGTCATTATTATACGTGGAATATAATATTAAATTCAGTACTTAGAAATTATCACTTTATATATTTTAGGAGTGCTCCAAAACATTTTGGCCTTTTCAACTTTTTTTCAAACTTTTCTCAAACTCAATATTCCTTTCATTTCATTTTTTCGTTCCTTTTTTATCAATCCTTTTTTTATCTCGCATTTATTTAATAAACAATTTATGAGTTTTAATTTAATTTTCTTAAAATTAACATTTTTTTCATTTTTTACTTTTTTCTTTTAGAATGTAAATTTATTTTTTGACTTTATTGAGGATATTTTATTTATTTATTTATTTAAGAATTTACGGGCTATTGATGATATAAAATATTATGCTGCGTCATAAAAATTTAGAAAAAAAATTTATTAATTAACAAATTTTGTAATAGAATTTAAAATTTAGGAAAAATTGAAATTTTAACTTCTTTCATAATTTTTCATATTTTTTTCATCGTCAATTTTTTTTTCTTTTTTTACACTTTTTTCATCATTCTGAACAATTAATCCTGTAAAGGTTTTAAAAGAATTTAATTTTTTTCAAAATTTCTTTCATTTTATTTAATTTTTTTTATTAAATTATTTTCGTTTTTATTTCATAAATAATTTTTTATAACTTTTAATTTAATTTTTCTATATTTGAGGAAATTTATAGATATTTATTATTATTTTTTGATTCAAGACGTAAATAAAGTTATGTCTATTGGAAAATTTTTTTTTTTCCAAGAATTAGCAAATTAATTAAGATACAATGTTAAAATTTAAAGAACATTGTAAAAACCCTTTGAGAGATCTCGTCACGAATCTTGTAAAATATATAAACTGGGATGCGTGTGCAATTTAATAATAACATTGTCGAATAGGTCATTGAGTCTAACATTTCTCCTTATATTTCTCAGACAAATTATTCGATAATTTTTTTGGAATTTAGAATTATTAAGATTTTTTTTTTAATATAGCAGTTAATTTTTTAATGAGAAAAATTTTTCTAAAATAAATATTTTTTATCACTGCTTTTAACCCCATTCGCAGTCTAGTATAGAAAAATAGTTTGTGGGCCCAAAACGGTCCAAAAAAATATCATATCATCGTATTAAAAATTTTTTAATCGCTGAATCCAAATTTAAGGTCAGATTTAAAAAATTCAAATTGGCGGACCCAAGTTGGCGGAAAATTTTTAAGTTGATACGATTCGTTGAAAATTTGGTACTCGGGGTTTTTTGGGGTCGCTGAATTCAAATTTGATGTCAAATTTTAAAAATTCAAAATGGCGGACCCAATATGGCCACCCAATATAGCGGAAGAAATTTAAAATTAATTCAATTCGTTCAAAATTTGGTACTTGGGTGTTTTTTGCGTCGCTGAATCCAAATCTGACCTCAAATTTGGATTCAGCGACCCCAAAAACTCCCGAGTACCGAATTTTGAACGAATTGAATCAATTTTAAATTTTTTCCGCCATATTGGGTCCGCCATTTTGAATTTTTTAAATCTGACCTCAAATTTGGATTCAGCGATCGCAAAATTATATGGGCCATCGACTGTCGCAAGGGGTTAATCTACTTTTTAATTAATTTTTTAAAATTTAATAAAACTTATAATTAACTTTTTAACATTAATAATTAAATATAAATTTAAAATTCAAAAAATTTATTTAAATCAGAAACAAAAATTAAATATTGACTTTTTTTTGTTTCACAAAATATGATACACTGCGAGTATATAAAATTACTAAATATTGAAGTTTTATAAAGAATCATAGTAAAAGTTGATGACTGAATGATAATCGACATTTTTCGCCTCCTGAGATTGAGATCATCAACTATATGTAAATGCGAGTGCGATCCGGAGAAAAGTTCTCTGACACGTTAACGCGAAAGAAATTAAGGTCACTGTAAAAACAGGACTAAAGATTTCTTTATCATCAAGATTTATATCTTTCAATTTATTTAACAACAAACTCGAAGAGTTAAACATTATTTTATTCTTCCCATATTTTATTTGTTGCTTTTTTTCTTAAATCTTATTTTATTATTAAAATTGAATCAAACTAATAATACATACACCAGAAAAAGAATAATGCGCGGACTATATACGCTATTCCAGGATTTATTTTTTCACTTTTTGGCTTCGTTACGAAAATATTAAATTTGAATTCTTTTTTACATGAAAATGTTCATTTTAGGAATTAAAAAACTTTTAGTTGAATAAAACTGATTTATTTTTCTGCTATAATAATCGTTATAACCTTTAGTTTAGATGGATTTCAATCACGTGACCTAACAATCACACTGTGTTCACGTTGTAGAATGTAAATAGCACATTTTTCTCGCGCACCACATCATTTTTTTTGTGAAAACGGTAAATTTATATATATATATATATATATGAAACCAGATGATACGTTATTTGCCTAATAATACGAAAAAATAAGTATAATTATCGTCACTACTTTCTCTCTCAAATTAAAATTTTGTTACATCAACAAAACTTCCCAAGAAGCACGTAATATATCCTCAATATCAAGGTAATATTACACGTGAGATTCGTAATATAACGCTGTAATATTACAGTAATCTTACAGTGATCTTAAAATGTCCGCCTCAAGGTAATATTACCGGGAATATTACTGTAATATTAACGGTAATATTACAGACTGATTTGAGTTATTCATAAAGCATAAAAAACGTAAAAATATTATAAGTCAATTTGGCTTGTTGGTAAAACTCTGGACTCGTGTGCTTTGAGTTCGGGGTTCGATTCCCTGGATGGGTAGATTTATTTCGTAAAGAAATGTTCCCATAATATTACTGTAATATTCTCTTGTAATATTACCTTAATATTACGGTATAATATTACTGCAATATTACTGTAATATTACCTTAATATTAGCGCGTAATATTACAGTAACATTACCGGTAATATTACCTTGAGGCGGACATTTTAAGATCACTGTAAGATTACTGTAATATTACAACGTTATATTACGAATATTATATGTAATATTACCTTGATATTGAGGTTATATTACGTGCTTCTTGGGTTGTGTATTATTTAAATTTAATTGTCCAGTTTTTAATTCTATTATACTTTATAGATCTGGTTTTAATGAATATGAATTCGAGAAAATTATTCTGAGAGCGCTAATTTTAGTGTTAATTTTTTAAACTTTACAAACGAACAACATAACCCCAAAATATTATATATATGTTTTTTTATCTATCTATGATCTCTAATGGATTTTCTAGGTGATTGCATTTTGTAATCTATACCTTTGAGGTCTAATAATGTATATAGTTATTATTTCATATGAATTGACATTAGTAATTAGAAAATTTAATAAAGGTCCACGTCTAGTAATTTTACCATTCGTGGACGCCAACTTTTTGGAAGGCAGTCTTTAGGGTTGTAATTGACGGATTCTCGGATGTATTTATTGTCATGTTGCTCAGCTTTTTGAAATAACTTGATCGCTATTTCTTTTCCAAATTTGTGAATGTTTGATAAGTTGAGGTCTTTATGTAGTTGTATATTTGTTACAAAACAGGGTGCTTCAGTTATGGTTCTGAATATTTTATTTTGAATGACCTGTAATTTGTTAATGTGCGTTTTTGTCACAGAAATCCAAGTACCAATGTTGTCGATGTAGGCTGGTCGAATAACTGATAGATAAATCATTCTTTTATGATTTATACTAAGGTGAGAATTTCTGAGAAGAGGACCTAGCTTTTGTATAGTGCAATGAAGCCAATTTTCTTCATTTCTGCTGTATGATGATTCCAAATGAATCTCTTGTCTATGTGTGTAGTCCCAGGTATTTTGCAGAATTTTTCCAAGAAATTTTGCTATCTATTACTTCTATTTTGTCAGGAGGTAGTTTTAGTCGGTTTGTGTATTACAGAAAAAACTCTGGGTAAATTTTATTGCGGGTAATTTTCACCAATGTTAATTCACATAGACGGTTGCGCCCTCAACTAGGATAAAATTTGTTGCAGGCAGGGATGGGTAAATGTAACAAACTCGAGGTTTTCTACGTATGTTACATGGTTTGTTACAGAGGTAAAATACGTATGTTACCCCCCCACTACCGAAAAATGCATTGTGTGTAACAAATTTTTGAAGTATCATACGTATGTAACATACGATAACAAACCATGTAATATACGTGAAGTATGTTACCTACCCATCACTGGTTGCAGGTAATTTTTATACCGATTTTGGGATAAAAATTCTACTTTTTATTCTTGTGATAAAACAGTTTGTGTTTTGTCCTGCTTGTTAATGGCAATTTTCCATTTTTGGTAAACCAGTTGATAAAGTTGTTTAAGTTTTTTTTTTTTTATCTTTTCAATCAACACAATGTACACTCGTCGCCAGATATGCCTACACTTTTTTGTCCTTTTCTAACTCATGTGTTGCCATGACAACACATGCGTATAAGACAAGAACAGAAAAGTGTACCGCATATACCGGCTAAAAGTATACTGTTTTGTACTTGGTGCACTCTACAGTGTAAAAATTCAATTTTATATTTTTGGCTATAGTAAATAGAATTTTGTGTTATCTAATTTTTTTTTAAGGAAATAATATTCGCGTAAAAGAATTATCCATTCCTCCCTTTTAATATAGTATATGGGATATATTGTGTTTTTTTTCTAATATCGCAGTCTATTTGCAAAGTGAAAAAGAATAAAAATAAAAGAGTAGAAAAATGTTTTATAAAAAGAGTTTGCTAAAAGATATTACAAGAATAAGGGGGGTAAAGTTTTGCTACTCCGGAGGATGATGACCTCTTCTGCAGCTATTGGTGCATCTGCTAAATAGATGACACGAGTCTTGTCACATGTCTAGTTTGCCCTCAAGCACAGTGTGAGCCGGGTTGGCTCTATATGCTAGTTCATAAAGTGGTGATATCGAAAAGTGAAGAGTGAAGACAACCCCAAATGGGAAAAAGGGTGACCATTCTTTTGGTCGCAGGTTTCCTCGTGGTCCAAAATTTGGCCCAATTGGAATCTGCCAAAGCCAAAAGACATCGACCCAAACCAACTCAACAGCCAAATGTTCATTCAGATTTATACTCGGAATATGAAGATTATTACGAGGAGTACGACGAAAGTAATGGTCAGTCTTTCTTTTTCACCTTTTTTTTTTTTTTCTTACTCCCTGAGAAATGATATAATATTTGTTTCAGAGAGACAAATAAATATTCATTTCTATTTCAAATAAATTTTATTTGCAGAAAATAAAAATTATATTTCTGCTAAATTAAATTTTGCCCAAACTAATATTTTGTTCTAAATTAAATTTTTTATTAAAAAAAAAAAATAGTGAGAGAAATATATTTTTATTTGATTCAAATAAAAGATTTCTTTGTGTGTAAATTTTAGAAATAAAAATTGAATGAAAACGTGAAGAATTATAATTTTTACCTAAGTAGATTTTAAAATTAAAAAAAGTAAAATGTATTTGTTAAATTTTTCTGTTAATATATGTTTTTTTTTTTGATAATATAATTAAAATAATTGGAGGTATATTTAAATTATTTATTAAACATTTAATTAAAATTCTAATTTTATAATTATTACTAAACAATGTGAGAAACTTTTTTTTTTTTTTTTTTTTTTTTTAATCTTCTGTAAAATTTTACTTATTATTAGGAAAAAAAATTTAATTAATTCAGTAAATATTTGTGAATATTAAAATATTGAAAGTGAATAAATAATATATTTTAAAATTGAAAGTTAAATTTTTTAAAAGCAAAATTAAAAAAAAAAATATTGAAAATATAAATTTTCAAAAATGAAAAAAAAAGTTTTTTAAATCGAAATGAATTTTTATTGATTTTGTATATGTAATGAACGATTTATTGAATGTAAAAGGGGTATTGCTCATGGTCTCAAGTAGTTTGGTTCTTGTTGAAGGATTTTATCTCGAAAGTAACTTCTTCTTCAGAGTATCATCGATTCGGTTTGTTTCTTTGACGACATACTTGAGTTCCAATATATATGAGAGCTGATTGCGTTTCTAATATATATATATATTGATATACCCTTTTAAATAATATATATATATATATATAGTCTAATATATTTTAAAGAACAAAGAAGATAATATGTGCAGCATCCCTCGTTATTACTTTTAATAAATTTTCTCAACGCGCGATACTAGTACAGTCATTAAACTTTGTCTAATAGCAAGTCACGCGAACTCGCGAATTATTATATCTTGCATACGTATCGCATAGATCATCTTACTTGCGCAAACTCTTTGAATTAAATTTCTCTATGATACATCTTTGTTTCTATTTATGAATATTCTGGACCACTCTTGGAAAGCATAAAATATTCTCCTCCACATTGGATTTGTAGAAAATTTTTGTAGCGTCGAATTACCAATTATGGAATTTTTAACGAAACTTAAGTATGCAACTTTTATATGATAAACAATTTTTAAAGAAATAATTTGCTTAAAAAATATTTTTTTTTATAATTTGTTGATTAATAAAAAAAAACAAAAGGAAATATTTTTTAGGCAAAAAATAATTATAGAATTATACATTCTAAATAATTATTTCTTTCAAAAATTGTTTATCATAAACGTTGCGTACTTCAGCTTTGTGAATTTTTATTTCATTGATTTTTACAAAAGTTGAACTTTATATTGAACTGAATTTCCATTTTTAATTAACCAAATTTTTTATGCAAATTATAATTTTTTTGCTGAAACAATTTTTTTAAAATTCCAGAAATTGAAAATGGTTAAATTCGATCAATTTGATTTTTTGGCAAATTAATTTTCGCCTAGATGAAAATTCTGATTTTCGACCATTTGAATTTTCTAGAACATTAATAATAATGGAATAAATGAATATTCTGAAAAATTAATATTCAATGTCTAATTTTTATTTTTCTACAAAATTAAGATTTTTTAAAATTATTATTCTGAAAAATTAATATTCTACGAGATATTTTGCACAAAAAAAATGATGAGGTTTAATCAAATTTAATTTCTGGAAAATAAATTTTCTAAATAAAATTTCTGCAACATTGATAGATAATCAGTTTAATGAAAATTTTCTACAAAATTAATAATTCAAAAATTTAATATTTTGCAAAAGTAAGTTTTTCTAAAGATTATAAAATTCTATCAAATCATAATTTAAAAATTTTTTATTTTTAGAGCTTATTCATTTCTTTAGTTAACAAAGGACCCAAATGATGCAAGAAAAAAAATATAACCTCATTTAATAATTTAAATTTACGTGGGTCAAAATTGGGGGTAGTGCCTCCCCTTAAATTTCAAAAGATATTGTTAATTTTCAAACAATTATTAAATTTTACAGAACTAAAAATAATTTATCAAACAATTTTTGGAAAACATTTTTTAAATTTAATTGAATTTTCAAAGATTTAAAATTGAGATTTTTGAAATTAATTGAAACTTTAAGTGTTTAGTAATTAAAATTTCAGATGATTTCACTAAAAATTTATTAGAAAATGCGGACAAAATACAATAATTTGAAAATCATTTTTAATTGAAAAATGGTTTCAGATAGTTGAAATTTCAAAGAATATTATTAAAATAGTTAAAAATAATTTAATTTCCTTAGAATTATAATTGAAATTATGGATATTTAAAAAAAAAAATTTCGATGGAAAATTTTAGAAATAATTAAATTTTAGATGCTTTTAAATTCAAATTATTGAAAATTCAATTAATTTTGAATTCAAATTTTTGAGAATAATGAAATTTTATTTGTTTTTAAATTTGGAAAAAAATTGAATTTCAGTTCATTTTGAATTGAAAATTTTGGGAAATAATTGAATTTTAATTGAAATTTTGGATAATAATTTAATTGAATTTCATTTTTGATTAAAAATTTGGATAATTAATTTTGAATAGAAATTTTAGAAAATAATTGAATTTTATTTCATTTTAAATTGAAAACTTGGTAAATAATTAAATTTTAAATTGTAAATTTTGGATAATTATTGGATTTTTAATTGATTTTGAATTAAAATTTCGGGTAACAATTGAATTTTAGTTTATTTTGAATTGAAATTTTTAAAAAATAATTCAATTTTATTGTGATATATTTTTTTTAAATTATAAACAATTGTTAAATATCATAAAAATTTTAATTGAAAAATAATTTTGATATAATTGAATTTTGAATTATTAAAAATAATTAATTTAGTGAAAAATCATTTTAGTTCAAAATTTGTTAAATAATTGAATTGAAGAAGATCTGAAGAAGATCTACATTTTATACTAAAAAAATGTATTTTATTTACATTTTTTTCAAATGTAAAAAAAAATGTCACATTTTATTAACGGAGTGGCTATTTCGCCCGTCGCGGGCGAACTAATTAATTTCTGTTATTTCGCCCGTCGCGGGCGAAATAGATACGACTGTGTGAACTGGCTATTTCGCCCGTCGAAATGAATGTGTTTTAGAAAACGGGCAAAATAAGAAAAATAGATTATTTCGCCCCTTCAAGATAAAATCGAGTATCTGGAAGACGGGCGAGTATATTATTTCGTCCGTTAAGTATAGACAGCTGTTTTTTAGATAATGAGAAAAAATAATTTTACTTTTTTTAAATATAACAAATAAGATGCATAGAAAAAAGACGTCTGAGTATAGGTCTAATATTATTTATTTTTATCTTTTGGAGTATTTGGTTTAATAAAATAGAAGAAATTTAAATAAAAAAAAAGTTCTTAAAAATTCTTTAAATTCTTAAAATTAATACTTAATTATTTTCTATTTTTTTTCAAAAAATTTTATTAATTAAAGTTTTGAGAATATTTGTAACATAAAATTTGTTTGTAATTATTAACTGACTTTAACGACGTGACTTTAAAGAATAATAATTAATAATTATTATTCTTTAAAGTCACGTCTCAAAAACGTGTAAAATAAATATTTGAAAAATCTTTAAGTTAATAATTACAAACAAATTTTATGTTACAAATATTCTCAAAACTTTAATTAATAAAATTTTTTGAAAAAAAACACAAAATAATTAAGTATTAATTTTAAGAATTTAAAGAATTTTTAAGAACTTTTTTTTTATTTAAATTTCTTCTATTTTATTAAACCAAATACTCCAAAAGATATGAATAAATAATATTAGACCTATACTCAGACTTCTTTTTTCTATCCATCTTATTTGTTATATTTAAAAAAAGTAAAATTATTTTTTCTCATTATCTAAAAAACAGCTGTCTATACTTAACGGACGAAATAATATACTCGCCCGTCTTCCAGATACTCGATTTTATCTTGAACGGGCGAAATAATCTATTTTTCTTATTTTGCCCGTTTTCTAAAACACATTCATTTCGACGGGCGAAATAGACAGTTCACACAGTCGTATCTATTTCGCCCGCGACGGGCGAAATAGAAACAGCCTTTTATTAAAAGAAGTCGATAAAAGTCGTATTTTTAAAAAAAGTCGGAAAAAGTCGTATAATCCGAGGCCTGTAAACATATAATTTTCATTATTATCATTTAATATGTAATAATATTCTAATAGATAAAATTATTATTGATAATATTAATCTTTAATTTCTTTATAACAAACAATTAAATACTCAATTTGGCGCGCTTGCGCGCGTTTAATTTTGCTAGTTCTACTATATAAATAGAAATTCGATAATTAGTAATTCGACTCTGCAAAAGTACTTACAAGTATTTTTAAAGCATTTTTTATTTAAAAATTTATTGTTAGAGAAACGTTGCATAAATTTTTTTTAAACCCAAAATTTCAAATATTTTCTTTTTCAAAATCGTTATTTTCATAAAAATATTGTCAACTTCATCGACACACGTTAAAAATATCATTTTTGCCACGAGGAAAAATTTAATAAAATTTTCTAAAGTTTTAAAATTAATGTATCCGATGGAAAAAAAAAATTTTTACCTTTTCAAAAGAAGGAAGAGAAAAAAATAATTTTAAAAAATTTTTACTGCCTTTTTGAGAGTTTTTTTTTTCATTTTTTACTCAAGAAGTGAAATGATGGACGAGATCATGATCCACAATAAGATTCTGAGACAATCATTTGACCCTTTTCAATTAATGGCTGTTAATTCTGGGCAGTTGCGAATCGTGTTACGAATCAATTAATTTATTATAGCGAAAACCGGAAGTTTCTTTGGCCGTATATGCATCCATTGTGTTGTACCAGTTGTACAAATGATCAATTAAAAAGTTAGTTAATTATAGTGTCTTCCATTTCTTACGCGGAAAATAATTAAATATAATTTACCTATTATTTAAATTTTTAGAGTTATTAAAAAAAATTTTTTTTGTATAATAAATTGCATATTTATTACTGTTTACTTATTGTAAAAATTTTTCTCTTACTTTTTTTTTTTTGATAGAAACATCTACAATTGAATCACAAACGGAACGATCGCAATATGCAGAACCAGGAAGTTATGGTAAATTAAAAGTAAAAATTTTTAATTTTCAAATTTGTAAATAAATGCTATTTTCAATCTTAGTATCCATAATTAATTTTAGAAATTTAATTTAAGTACAATTAATGTTTGAATGAAGTAAAAAAAAGAAATTTACAAGAAATAATTGTGGATTTGTAAAATAACACAAAATAAAAATAATATATTCTTTTACTAATAATTAGTTTGTTGATTGAAATTTTAAAAAAATGTAATAATTCAAATTTTTATGAATATTTTATTTTTAATTGAAATTCATTTAATTTTCAAATTTGCAATTTAATTAAAAAATTTAAATAAATATATAACAAAAAATCATAATAAAAGTTTGTTTCATCATTTTTTTTTCTGAAATTTTTTAAACAAAGCTTTTTTTTACAATTTTTGAAAAATGATAAATTTATTGTTAATTTATTTAAATTTATTTAGTAGATTTATAAATTATTTATTTATTATTGTATATTATATTACAGGGCGATCGAGATTTTCGGAATCAACGCCACTTCCGGTAACATCGAGACCTGTTTATTCATCAACATCATTTGACCATTCAAATACAGAAAATGGTATTTATTATAAATTATTTCTAATATAAATATTTAATATATTTTATTAAATAATTTAATTAAATAATTTACCTCGTCAATTATTGTTGTGCATTTGACTTTTGTGATATATTAAAGAAAAAATTAAATTGTTTAATATTCAGAAAACTTAATCTGCGAATATGATGGAATATTTCGAAGACCTGGAGAGGAATGGAAACCAAATAATTGCACACTTTGCATATGCAATCGAGGAAAATCTGATTGTACTCAACTAATTCCATGCACAATTAACGGTAATTATTAACAAAATATTTTCAATAAATTTTCATATTAATTATAATATTATTACAAATAAATAAAAAATCAATTACTTAAATTTATTCTAATTTAATTATAAATTATTTTACATGTGTAATTAATAAACATGAACAATATTCTATAGAAAATTAAACATTTTCATTAAAATACAAATTTAATTCAATATTTTTAAATGTTATTTTAAATAATATTTAATTTAAAAAATTATTAAAATTGACTTAATTTAATATTTTAGATTTTTGAAAAAAATTCTACTACTGTTTTCAATTATTGTTTGCTTTTGAATTTGTAGATTCAGAGTCTTCAGAAAATATAGATTCAAGAACAGAAGAGCCAGAAAATGACGTATGAAATTTATTTTTAAATTAATTTTATATTATCATTTTTTTTTACACAAAAATCTAATCATTTAAAAATTTTTTTTTTTTTTGAAAATATTTTTAAATATTTATAAATAAAAAATTTTTTCTGTTTTTTCTAAGCAATCATCGGAAATCGTTCCTGGTGAAAGTAATCGAGTCAGTTCTGTATATTCTGGATTGCACGTGAGTACAATAAGAAGTAATTCTCAAATTAATACACAATAATAATTTCTATGTGAATTATGTGTAAAAATAATTTTTGAATTCCTTTTTGATTTATTGTTAATTAAATTGTTTCTTGAATGTAATTAATTTTTTTTTATTTATTTTTAATCCTATGAAAGTTTTTAGTTTATTTTTAATTATTATTATTATTATTATTATTATTATTATTATTATTATTATTATTATTATTATTATTACTGTTAAAATTCACTTTTATTGGGCTAGTAATAAAATAATATTTACAATTAAAGGATGATTCTATGTCGACTGCACGACCGTCACGTTCGGATATTCCTGTTCCTTCTCCTGATGTAAGTTAAATATTAATAATAATATTGAAATTTCAAAAATATTTTTCATTAAATGAAATTATTCTTTTATATAAGAATTTATTTTGTATTTAAAACAGGTGTTTCAATGTAATTTCAAAAAAATATAGATATATTTTTTAAATTATTTAGAGAAATTCATATTATCTCGATATTGAAAAGAATTGTATTAAGGCCATGTGATTGTTGTGATTTTACGTGTAAAATTTTATTAAAAACTCAAAAGTAGTATAATGCTTTGTTGTCATTATTATAATATTTTGTCAAAAAAATTTATGTCTAAAATCGTATTGCCGCCATATTAAATTTTCCTCGCAAATATAGAATAATTTAAAAATAAATTTTTTGTCAAAATATTAATACTCTGACACATAAAAGCAAATATTGTATTTTTTTTTATTAAATTTATTAATTTTTTTACAACGTGTATTTAATATTCAAGAGTATAATTTTGTTCAAAAAGGACTTGTCCTGTTCATTATTAAATAAATAAATACATTTCTAATTCTCAGGTTTCTATGTATTATCAACAATTAGCAATAGCTCAAGCAAGTGACGATAAAGGACCTTCAGGACCAGATCCTTTTGCTTACATACATGCACAAACTGGACCTTCTGGTCCGCGTGGTCCTCCAGGTATTTTTAATTAAATTTAATCATTTTTTTTCCTTTCTCTTATCGTACATTATTATTTTTATTGCAAAAAAAAAAAAAAAACATTTACTAACATTTTTAATTAAAATTTTTTAATTTTTAATTTTTGATGACAATAATTTTATAATTGTAGTTAAACATTAACTTTAATTTTCAAAAAATTTTATTTTTGTCAAAAAAATTAAAATTATTGTTATCATCATGAATTATTAATATTTTCCATTTTTTTTGTGAAAATTTAACTTTTTTTCTTGATAATTAGTTTAAAAAAAAAAATTACAGGACCGCAAGGGATTCCTGGGCCTCAAGGATTTCCTGGTCCAAGAGGAGAACCAGGAGATACTGGACCTCCAGGAGTTCCTGGATCGCTTGGAAGTAGAGGCTTACCGGGATTTCCCGGAAAAGATGTAAATTTTCTTTTTTTCTTGTCATTTTTTCCCTATATAGCTTGTTCTGTTATATTTTATTTTATTTAAATATTTCATTTATTGTAAGAAAAAAGATAATTTTATTTTATTCAAATAATAATCCTACCAATGACAATAATATTAATAATAATAATCTATTAAGAATTTTTTTTATATAGAAAAACTAATAACTTTTTCTCTCTAAATAATTTTTATTTTATTTTTTTTTTTATTACATAGTTTTGATTTTTGGATTTAATGTATTGAAACATAAATGTTAAAAATTCTAAAGATTCGCCCAAATATGTTTTATATGAATGATATTTGAATTAAGTAATATAATATATATTTGAAACAAATAATTTTTGTATAAATGATTTTTATAAATAATTTTATTATATATACAAATAAAACAATATTTATTTTAGAAATATTAATTTTTTGGAAAAAAAATAAATTTGTTTTATAATTTTTTGTTAATTAAATAATCTTTTGAGGGGAAAAAATATGCTTCTTTCATGTCAGGGAGAATCTGGAGAGGACGGGGATACGGGAGCTCAAGGACCTCCAGGAAATCCAGGTCCAAGAGGTTCCACAGGTCTGCCAGGACTTCCTGGAATGAAAGGACATCGAGGATTTCCCGGTGTTGACGGAGCTAAAGGGGATCAAGGTCCTTTCGGTGAAAAGGGTCCACTAGGTCCATCGGGTCCAATGGGACCAATTGGACCAATGGTTCGTTATATATTATTTATTTTATTATCAAACAAAAATTAACTATACATATATGAGAAATTCAATTTAATTATAATTTTAAGTTTAATTTGAAATTAAACAATAGTAAAAATTTATATTAACCAGGTGTGATTTCATATCATGAACATTTTTTGCTTCCTCAACAGATGAAAAATTATTTAAAATTATTTTAAAATACAAAATACTTATTATTTTGCCATAAATTATTTAATTTGTTTCTAATTTTTTTACTTTTAAAAATTATGGCAAAAAAAATGAATAATTAAAAATTTTATATTAATAGTTTTCTTTTTTCAAAGTTGAATATTTTCTACAAAGAGAAATATTGTTTAAAAATGACAATTTTCAAATTTATGGTAATAAATTAAAATTTTTCATAAACGAAAAATTGCGATAAATTTTACATTTATGTATTAATCGATTTGTTTCTTTTCAAAGAAATTAATTTTTGTATTTATTTTTGCATTTTGAATAGGAAAAAAAAAAAATTTTCAATAAAAACTCGCATTTTTTGAAATAAAGTGCTATAAAAAAAATTTTGTTTTCAGTATTTTTAAAAATCTTTGCATTTTCTCTGTGAGGAAGCAAAATTAAATTTCACATTATAAGCGACGAATATAAAATAAAAGTCGTTTTTTTAAAAATAATAATAATAGGGATCTCCTGGTCCTCGTGGCGAGAGGGGAAGAGAAGGACTTCCTGGATCACCTGGACTTAGAGGAATCGATGGAATAAGCGGACCTCCAGGACAATCTGTGAGTAAAGTTTTACTAAATTTTTAATTTTTAAACACTGATTCGTATAAAAGAAACAAATTTCATCATATAAATTAATAATAATTATTATAGTTTCATTTTCTAAAATGAAAAGTGAGAAAAAGAGAAAATTGAAATTTGCCAAAAGTTTTTAATTTGAAAATATATTATTTTTAAATTTTATTTACACTTATTAGTTGATAAATTTATTATATATGTATATATATATACTAGAAATTTAGAAGAAGAAAAATGTAAAAATCTTTTGAATTTTTTAGGGTCCTGTTGGAAAATCTGGAGCACCTGGATTTCCTGGTCAACCGGGAGTAAAAGGTGATCAAGGAACTCAAGGAACAAAGGGAAGTCAAGGTTCTCCTGGTCCAAGAGGTTTGTAAATTTTCCATAAAAAATTACTATATATAAATATTAAAATAATTGTTATTTTTGTTCAATCAAATTTTTTTTGTTTGAGCCAACAAAATTTTACATGGGTGCAAAAATTTTTTCTTCTTTCAATTAAAATTAAATTTTTTTTTTATTTGATGCAATTAAACTTTGGTTGAATTGATAATAAAATTTTCTTGAGACAAGCAAAAATTTTTTTTACCAAAAATTTTCCTGTCACAGGAGAAACGGGACGTACTGGTCTTGTGGGCGAGGCGGGTCCGCAAGGACCACCAGGAAAAGACGGTCAACAAGGAGAGAAAGGAAATGCTGGTAATGCAGGCGCAGTTGGACTTCCTGGTTTTCCTGGATCAAGAGGATTACCAGGTATGTCTGGAAATCCTGGAACACCTGGCGAGAAAGGGATTAATGTAAGTTTATTATTAAAAAAATTTTTTTATTAAAAATTTAATTTTTAATCAAATTAATTAATTTCAGTAATTTATTTATTTTTTTTTTCTTAAAGGGAGAACCAGGAGAAAAAGGATTCAAAGGTGAAACGGGCGTGAAAGGTGATTCAGGAATTCCAGGACCTCGTGGTTTACCGGGTGTCGTTGGTTCAGAGGGCAAAAAGGGCAAAAGAGGAATGCGAGGTCCACCAGGTTCTGCTGGTCCACCTGGAGAACGAGGAACATCTGGACCAAGAGGACTTCCCGGCAGTGAAGGTCCCATTGGTCCCAAAGGTAATTATGATCAACATTTAAAATAGTCTTAGAAACATTGTTTGATTAATTTTTGTTATTACAAACGTGTTTTAATTATTTTTTTAATTTTCAACTTTTTCACCTTTTTTTAAAAAAAAAAAAATTAATTCAATTGAACAATTTTTTTTATTTATTAAAAATTGTATAATTGACTTCAAATTTAAATTTAAGAGATCAATTTTTAAAAAAATTTAATTTTCAAAAAATCTTAATTTTTTTTCAGTTAAAATTCTATATTTGCAGGAAATTTCCAATCGATTCTAAATTTAATTCATTCGAATTTTTTTTTTTTTTAATATCTAAAATTCATTGTTTTCTTATTACTCTAAAATTCAAATAATTCAAAATTTAATTTAATCAATTTGCAATTTATTTCAACTTAAAACAATTCTAATTTCAATTGTTGAAAATTTTAATTTATTCGAATTGAAGTACATACGAAATTCAATTAGTTTTAAATTTTAATTCTAAAAATTTTTATTTAAACATTTTAACACATCTAAATTGAATTTATATAAATTTTAATTAATTTAAATTTAAATTTATTCTAATTTTAATAAAAATTTTGAAATTTAATCAATTTACAACTGAATCTATTCAAATTTCAATTAATCCTAATTTTTATTTTTAAAGAACTGTTGATAGAAATTTTTATACCTATTATTAAAATTAATGTATATCATTAATTATTATATAGAATTTTTTAAATAATTATTTTATTTAAGGTCTAACTGGAGAGAAGGGAGGAATTGGTCCCGCTGGACCTAAAGGAAGTCCTGGAGAAATTGGACGTCAAGGTCTTCCAGGATTGCAGGTTTATTTAAATTTATTATAATTGCAATGATTTAAAATATTTAAATCAAAACGTTGTCTACATTAAAATGTTTTGAACATTTTTTTTTTTATAAATTTATATTAAATATATTTTTCATTTTTTTATATTCTAAAGTTCAAAATTCATCTTTTAACCTCTTGGCGGATATTCAATTGACATTTTATCCAAAGTTATTTGGAAACAAAAAAACACTACTTTTTAAAACATTTTTTTAAAAAAATCTTTATAATTAATTAAAAATATTATAATAATATAAAGTTAAAAAAATATTTAAAAACGTATCGTTTGATTTATTCATTTATTTGAGCATTTTTTACTATTATTAAAAAGTTATTAAATTTACAAAAATGAAAACATTTTGAAAAAATTTCTTTTTGGAATTTTAGTTAAAATTTTTTATATCAGTTCTAATATTTTCTAAAAAAAGAAAAAAAAAAGTTCTCTATAATAATTAAAATATTTTAAGGTATAATATTACAAAATTATTGACTTTTTAGAGATCAACAATTTTGAAAAACATAAATTTGTTAAACAATTTTAGTTTTTAAATTAGAAAAATCAATGATAATTATTATTAATTAGGGAGTGCGAGGTGGAACAGGAAGAGCTGGTCCTGCTGGAAAACAAGGACTTCCTGGAGAACGTGGAGTTTCTGGACCAGAGGGAAAAGTCGGAGAACAAGGACCAATTGGTCCACAAGGAATACCTGGTCCACTTGGACCACCGGGAGAAAAAGGATATCATGTAAAAATTCTATTTTTTTTCTATTTATTTATTTATTTATTTTTGTTTTGTTTTATAATCTACATTTTTTATAAAAGTATGAAATTGGTAAATAATTAATAATGTATTAATGGAATTTGCTTTTTTTTTAGGGCGATTCAGGAAAAGATGGAGAACCTGGACTTCCTGGACAACCGGGTATAAAAGGTGACACGGGTAAACCGGGTCCTTCAGGAGTTCAAGGCTTAACAGGATTAACAGGAAATACAGGTGATAAAGGACCTCCAGGTCCAATTGGTGCTCGAGGATTTCAGGTAAAATATAATATTATTTTACAAAGTCAAAATGAAAAAAAAAATTATTTTAAATTACATTTCTTCTTTTTAAAAAGAAATTAAAATTTTTTAACTTCTTATAATATGTTGACAAGAAAGATATTTAAAAGACAGTTAAACAAAAAAAGAAAAAAACAGATTCTTTAAAAATTAAAAAAAAATTATTTTTTTGTGTTTTCACTTAGGGCTTACCAGGAGCGCCGGGAAATTCGGGAACGCCAGGAAAAGATGGTGAAGTAGGACCGCGAGGACAAGCGGGATCACCAGGAAGTACTGGTAATAGAGGAGAACGAGGAGTTCCTGGAGAAAGAGGTCCTGTTGGAGCTGCAGGACCCACTGGTGCTAAGGGAGAAATTGGAGCCCCAGGGGTTGACGGTCTTAATGTGAGTTACAATTTTGTTTTCTCTATAATTATATAATTATTACATTTCAAACATTTATTAATATTAATTTACTTATTACTTTTAATACATAACTAGGAAAATTAAACGCGCGCAAGCGCGCCAAATTGAGTATTTCATTGTTTTTTATAAAGAAAATTAAAGATTAATATTATCAATAATAATTTAATTTATTAGAATATTATTACATATTAAATGATAATAATGAAAATTATATGTTTACAGGCCTCGGATTATACGATTTTTTTCAAAAATACGACTTTTATCGACTTATTTTAATAAAATGCGACATTTTTTTACATTTGAAAAAAAATGTAAATAAAATACATTTTTTTAGTATAAAATGTAGATCTTCTTCAGATCTTCTTCAATTCAATTATTTAACAAATTTTCAACTAAAATGATTCTTCACTAAATTAATTATTTTTAATAATTTAAATGAAATACATCACAAAATCAATTATATCAAAATTATTTTTCAATTAAAATTTTTATGAAATTTAACAATTGTTTATAATTTAAAAAAAAAATATCACAATAAAATTGAATTATTTTTTAAAAATTTCAATTCATAATAAACTAAAATTCAATTATTACCCGAAATTTTAATTCAAAATCAATTAAAAATCCAATAATTATCCAAAATTTTCAATTTAAAATTTAATTATTTACCAAGTTTTCAATTTAAAATGAAATAAAATTCAATTATTTTCTAAAATTTCTATTCAAAATTAATTATCCAAATTATCAATCAAAAATGAAATTCAATTAAATTATCCAAAATTTCAATTAAAATTAAATTATTTCCCAAAATTTTCAATTCAAAATGAATTAAAATTCAATTATTTTCCAAATTTAAAAACAAATAAAATTTCATTATTCTCAAAAATTTGAATTCAAAATTAATTGAATTTTCAATAATTTGAATTTAAAAGTATCTAAAATTTAATTATTTCTAAAAGTTTCCATCGAAAATTTTTGTTTTGAAATTTAATAATTTCAATTATAACTCTAAGGAAATTCAATTATTTTTAACTATTTTTATAATATTCTTTGAAATTTCAACTATCTGAAACCATTTTTCAATTAAAAATGATTTCCAAATTATTGTATTTTGTCCGCATTTTCTAATAAATTTTTAGTGAAATCATCTGAAATTTTAATTACTGAACACTTAAAGTTTCAATTAATTTCAAAAATCTCAATTTTAAATCTTTGAAAATTCAATTAAATTTAAAAAATGTTTTCCAAAAATTGTTTGATAAATTATTTTTAGTTCTGTAAAATTTAATAATTGTTTGAAAATTAACAATATCTTTTGAAATTTAATTATTTCTAAAATTTTCAACTTTAACCCTTCGAAAAGGATTATTATTAAAATAAAAAAATTTATTTAAAAATCTATAAAATATTTTTGTTGAAATAAAAAAAAAATCCACTTTTTTTTGGAATATAAATTTACTAAAACGACTTTTTTGTGTCTTTAAGTTGATTCGAGGCCTGTGTTTTTATAATTAATATTTAATAGGTATTCGTTGGCCCCTGGTACCTTAAAAATTAATTTTTAAAAATAAATTTTTTGCAAATTACTATCTTGTACGAAATTTCCTGGCGCATCTTTTTTCTCATCATAAATTTTTTGTATTTGTATACAATTTTTGAATCAATATACAAGTTTAAAAAAAATTTCGTTGGTAAACGTTGTGTACTTCAGCTTCGTGAATTGAATTTTCGAATTTGGAATTTTAAAGAAACTTATTCCGAAATTTGGAAACACAATTATACAACTTTGGCAAAAATGAGAAAAAGAATTGTCAAAATTTGACACGTCGTAAGACTACTATTCAAAAAAACACGTGAAATCAGAAAAGGCCAACTTCAAGTTAGGACAGAAGGACAGACCAAGCATTTTATTATTATATAATAATAATTGTAAAATTTTTCCGATAACTCAAACGCTTGTATTTTGTTTATTTTCTGTTAACAAATTTTTTTTGTTTTTTTTTTAAATAAAACCCTTTCGTCATCGAATAAGCGTTTTTTTTTCAAAAAATTCGATTTTTGTGATTCCAGGACCTAATTTAATTATTGATAATTTTTTATATTGTCAGAAAATGTTGCTTTGACCTTAAAAATTAATAAGAATATTTATTTTCAATTTTTTAGGTCTAGCAGGTCAACCCGTTTGCCATCAGATAAATGTATTTTTAAAAAATTCGATTTAATTGATTCTATAAACATTAATTTGTTTATTAATTATTAATTTAATAATTCGCAACTAAAATAAAAATTTCCCTTAATCACAGGGTTTACCGGGTCCTAAAGGTGAAAGAGGAATTTCCGGAGTTTCTGGTTTGCTTGGCTTGCCAGGATTAAAGGGACCTTCAGGAGACGCTGGACCAAAAGGTGACAAGGGTGTAATTGGTCCTCTTGGCCCTGAAGGTCCACAAGGTACATTTTGTCAAATTTTAATAATAATTTTCAATATTTCTAAGAATAAAAATAGTTTTTTTTTTTTTTAAGAAAAATTCCATTTAAACACTTTTTTAAGTGGTTATATTATTAAAAAAAAAAAAAATTGTATACAAAATAAAAAAGGAGGGGAAAAAACAAAGAGACAAACAGCAAACATTAAAATTTAATTAGAGTATATGTGAAAATTAATTTCACTTAATTTTATAACTATAGAAGGGATAAATTTTAAGGACGTATGGGTGATCGTGGTCCACAAGGATTGTCAGGACCAGCTGGACCACCCGGTGAACCAGCAGAGAGGGGAGATCCTGGTGCACCGGGTCCTATGGGCGAAAATGGACCTCCTGGAGGTCCTGGCGAGAGAGGTTTACAAGGCCCTCAAGGTAATCAAGGATTTCCAGGACCTCCAGGTTTAATTGGACTTCCCGGTGCTAAGGGAGATTCTGGACATTCGGGATTGAAGGGTGAAAGGGGAAGTCCCGGTGTAACCGGTAAAATTTAATTTTTATTAAAATTAAAATTTAATTTAATTTTTGTAATATTTAAAATTGTGACGAAAAAATATCGTAACTTATTATTAAATATGGATTAATTTCCAAAAAATTAATCTTTTGATTTTCAAAAATTGAATCTAAATTTAAAAAAAATATATTAAATTGTAAATATTTTTTAAAAATATATTTCAAAATTACAAATTCAAGGTGTCTACGACTTTTGTCGAATGAAATTTTTATTTAATTTAATTTGATTATTTTATTTTTGAAAAAAATATTTCTGTAATAATTTCGTCTTTTTTTAAAAAAAGTATAAAATTTGATATTACAAATTAGCGGCTTAAAACCTGTTGAATTAATAAATTAATTCATATAGTAATATTTATAATATCAAAATACAGTTTTTAAAAATATTTCAAAAATTGTCAATAATAAAAAAGAGATTAAAAATTAACATTATTGTAATGAATTTTATTGATTATTATAAATGAAACAGGCGCTCCTGGTGAAATGGGTCCTCAAGGGAGACACGGACCTCAAGGTGTAAAAGGATCTCGTGGTGAACCTGGTGCAAGAGGAGAAACTGGACCTCTTGGTCCACCTGGAAATCCCGGATTGGTTGGATCAATTGTAAGATTTTTATTTTTATTTATTATTACTAATATTTCAAAAGAAATTGCGCGCTGATTACAAAAATGAAGTATCAAAATTAAAAAAGTAAAACAGTTTTCAAATTTTTAAAATATTTCTAAAAGTGTTCTAATTATGACATACTTTATAACTTCATTTTTGGATTTATTGAGAAAATTAAAAAAAATATTATACAAAATAAGTTTTATTTTTAATTTTGTCAAAAAACGTTTTTTCGAAAAATTTAAATCGTAATAATACAGAAGCAACAGTACAGAACATTTGAATAATATATTTAAAAAAAAAACATTGTTTTAATAGGGACCTCAAGGTCAAATTGGACCACCAGGAAATCCTGGAATTCAAGGTGTGAAGGGAGCTCCAGGCGAGGCAGGTCGTCAGGGAAATCCTGGATCAATTGGTAGTCCAGGATCACCAGGATCTGATGGTGCAAAAGGAGAAAGTGGCAATGAAGGCCCATCAGGATCACCTGGAGCAGTTGGCCCTCCAGGAGTGCAAGGCGATAGAGGGTTACCAGGATTACCAGGCCTCTCTGGACCCACAGGAGGCAGAGGATCCCGCGGAGTTCCGGTATTTTAAATATATATTTATTTTGAATTTTCAAAATTTAATTTAATTTAAACAAGCAGGAATAATTTTTTTTTAAAACCAACCACGGATCCTTATTTTATAAATTTCCTAAATCCCAAAAATTGTATGTGAATCTATACAAAAACGCGATTGAAAAAAGAAAAGTAGGAAAGTAATATAACGACAGGTTCATTACGTCCTGTCGCCGTCAGATGGCAGAAGCATGCAGGTAGGACAAAGTCGCAGCTGTTATATTACTCTCCTACTTTTCGTTTTTCAATTGCGTTTTTGTATGGATTTTTTACACAATCTTTCGGATTTATGAAATTTATAAAATAAAATTTCCTTGGTGTTTTGACGATTTTTTTAATCTAAAAAAATAATGTTTCTTATCAAAATAGGTATAAAATAAATAAATCAAAATAAAAAAATATCTATATACAATAAAAAAATGTCAGATACTTTTTTTTTTGTTTTTTGATATTTTTTAAAATAATATATTGATTTATAAATTAATTTTTTGAAAAAATTAATTAAACGCCAATAAAAAGGAGAAATTTATTGTCCAATTAATTAATCAATCAATTTCTATTAATAGGGAGAAGTTGGTCCAATTGGAAAACAAGGTCCTGAGGGACTTCCTGGTCCTTCAGGAATAACAGGTCCCGTTGGTCCGCCTGGTCCTGTGGGCGAAGCGGGAATAGAAGGACCACCCGGAAAGCCAGGATTGCCCGGATTTACTGGAAAACAAGGAGAAAAAGGACCTCCTGGTTTAAGTGGACCTTCAGGAATTCCTGGTGCTCCTGGATTACAAGTAAATTAAATTTTCATTAAAATTATTAATAAAGAATAATTAAAATTATTTAATCGTCTATTTTGGAAAATTAAGTTTTGTAAATGAAAAATAAATATGTTTCATTGAAAATAATTTAAAAAAATTTTAATAATATATTAATATAAGATTGAAAATATATCTGTTTTTTTTTTGTTCTATTAGTTTTTTTTTCCTAACATTTAGGGTGCACCGGGTAGTATCGGAAATCCTGGATCTCCTGGAGAAAAGGGACCGAAAGGTGACACTGGATTTCCGGGTTTAGAAGGAATTCCGGTAAATCATGAATTTTAATAATAATTAGCAGAAAATCTTAAATTTAGATATAATATTGTAATTATTTTTTCATTAAAAAAAAAAATGTTTGAGTTTTAAGAGAAATTTAACTTAATTATATTAAAAATTAGGGTCTCAGAGGAAAACCAGGACTTGCTGGTCCCGATGGTGTAAAAGGAGAAAGAGGAGTGGAAGGAGCAAAAGGATTGAAAGGACATCGAGGTCTCATTGGTTTGCAAGGATTGCCTGGAATACAGGGACTACCTGGTGATAAAGGTATTTAATAATTAAATAATTTCTAATCGAATAATATTTTAAATTTTCTCTATGTAAATAAAATAACATACATCGTTGCAGCTGAAAACCAATTTTTTTTCCTAAATGTTATTTTTAAAAATTTTTTCGACGACATGTATTTTTTTGTTTAAAAAGTTATAACGAATTTAATTTTCCAAGTCGGAATTAAGAAAATAAAGAATTATTTCAGTTTTACAACTATTTGACTAATATTTTATTTTTAGACTTGAATTCACTGTTCTTTAAAAATCCTGTAGAAATATTAAAAAAATATTCAAAAATAACAGAATGGCGTCCATTTTACTAAAAATATTTTACTTCAAATTACTCAAAAACGCCAACTTCTTTTTTGTACCAATTTTTTTTTTCTTTTTGGTAAATTATCTTCATAGTAAAGAAAATTTTTGATAAGAATTTAACTTTTGCTTGACAATATAGAAGAGAATATCTCCTAATTAAATAAAAAAAAATTGTATTTCTTGGATTTTTTGAAAGAAATCATTATTTTTATCATCCCTGAAATAATGATTGTTCGTTGATTGAATGAAAATTAATTTCTTTATGTAAAGGATCTGCAGGACCACCGGGTTTGCCAGGAAAAGATGGCGAGCATGGTATTAGAGGAAATCCGGGTCGAGATGGAAGTCCAGGTCTTTTGGGACCAATTGGAAATCCAGGACCAAGAGGACCTTCTGGAGAAGGACGTCAAGGACCTGCAGGTCCTCCGGGCCCACCTGGACCACCAGGACCTCCTGGAGATGGAAGTTTAGGATACGATGCGGCTTCACTTGCCGCCTATTTTAGTAACTTTCCTAATTTAAAAAAATTTTTTTTTTGCAATTACATATTTTATTTTTTTATTTTTTGTTAATATGAAAAAATATTTATAGATATGGGTCAACAACAGGGTTCAAGTAAAGGGCCAGATTCACCTCTTGGCGATGAGCCAGCGAGATATTTTGGCAATGAAATGACGATTGATGAGAAAAAAGAATTTATGTCAAAAATGCAAAATCGTTTAGAGGAATATGTGAAAAAATTGACAAAGCCCAATGGTGAGAAAAATTCACCGGCCAAAACGTGTAGTGATCTTTTTGCTACATATCCTAATAAAAAATCAGGCAAGTTATCGAGAAATGTAAATAAAAAACAATATTAAAAAAAAAAAAATGAAATACATAGGTATATTATATTAAGTTAAATTAAATAAATATTGAATTAAAAAAATAAATATAAAAGTAAATATCGAGTAATTAAAATTAAAAAATTTTAAATAATATAAAAATTAAATAATTAAAATAAATAATAAAATAAATAAAAATCAATTAAACTAGCTTTTAAGATAAAGTGAAGAAAATAAAATGTTTTTTTTTCACAGGTGAGTATTGGATTGATCCGAATGGAGGAGATACACAAGATTCAATTTTGGTTCATTGTGATGCTGAGAGACGTGCAACTTGTTTATTCTCAAATCCAAGTCGAACTGCAGAAATTAATCACATTGGAGAAGAACAAGAAGTTTGGCTCAGTGAAGTAAAACCCAGTATTAAGGTATATATTTTTTTATTATAATTATTATTGAATGTTTGCCATGTGATTTTTTTCAAATTTTCATTTTTTTTTGCAGTTCATAAAATTTATATAATATATTTTCTTACTTTTACATAATAGTCAGAAATTCTTCTTCGACTTTTTATTTAAAAAATTTTTAATTTACTTTCATTTTTCTAAAATTCTTGATTTTTATAACATTTTTTCTCCATATTTAAGTATTCTTATTTTTTTATAAAACCTAAAATTTATTTATTTAGTATTAGAAACTGGGGCTCAAAATCCTCAATTTTCCTGACAAATACTCCTTTCATTTTATGAATTTCTCAAATTTTCAATTTTTTTCTTTCAAAGTTTCTCTTGTATTTCCTTAAATTTTCTATTTTCCTTTCTCACATTGTCATGTTTTTCTTTCTTTCTCTCAATGTTTTCCTCAAACTGTTCGTGTTTTAAAATTTTCCTTCAAATTCATCTTTTATTTAAGAAATTCTTAAAATTTATTTTTTTTATTATTTATTTTTTCTATTAGTTTGGATCTTAAAAAGTCTTTGAATTTTTTTTTTTTCTCAAAAATTGTTAGATACCCTGGTTTTAATTGAAACATTATTTTTTTTTTGTATTTTTAAATTTAATCAATTCCTTTTATTACAAAAATAAAGATATTTTTATTTTTGTTTTAAACAGGTGACATATAAAGCCGACGGCAATCAAATAAGTTTCTTGCAAATGTTATCGAAACATGCCGAGCAAAATATCACTTATCATTGTAAAAATAGCATTGCATATTTTGATTCTGAACGGAAAAACTATAGACGAGGATTAAGACTTTTGGCCTGGAATGACGTCGAATTGGCACCAAGAGGAAATAGACGACTCAAATATGATGTCATCACGGACGAATGTCAGGTAATATTATTATTAATATATTTTCTGCCCTATATACCTGATATGAAATTGTTTTTTAATTTTATTATTTTTTGGAAACAAAATTTTTTAAATAAACTTTTTTTTAAACAAATTTCGTAAAAAAAAATTGAATCACAAAAACTAATTACTTTTAACAAATTGATGATTATTATTTTAAAATAATAATTTCAAGAAATTAAAGTGAAATAAATATATATAGGAAAATTGTAAAGGAAAAAAAAAATTGTAAAAAAATTTTGATTTCAGTCTCGAGCAAAAAATTGGGCCAAGACAATAATTACATATAAAACGGAAAAGCCGCTCAGACTTCCGATTTTGGATGTGGCAATGAGAGACATTGGAAAGGAAGATCAAAGCTTTTGGATAGAAATAGGACTCGCTTGCTTTCAATAATTTTGTATTGATAGAATTTATCGAATTTCTATTTTTTTTTTTTATCTATTAAGAAAATAGTTGATATTTTAAATAAATTAGATGTCAATTTTGTTTTTTAATTTATAGTTTAGAACAAAATGTCAAAATTTTCGATTAATATAATCGATTTTTAAAGTTGATAATCATATAAAAATTAGAAATTTCCTTTATTCAATGTAAGAATACATTTTAAATTTGTAAAATTTAAAAATAAAACTGACAAAATTTATTTTTGACATCAACTATCATTTGGATGATAAATTGAAAATTTCCTAAATTTAATTATTAAATTACTCAGTAATCAAATCGTATAATTATAAATTTAGGAATTCATGATACTTAATTAAAATGAAAATCATTTTGTGTGTTTGAATTTATTTTTATATTATAATGATAATTTAATTAATCCAAGTTTTACTTAATAGCTTGTACATAAAAATTTCTACTTTTTATTAAAAATTCTAAAATATATAATATTAATGAACTGAATTTTAAAAATATATTATTTTGTTTATTATTAATTTTATTAAATCAATTTTTCAAATTTTATTATAACACATTAGTCTAGAATTATAGTACTAAAAAAAAATGTTTCTTTTTGTTTAGGTAAAATAAATGTTAATCGATGCATCTTTTTTTTCTATAAAATATAGTTTCTTTATTTTCTTATAACATAAAGAACAAAGAGAACCCAACAAGAATGTACGAATAGAAAGAAATGGAGTAAAATCTTTTTTATTTGATAGAAAAAAATTAAAAATTTATTTTATAAAATGTTAAATTCCTAATTATTTATTTTGGATAAGTATATTAATTGTTGCGCTTTTTTTTAATATTACTATTTACTATTACAGAGTACATAGGGGTTGGAAAAAATTATTTTAAACCTTACTTGATACAATTTTCCATAAAAATGAACATTTAAATTATTCATTTAATTATTAAAAATTAAATATTGCATAATGCAGTAATATTGAAATATATTTCCATTTATTTCTTTTACTGTAAAATAGTCTCAATTAGTTAACATTCGTATTTAATGTATTTTTGATAGACTTCCTGAAGAGGAAATCATTTAGATTTCAAAACGTTGGAGTAAACTAATTTTAACTATTTGTGCGCAAATGTTTTTGTTTATTTTCACCACTCTTTAATAATATTCCTCGGACGTAAAAGATTAAATAATAACATACATTATTTTCATGACAGTAATTAGGGCAGCAAAACTAATTCAAACGTGCAGCAATAGAAATAATTTCATACTATTTTTTTTTATTAACATTTAGTTTAATAAGTCGTAAATTCGCTTCCTTTAATATTCCATATTCAGGGTGTCCAGCAAGAAGTACAAAGAAAAAAATCCCCTAACTTTTTTCCAATTTTTCTTTAATAAATATTTAATATTATTAAAAGAAAAAATGAAAAATATCAAATATTAAAGTATTTTTAAGATAATAAAAAACATTTTATTTATTAGCATTATAAACTTTTTCTTGCACCGAAAAATTAAAAAAAAAAAATTCACTGAACATCCTGATATTCAAAAGATGTCGCAGTAATTAACACATTTTACTCTATTTTCTCTAAATTTGAAAAAGCCCTTCGCCTCTAATTCCTTGGCAGAAAAAAAAAATTAAAAGAAGAAATAAAATTTTACTCTTTGTCCTTTTTTTAAGGGGCAGTATGTATAAGTACAATTTTTTTTGTGTATAACTTTTTTGGTTCTTAAAATTAATAAATTGATTGATTGATTTTCAGTCAAAAACTGTAAATAGTTTTTGAGAAAAAAAAAAATTATGTTTTTGATACTTTTTTTGTTTATTTGTATCACACAAAGTTTCTATAATAAGCGTCGTCATTATATTTCGTTTTTTTTTTTAATTCCCTAATTTTCCCCTAATATGCTTGGCCACTTTATAAATATTAATGAAAAAATTCCATATTTTTTTTTTAATTTATGGAAAATTCGCCTATCGAAAGGAACTTAAATATTCCTGTTTTTTTTTTTAATTACACAATTCATGAAAAATTTCATGTTCAGAGGAATTTAAATATTCTCATTTTTTTTTAATACATTTTTTAATTCATGGAAAATTTACTTGTTCAAAGGAATTTAAATATTCCTGTTTTTTTTTTTTAAATATATTTTTTAATTTATAGAATTAACATACTGCATTTTGTTAAAAAAAAAGATCATTTAAATTTTAAAAAAAGCTTCGGTAAAATTTAAAATAATTTAATTTGAAAAATTTTAAACAATTATAAATTGTTTTTAAATCACAGTTAAAAGTTTCCTAGGCATAAAACTTTGAATTTTGATTTAAATACAATTTCTAATTGTTTAAAATTTTTTAATTTTAATTATTTTAAAGTTTACCGAAGCTTTTTTAAAAATTTAAATCATATTTTTCTTTAAAAATACAAAATACACAGTTGGACTAAATTTTGTTCCGATGCTTTATCTGATTCTTCCTTAAATATTCGTTTTTTTAATTTTCAAAGTTTCTAATTGTTTTTTTTTTTACAATTTCTCTCCTTTTTATTGAGTAAAATATATATATTCTTCAGAAAAATGGATATTTAAAATAATTATAATGAATTTGAATATTTTTCTATGATTTAATTAATTAATCTAAGATATTCATTATAAATATCTAAATATTATATTTAAATATCAATTTTTCTCCATGATGTATAAAACCTATAATATACAAAATATTTTTTTTAATTATATATCTATAAAAATATACAATGTTGCCCAATATTTGCGAAGTAATGTTTTCTTTATAAATTAATTTTTATATATTATATAAAGATTATATTTATAATTTAAATATAATACTAATAAAAATTGATTTACTTCTTTTTCTTTTGAAATTCAAAATCTTTATCACCTAAACTTTGATAATATGTTCGTGGTGTTATTGTTGTTTTTTTTCCAACGCGCTCTAAAATAAATTCTTCTTCATATTCTATTTTACCATGTGCCAAAAGTGGATGTAATAATAAATCAGGATCATTTGGATCTTCAACGAGCAGTACATTGGAAGAATGATCTTTTTTTTTATCTTCCTCTGGAATTTTTTCTTCAACATTCGTTGTAGTATTATTGACAAGGTCCGATTTTGATATAATATTCTTTTTTACTAAACCTCGAATGACGCCGTTTTTCCATAATCTATTAAATTCGAAATTTTTATGAACCAAAAGTTTTGAACGTTCATATGAACGAAATTTTTTTTTTCCAACTTCTTTAAATATAAATTTTATTACAAAATATTGTTTTAAATATCTAAAAAAAAAAATTATTAATTTAATAATTGTTTAATGTACTGTTTTATTTTACAATGCCATCATATTTTTTTTAATAATTTATAGATTGAAAAAAAAAAAAATTTCGTTCATTTGAACGTTCAAATCTTTTGGCTCATAAATTTTTTTTATATCTACGTAAAATAAATAAAAGTAATGAACTTTTAACTTTTAAATGAAATTAAATTCAAATAAATTACAAAATTAAAAATGTAACAAGAAATAAAATTTTTACCAAAATTAAAAAAAAAAACAAAATGAGTTTAAATAACAATAATTTCAAAAATTAATTTATCAGGTGTTAAAAAATTGCTCCTCATATATTATAATTATATTTCATATTGTTTTTTCGATTTTTTCTGTATGAAAGCATTTTTTTTTAGTTTGAGGTTATGTATGGTATTGAACGCTTATTAAAAAAAAAATAATAAATTTTCAGATAATTTAAAATTCAGATTAAATAATAATTATATATGTATATTTACAAAATTGAATGAAAATAAATTTTTTTTTGTATTAAACGGTTATTAAAAACAAAAATTTAGTCTGTGAATTATGCCGGGAAAAAGTTTCTGCTCCTCGACTAATAAAATTCTACTTATTCATTTTTTTAAGAAAATTTCTATTAGAAAACAATTTTTCGATTATTTTTAGATATTTCATATTTAAAATTTTTTTTTCGAACAAAATTATACAGAAATTAGCAGAAAGTTTCTATCAATAGTAATAAATTTTGCAAATTGAAATTATTAAATTACATTGTACAAAATTATGTAATTTTACATATATATATTTATTGAATAATCATTTTTGAGGTTAGAATTATACAATATATAGTGAAAATTGACATTATTATAAGTGAAAGAAAATGTAAACACATAATTAATAATAAATATTTACCTTGATACAGTTGAATCGTCAGTTTCTTGAGATTCTGATTTAACTTGTTGTTTTTCAATTTCAAGTTGTTTTTCTTTTAATTCTTGCCTCTTTTTAATATATTGTTCTATATGATCGTTACCACGAACATTCATTGCTCTTAGGCTAGATCTTATATTGTAGGCAAAATCTTCACCAATTGCTTGATTATCGTCGTCAACATTTTCTTCTTCTTCTTCTTCTTCATAAAAAGATCGATTTCCATTTTTTACACGTGCATGTCGTTTATTCATGTCACGATCTTTTTCTCCACGTCCTCGATCAGATAAAGGCACAAATTTTGTTTCTGTACCATCGTTTAATGATGGCATCGATGTTAATTTCTGAACATCATCTCTTAAACCCATTTTTCCATTCATGACAAAATGTTTAATTTATTTCTTTTTATCACTATATACATACACTTTTTTAAAAATACTTTGTTAAAAAAAATGTATTTAATTGAATGAATAAAAGTTCATTTATTTTCATAAATATGTTGATGAGGATCTGACTGACGACGACGACGACGAAAAACAACTTAATAGTTCCATATAAGCGGAAGTAAGGATTTTTATAAAACAAAATTTTCTTGTTTTGTTTAAATAGCCAAACAGACTTAAACAAAAACAAATTAAAATTCTAAGTTCTTTTGTTTTGATGTGCAGGTCAAGACATTTTTCTGACAGTTTTGTTTCTCTTCGTTTTTCCTTTATTTTGATTTGTTACTTCACGATTCAACTAAAATGGTTTAGCCATTTAAGATAAGGTAAACCGAAATGAAAACAAATCGGCGCATGATAACGGCAACCATCTTGATTAGCTCAATGAAATCTAGTAACTTTCTAAAAATGTTAGTTATAACTAGAAAATTACTAGAAAGTGACAGAAATACCCGAAAAAATGCGTTCCTACGCCCCTGTATATTTTCCAAGAAAAAATTGTCTATTTAGTATTTACTTACAGAAGTTTTCTAAAACCCAAAAAAAAATGATTCTTGAATCTATTTATGTTTTACTGTTGTTTCATCACTCTTTAAAAAGCAGCAAAAATTTTCTGTAAATAACATTTTTGCACTTTATAAAAATAATATAGTTGAAACAAAATAAACAATAGAAATTGAATTTTACCGCGCTATTGATCCTTGCGTTTTTATTGGTTCATTATGGCTATACGTGACGATTACCACGTCCAATGAAATGAAATAACCCAAGAACGCGAGGTCAAAGAATTTTTTCTTTGGGGAGAAGGAGAAAAAAAATAGTTTGCATTCCACTCTGTCAAATTAAGTACAAAACGTTAACGTCGTCAGTTTCTCAGTGAGTATCTAAACGATAGTTAATATTATTTATTTTTAAAAAAATTTCAAAATTCTTCAAAAATTCATTATATTAGTTTAAAAAAGAAGATTTCTATTTATTAGTTTTAATAGGTTATGTTTCCTTTGCCGAATGATTTGTCTAGTAATTTTATAGAAAATCACATATTAGTTAATAATTTTTTAATAAAATTTTCTTTTCTAATACTTAATTAAATAAATTGACAATAAAAATTAGTTGAATAAATTAATTAAAATAATTGTGTAAAATAATTATTTGCAATTATTTTTTAAAAGTGTCGTGAAAAAAAAATGACAAGTTCAATTTTGAATGATTAGAATTTTTAAACACTATTTATACTTAATTGATGACATAAAATTCAATTAAAAATAATAAATTTCTAAATTAAAATATCAGTGAACTTTCTAAGAATGTTGTTTTTGTGTTGTTTTTAATAAAATAAATCAGTGAAGCGTCAAAATTTTCAACTATTGCAAAAAGTAAGGATTCTTATATCATTTTTCTATTTATAAAAAAAAAAAAAACTTGTATTAAATATAATTTGATGTGAGTGAAATTTCATGGAATTCACATTCTACAAGATTTTCCTGTTCTTTAGCATTCAATTCACGATGATTTTTCACTATGTCAATACTTGTTTTTCAAACATGCAATTACGTACAAACACGTGAGAGTGGTAAAAAGAAAAAATACGTTTGCCAACTTCTTTTTCAATCTATTTTAGTTGTAATCTGATACTAAATGTATTGTTCGTTTAATATTTCTCATATCGCATTTATTCTGAATTATTCAAATTTTCTGTGCATAAATTTTAAAACCAATTAATTGTCACATGTGCTTTCTGAAAATAAAAAAAAACAAATTAGGTTTTTAAAAACTGATAAATTTTTAAATTTAATAAAAATATAATTTTTTAAGTTTTTTAAAATTTCCTGTCGTGGATTTATTGCAAAATATTTTGCAAATACATTTTTTATTTATAAAATTTATTTTTGTTTTGTTATTGTTTATTGTATTATATAATTTCTTTTTTTTAATGAATAAAATGTGTAAAAAAAATTAATTTTTGAATGAATAATAAAATTTTTGACATGTAAATGTTATTATTCGGTAGTAGAATATGAAGTGAATTAATATTTAAATTTTTAAATGAATTAAAATTTCTATTTAGTATTTTCCTACTATTTTTTTTATTATTTTCCCATTGATTTACTATTTTTATAATAAAATTGTTTATTTTTTGATAATTATAAAGTGATAAAAGAATATCTGCAAATAGTCTTATCTGAGACTTTTAAGTATCACATATTGAGAGTTTCACTTCAATTTACAGGGGATTAGATTCTGATAAAATCTCACTTTACCCTACTTTCATTCATAAACTGATATTATTTAAATTCCATTTACGCTCAATTAAACTTTATTGTCAATTAATTAAGACAAATTTTTTTTTTTTACTTATTCAGTAATTTAGATATATATATAGTGTCTCGTAAAAAAAAGAATTCCAAAGCCAAACAATATGAAGTCTTATATCAATAAAAATAGTAATAATAATAAAAATAATAATCGTAATTATTTACAATTTATTATTGAATTAAAAATAATTATAATTCACGCATTTTATATAACCTCCCTTCTTCTCATAATCGAAATAATTTCCTATTTTGCGAAAAATTAATTTATTTAAATTTTATTTTATTATCGAATTTTAATGAAAAATATGTGATTTTACATTTTAAACTAAATTTGGAATGAATTATTATTTTATTTTTTTTTTTAAATTAAATCACATATAATTGTGGGGCTGCATGATTAAAATTATTAGTGAGAATTTTCATTTTCAACAATATCATTATTTTTTTACACGAATTTTCATTTTTCAAATTGACATTTGTCAGAATTTCTTTTTTAAAGAATTTTTAATTAAGGGGGGAACACCAGTTGTAACTCAAAAAATAATGCTTTTTTCAAGAATATTTTCCAAAAGAACAATGAATCTTTTTAAAGAATACTATTTATTAGTTAAAAGTACATGTAAAAAGCTGTAATTTAAAAGAAAAAAAAAATTTTTTTAACAAAAACTTTTGGAGATATGAGCCATTGAAGTGGCGTCTTAAGAAAAAAGGCGAATTGCGGTGACCAGCATTCTGCAAGTATACTTCGTCTGAAATACAAAAATGAAATTGATTTACATTTATTATAAGATTATCTAGTTCGTGATCGAAGGATTTAAAAAAAAAAAAAAATTTGACAAAATGGCGACCTGTCAAAGTCAAAAGTATGATTTTCGTTAAAAAAATACGGTCGATTTTCAGCTATATAAAAAAAAGTTTTGCATAAAAAAAAAAATCCTTCGATCACGAACTAGACTTATATGTGTAAATGAAGCACACTAAATTTTAAATAAATCGGTTTAATGGTATTCGAGTAATCGTGGTCACCGACTTGGAAAATGTCATTTTGAGAAAAACGCATTCAAAGTTTCAACTTACTTTTTTTTGTTCAGAAGAAATTTTGTTTCCAAGTTACAAAGAGTCATCGATTCTTGGACCATATAATAACTCTTCCGCAGTGGTTGCCGTTTCTAAATCATAGGAAAAGGCCATCTGTCGTTAGGGTCAGTTATGGCTGGCCACCTTGTATGAAGCCACGGGACGCGCCGATGCAGTGTTCTGTATATCTCATTTATTTTTCACCGGATCAACTTTGAAATTTACAGACACATTTCTAAATATGTGTACTTTAAGAAAATGCACAAAAAAAAAAATTGATTTTTCGAAAGTTACAACTGGTGTTCCCCCCTTAACAGAATTCTTATAGGCACTGAAATTTTATTTGGCAGAATTCTTAAAACGCCAAATTTTCATTTGTCCGAAATTGCAAAATGTCCGAATAAACAATCGACAGAAAGATTTCGGCGCGATTTTTTAAAATTAATCAATCAAAAATTATTCATAAAATTGTGATTGGTTGATTTTAAAAATCGCGCCAAAATCGATTGTTTGTTCGGTCATAAAAATTCGATATATAAGAATTATGTTAAGTAAAAATTTGTTTAAAAAAGTAATTCTGTCAAATGTTAATTGAAAAAATAAAAATTCGTCTAAAAAATAATTATATCTAAAAAAATTATTTAAAATTATTTAAAACTTATTAAAAAAAAAAAAAAAAAAAAATTTATTCACACGCTAAGGCGGATGTATTTTAACTCGAGGAACACTTGCGTGTAGAAACTTCAATGAATTTAATGATGACTGCTGTAGAAATGTGAAGGGTCAGTGATACGAGTAATTGAAGAATTTACTTACCGACAATCGAAATTTTAAATTGATAATAAAATAACAAATTGCTTCATTATCATTTTTTTTTTACTTTGGAATTTCGTTGTGAAAAAAATTCGCAATCAAACTAAAACGAAAGCATCAAATGCATTTTTTTTCACAAAATAAAAAAAAAAAATTATGAATTTAAAAAAAATTTACTCAATATTTGTATGTAAAATAATTTTAAAAATTCAAAATAATTTCTGAAAAAATATTAATTTATGGAATATTTTTGTACCAGTATTATTTTTTTTTTTTTAATTCCTTTTGTTTAAAAAAAAAAAATTTAACTCGTCGACATTTTTTATACTATTATTATAATTTTACTATTTTAGTATTGTTATTTTTTATTTAATGCAAAATAAACGTTTGTAATTACTGTAGAAGAATTTCAAAAATATATATATAATTTTTAATGCTATAATATTTTTATTAAAAAATGTTTGCAATTTTTTCTTTTTATTTAAAAAAAAATTGTAGGTAAAAAATATTATTTTTTACGTGAAGAATATTTACTTTTTTTTTTTTTTAATCGTTGATCGTAAACGTTGTAAATTTTACCGAAGTCTAATTTACAGTTATTTTTGTATAATTTTATATGTTTGGTAAATTGTGATTTTTTTTTTCCAAAGTGTAACGCTTGAGTAGATTTAAGAGAACATAATATATTGCATAATCATTCGTGGGCTTTGACATTGCATTCGTCAGGATTGTAGACAGTTTTACAAATATAGAACGAACTATTTTTTACTTCGGAGGAAGGAATGCACACTGTCTGGGATTTTTATTATTACTCGTCGAAAAAAAAAGTCGGTTACCTCTATAACTAAATGAAATAAAAAATTGTTCTTTTAGAAAAAATACACACAATAAAGAGTTTTTAAATTTTCACAGCAGAAACAACAATAAAAAAGTACTAAAAATTTACTAATTAAAACAATTAATTGTGATTGAAAAATAAAAATTATTAAAAAAAAAAATTTAATTATCTCTGCGTTTTTGTATAGGATATAATTTTTTAATATTAAAATTTTTTTTTATTATTGAAAATTTTGTAAAATTTATTTGGAAAATTTGTTTCGCAAAAAAATATTATAGACTCAAAAAAAACTATAGAAAAAGATAATAAAAAATGCGGTTTGACATTAAAAAAAATATTGTTTAAAATAAAAATGATAAAAGAAAAAAGTAATTTGATAAAATTTCAATTTGCAAAAATGATAATTTTATTTTACATAATTTTTCTCTAACCATACTTTTTTATTGTCAAAATATTTTTTTCAAACGAATTCTAAAAAATTATTAATAAATTGTAAAAAAAATTTCTTTATTTTTTTTCTATAGTTTTTCGCGTCTATTTTTTTCGAGAAAAATTTTTTAATAAATTACACAAAATTATCAACAAATAGTTAAAGAAATAATTAATTTGAGAATACTTCAATTTCTATAAAAGAATTTTAATTGATATATTATTTTAAAATAATTATAAGTTTTAGTTTAATGATTGTTTTTTTTTTAGGTATTTTTCATTAATGATGATAGTGATTATAATTTACAATTGAACAGTAGTTTCATTTTTATTGTATTTTTAAATTCCATTATCTCTCCTTTATTTTTTTAGACGTGATGTATGAAACTTTTGACGTTTTAAAAGTATAATATGAATTTTAATGTTCATATGCGATAACGTTTAACTTTAACAATATTCTAAATAAATGTATAAATACACAACAAAATATTAGAATTTTTTTTTACATTTTTTTATTTTAACTTTCTTAATTTACTTTTTCTATTTATTTTTAATTTAATTTTTTATCCTTTTTTTTTATTTATCCTATAATAATTTTTAAAGACATAAAAAATGTTAATATTTTTATTTTGTATTCATTAATTTAAATAAAAATTTATTTTTATCTTACAGAGTGAAATCGTGTTCTATTGGCTGAATATAATGAGCAGTGAATTTGAAACGACATGGTTTAAAATCAAGAAGATTCAGATCGATGAGTCGTAAATTAATTGAATAAATTTAATAAGAAGCAAGATTTGATACAGGAGTTACTTGTTCTTCGAGCCAATTTCAATTTAATTGCAGCCTCTCCGAGAGAGAATTGTCCATTGGATTATTTAATTGGAAATATTCATCTTTAAAAAAAAAAAAAAAAAAATACTTTTTGGAACTTCACGACCAATTTCTATTAAACGTAAAAATGGCCTTGTTCCAGAAAGCCAGTGGTGAGTCGAATACATACTGCAAATTAAATAGATCGAATAACAATTGAAATTTCAAGGCAAAAGTGGAAAAAAAACGAACAATATTTAAACATCGATTAATTTACTTCCTCACTTGTATATTATTTATAAATCCTAATTTATATTTATAAATGAGGAAATAAATTAATCGCTTGTTAAAAATGTAAATCAATATTGACAAAAAAAAAAAATTTGTTTGTTTTTTGAAAAGAATGGAATTTTTAAGGAGAAAATAGAAATTAAAAATTTTAACAAAAAAAAAGAGAGTCGAAAATAATAAAATTTTAATCATTTTCAAAACTTGGATATTTGCACAAATAATAATTAATAATATTTTTGAAATATGCTATTTATATTATTATAGAATTTAAATTCTATTATTATAGAAGTTGTTTAATACTAAAATGTAATTTGGAAAAATTTTATTTTAATTTATAGTTTCTATAAAAAGAAAAAAAATATATCTTTAGACAATTAACATTGCTTTCAAATAAATAACTTTCCAGATATAATAACGAAGTTGAAGTAAGCAATGTTTATGATAAACGATTTTTAAAGAAATAATTATTTAAAATGGAAAATTCTATAATTCTTTGCCTAAAAAATATTTCTTGTAGTTTTCATTAATCAATAAATTTGTAAAAAAATATTTTTTAGGCAAAAAATTTTAAAAATTTTCATTTTAAATAATTATTTCTTTAAAAATCGTTTATCATAAACGTTGCGTACTTCAGCTTCGTATATAAAAACTTTTCTAATAATTCATTAAAAATTTTTCATATTAACATTTTTTTTTTATATTTTATAAACTCACAGTGTAGAAATAGAAATTGAATTAAAAAAAAAAAAAAAAAAATTTGCTTTTATCGAAAAGAATAGAATTTTTCACGAGAAAATATAAATTAAAGCTTTTAACAAAAAGAGGAGTGTTAACAATGATAATAAAATTGTTTATGTAAAAAAAATTTTTAATTATTTTCAAAATTTGAATAGTTGCATAAATGTGATAAAATTTCTAATTATGACATATGCCTCTTATGCAATGTTTGTCTTGACGATTTACAGATTCGGACGAAAATTCAGATGTTTTGGTACCTAAGAGTAAGTTTTCGGTATCAAAAATATTGTAATCGCAGTTGAATCAGTATTTATACAATTATTTTAATGAAATTAATAATTATTTTATTATATAGTTTCAAGCACGTGTAGTTAGTTAAATTTTTTTACATCTTGCTATTTAGGTTAATTGTTCCCTTTATGATTATACACGCCTTGCACTTTTATTATTTATCTAATTTTCTATTTTGAAATTATTTTTAACGATTTTTATTTTGTTTAGGATTAGATTTCATTTCTTCATTGTGTACTTATTACAAAGTTTTACAATTTTCAATAGTATTTCAAAATTATTAAAATTAATTATAAATTATACTTTTTTTTTTTTGAAAATATTTCATATTATTTTATTAATTTAAAAATTTTTAAACTTTAAATTAATTTATTACTATTATTATTTATTTATTTAGAAAAGTAAACGAGACAAAATAAAATTTAAAAATAATGAAAATAATTTATGAAAATTGAAAATTAAGTACTAATTACATATTTAGAATGTGTTGATGATCCGATAAAGAGTATTATCACAGCTTAACTGTTATTTGAAGATCGTAAGTTACAGATAGAATCTTATTTTTGATAATGGATGATAATATTTCATTGAGAATAATGAGAATTTAATAGGACTTTAAGGAAGGGATAAAATTACGTTAAAAATAGATTAGATTAAAATTTTTTTTTTTAATTTCTCCTTTTTTATTTTATAAAATTATTGAAGAAGTTATGATTTTCTTTTTAATATTATTATAATTTTACTCTTTTATTTATAATTAAAATGCATTTTTAAAAAAGTTATATGGGCATTAAAAAAAAAAAATTTTTTATTCTGAAATTTTGAAAAAATTCACATCTCACTTACGGTAAAAAAAAAAATTCGAAAAAATTAATAAAATCCTTTTTCGATAGAGTACAAAAAGTTAAAAAAAATATTTACAAATTAGCCAAATAATATATTATTATTTTTATCAAAAAACTTTTCTCATGAAATATTTTGTTCTATTTTTATTTATCTATTTTATTTCTATACAGAGGTAAAAAAAAATTAAGTAGGTTTATTATTATGTATTTTGCACTGAAATGAAGTAACAACTGATTAGAAAATCGCACATTAGTGGCGACCTTGCCACTCAATTCTGATACAAAATAGTGGAATCTTTACTACTGACGTAATTATTTATTGCAAAATATTTTAATTATATATATATATATATATTCGTAGACTTGTTGATATTTGTGTTATTTTTTTTTAATAACTATAAATATCAAATAATATTCCCTTTTTTATAATGTAACTTAAAAAACTAAAATTTATTTCAAAATTGAAATTTATTATTATTAAACGGAATAAAAAATTATATTCTCTTTATTGAAAGTATATTTTTGAAAGAGAATTTTCAAATCACTTGATAATGAGAGATTAATTGTAAAAAAAAAAATTCTAAGGGAATTTATAACTAAATAAAAAAAAAATCATGAGCCTTGTAGAGAGAATGATTTTAAATTCATTTAATAAAGGAAGAAGCTAATTATGTAAAGAATCGTATGGATTTTATAATTTGATATTGCATAATTTTTTTTTTTTTTTTTTTTTTTTAAATACTTGTTTACGTTGATAATTTAGAAACAATTATTATGTTTTAGAAATTAATGAAAGAATGAAAATTACTTGACACTATGTATTGTTGTTTGTTAAGAGAATTTTTTTCTCTTAAATAAACAATTGAGATAAATATTTTACAAACGAGATTAATAACATATTACTAGTTTGATGAAATATTTCTATTATATAAGAATGTATATATGCTTTCTGGAAAAAATGTGTTTTTTATTATAATAAAATAAAATGGAAAAACATTTCAAAATTCTATAATATGAGACATTTATTGATGAGATTAATTTCTTTTTTTAATATAAAAATTATTATATATATCTTTGGTACCTTTAATTTTTATGTCCTTCTAATATATTTTAATTTAAATAAATTTTTACTCGATTAATTAAACGGAGAACACATTTATGCATGAAAACTATTATTTTATTAATTGTAAAAAAAAAGTTATGTTTTTTAAATGTTGTTCCTCACTATTAACTTTTTTTCAACCGTAAGCACAAATTTATAATTTTTTCCTTTGTAAGACAATTGGCACACTAATTTAACTTGTGAATAGACAAAGTTTAGATTTTTATAATTATTTTAAGACACTAAATTAATGTTGCTTCGTGTCTTATAAAAACTATTGTAATTTAAATAGTAGAATAATAAAAATGTAAATAAAATAATTTTTAATAAAATTAAATTTATATAGAATTAAATGTCAAATATTTTATATTATTATAAAATAATAGATAATGCATTAAAATATTAAAATTGTCAATTTTTAAATATATATATAGATTAACTCTCGTGATTTTGATTTTGTCGAGTTGTAAACGTTGAAGAATTAAAAAAAAGGAAATTTCGAAAAATTTAAGAAAAAAAGAAAATGGGTCAACTTTGTCTTTTGTCAGCTTTATTAGGTAACATTTCTCGTTAAAAACTTCGGAAAAAAATTTTACTATTTTAATAATTATTTTTAATCAAAGCTAAAGGATTTATTTTTAAATATTTTTCTCAATTTTGTCATTTGCACATTGTTTTCATTCTTTTTTTTTTCTTTTTTTCCTATATGTATTTTTATTTTGAATGTTTAAATTTTTTTGAATTCATAGAATTCTTGATGTTTCTTTTAAATATTTATTATTTTAAAAAAATCTTAATCTTTTTTTTTCATATTTCAGAGAAAATACCTCGGCGAGCAGTTTTGGGTGCGTTGATGTTTTTTGCATGCATGTTTTCGTATGTAATTCGTACGAATCTCTCGATTATTATTGTTGCTATGGTGGAAAGTACATCAAATAAAACGAAAGGAGCATCTTATTGTGATAGTATATTACTAAACAATACCACAATTTCTAATACAACAAAATCATTGCAAGACGTAAGTTTATTTATATATATATATATATATGTACTATTATTATATTTTTATTTACTGTTTCTATAAAAAAAATCTTTAGAAAATAAACATTTTCTAAAAAATAAATTTCATTAAAAAAATTTTTTTTTACACTTTGTAACTTGATATCGTAAAATAGAATGTATTAATTTTTTTTTTTTTTTTTGTGAAATTCATTAAATATTATGCAAAATAAATATTTTGCAATTTAAATTTTGCCAAGTCTTTAATTTATTTCTACTCAATTTAAAAAAAAATATATTTTTTTTTTTTGTTAATATTTTATAATTTTTTAGTATTTTCAATTCTTTCTTCGAAAATTATTTTTCATTTTTAATATTAAATTATAGCTTTTTCGTAATAGATTTTTGTTAAAATGTTATTTTATGGAAATTGAAAAAATTTCAATACAGTGTCTTAAAGAAAATAAATAAATAAATAAATAAACGAAAAATTTGTAAGAATTTTTTATGAATCAATTGGTGACATCGTAATTGTGCCACCATATGTCCTTAGGAATAGCAATAAAAATGTCATTGACAAATCTGTCATGAATACAAAAGAATTTATTTTTATTCTTTTTAAATTGACTGAAATTTTTCAAATTGATTTTATAAATTTGACATCGATTTAATAAAAGTTTCATTTATTTCGTAAATACTTATTTTTTAAAAATTAAATTTTATTAAAAATTTTTTTAAATATATTAATTTTTATTGAAATTTTATATTATTTGATTAAATTTTCATAATTTTTGTTAATTAAATTTTTCATTATAATTAAATTTTATTTAAAAATTTTTAATATGAACAATTTATTTGTAAAAGAATTGGATTATTTAGTTTAATATTTTGTTTAATTTACAGTTTGGTGTGCGATACATGTGGTCACAAAAAATTCAAGGATATCTTTTAGCTGCATATTTTATTGGTGTTTTACCAGCAAGTATTCCTGCCGGAATACTTTCGGAAAAATTCGGAGGTGCAAAAGTTGTTGCGTAAGTTTTTCTTTATTCTACACATTTTTCTCTTTTATTTTTTATAAATAACTTATACACTTTTCTTATTGGAAAATTCTTATTTTTTTATTACTTTATTATTTTATTATTATAAAATCATTTTTTCTGGATAAATAATTTTTTTTATATTACATCACACATTATGTAGAATATTTTGAAAAAATTATTTTACAATTATTATTACTCAAAGGAAATACTGCAAGTATTTTTTATTTTTTTTTTATTATTATTATTAATCGAAATAATTGGCTTCTTTGTTAAAATATAGATTCGCAACTGTAGTTCCGGCTCTTTTAAATCTTTTGGTCCCCGTTGCCGCTTCAGCCGATGATTTATTGCCATATTTGGGCGTTTCATTTGTGTTTATTCTTCGTTTCTTGATGGGATTTTTCGGAGTAAGTTTTTCAATAATCATTTTCTTAGTTCAATGTTTATTTAAAAAGAAAAGGATAAAGTTAGAAAATATTATGCATCTATTAAAAAAAAAAAAAAACGAGTGAAATATTTTTTTTTAGTAAAAACAAATATTCTTTGTAAATTCAATTCTTTGTGAAAAATGTTTTTTTTTGTAAATATTTCTTATTGAGAAAAAAAAGTTAGTAAAATTTTTTTCATATTAGAAAAGTGTTATAATCTGATAAAACTATTAAATTAAAAATATTATTAAAAGAAAATGAAGAAATTTGAGTTTAGATTAAATGTGAATTGTTTCTAAATATAGTGAACATTGTAAAAATAATTATTTAATTAATGATCAATCTTAATTCTATCGTAGACACAATCTATTGGTTGTTCTATTTTTTTTGTATGAAGCGATGTGTGAACTGTGATTGGCGTCACAAGTTTTTATTGTTATAAGGCTACTTGGCTCCGCGTAATTGACCTTACAATTCAATGAGCGTACTTGATTATAATGCAATGAAATATCCTTTTATATCGATTGTAATATCAAATTTTAAATTCTTCAAAATTTTCTCTTTTTCTTTGTTTATTATAACTTTTATCAAGACGAAAGAAAATTTTTTTTCTTTCGATTCTTATTTTATTAAATAAAAAAAAAAGAAAATTGGAAAAAAATAAAATAATTAACCTAAATAAATAATAGCAAAAAAGTTAATTATGAATATAATTTTTAATAAATCTATTGATTTATTAATTTTCTAATAAATCTGTTGTTTTATTAATTTTTGTTTGTTAAATAAATTACATTAAAATTTAGTCTATTTAGTAAATATTTTGTTAATTTTTAACATTTGTAAAAATGTGCAAAATTTGAGAATTTTAATGGCTCTTTATTTTTAAATGGTCATAATTTCTTTAGCGTTACCACAGTTCAGAGAAACCAGGGAAAAGATTTTTATGAAAAGTACTGAAAAAATAAAAAAATTTCTAAAAATTCTACTAAAATTATAAATTTTGAAATTTTTAATTCAAACTTTTGCTTTTAAAATTTAGTTTCTTAATTTTTTATAAATGGAAACCTCTTGAAATATTTTCATTAGGGTTAGGGAAAAAATTTAAATTCTGACTAGAAATTAAGGAAAAAAAACAAAATAAAATTTTTTTTGAAAATTTGATGCAAGAATTTTAGAAAAATAGTTTACTATATTTTTTGCAATTTAAAACATTAAAATTTTATTTTTAAAACTGTTTGTATCCTTCGATTTTTTTGAAAAAATTTTCAAAAGAATTACTTCCTTTTACAAACATTTTAAGCGGGTGGGGGAAACGATTTATTCAATATTTTCGAAATTTTCAATTGTTTTAAAAATACCTTCGGTTTTTTTTATACTACGTATATTTATATATTTTAAATAAATGAAATTAATTTGTATGTTTATTTGCAGGGTTCTGTTTATCCAGCTCTACATGCAATGATTGCCAGATGGGTGCCTCCAACTGAAAAAGGAATGTTCGTTTGGACAATGCAAGGTAAATAAACAAAAAAAATATAATTTGCAATTCAATGTTCTTTCATTGTTCGTTTCTTTAATTTTAAAATTCAATTGCAATAATAAAATTTACTTAATACAATAATAATAAATTGATAAAATATGAATTTTTTATTTATAAATTATTATATAATTTAGAAAATCTTGACGATATGCAAGTGTAGTGTTTAAAAAAAAAAAAGAATTGCCAAATTATATTTTAATTGAAATTTATTTTTTAGGTGGACCCTTTGGTGCTTTTGTTACGTTTGCTCTTTGCGGATATGTGACATCCACATGGGGATGGACATCCTCTTATTATGTAACCAGTACATTAATGTTAATTTTCGGTGCTGTTTGGATTTATCTTGCGTATGATACACCCGATACTCATCCTACAATTACCGAAGCTGAAAAAAGTTACATCAAAGAGCAAATTGGAAAAACAGTGACGAAAAATCATGTGAGTAAATTTTATGTAAAAAATTTAAAGTTTTTTTTTTTTTGTAAATCCATTATTATATTTCGCCAGAAGTCAATGCGGTTTATTTTTAGAAAAAATCTTATAATTTGTAATAATAATTTTTTATATTTCTACAATTTATTTTTGACAATTATTTAATAAAATTTTGTATATTTACTTTGGAATTTGAATTTTATAAAATGATTTTCAGGGGAAAAAAGTTATATAGAAAATGTAGAAATATTTATATAAAAATGTAGAATATTAAAAAAAATATAAAATATGGGTATATATATGGAAAAATACCATTAAAATTGAGGTTTTGAGATTTTTCGCTGATTCTGAACACTAATAACTCCTTTACAGAAAAACGAAAATGCAAGTAATAATTTTTGTATAGAAAACTGTCACTGTTTTATTAGCAATTAATTAATTATATTTAAATTAATAATATAAAAAAAATTAATTAAAAAATTAATAATTTAAAAAAACATGGGATAATTCTTGTTTAGAATTTATTAATTTATTATTGTTTAATGATTTAAGTAGTGATAAAATGAAATAATGGATACCTAAAATAACCTAATTTTGCGATTTTCGACAATTAATTTTTTTTTTTAACACTTTTTTCATTTTTTATTTTTAAATATAAAAGAAATATTAAGTTCAAAGTAAGAAGTTTCTGTATTTTTACGAACTTTGCAACTTAATATTTCCATTAAAGAAAAATAGAAAATAAAAAAAATTTAAGTTAGTTAATGTTCTGATCTACGAACTATAAAATTTTTCTAAAACTATAGGCCGCAACAACTTTAGGTGTCAATATTGAATGATTGATTCTTTCATTATTTTATTTTTATAAATAAATTCTTTTCCATGAAAAAAAAAAAAAAAATTGATAGTTGAAAAATATTTATTTTAGTTAATGGAAGAGATGATTTTTTGAAAAAATCTGTTCTTTTCAAATAACTGCAAATTTTTTTCTTTTTTCTAGCCAAAACTTCCAGTTAAGAAATTGGCCACATCAACACCATTTTTGGCATTAATGTGGGCTCATTTTGCCAATATGTGGGGAATTTACTTTATTTCAACAAATGGACCCAAGTACACCAGCGAAATCATTGGTTTGAATATGAAATCGGTAATAAAATTGGATAAATTAAATTTTTATTTTTTCTAATTAAATTGTGTTAACTTTATTTATTTTTTTTAAGGGTGGTGCTATCACTGGAATTCCATATATCGCTAGACTCTTCTCTGGAGTTTTATTTGCCGCAGCAGGAGATTTTGTTCGAAGGAGATCAATAATGACCGTTGGATGGATTAGAAGAATTTTCATGATTTTCTGTAAGTTTTCATTTTCCAAATTTTTTATCTCTTTTACATTTTCTTTTTCTTTTTCTTTGTTTATTTTTTTCAACGGTATATGTATACATTTGTAATTTTATGGGTAAGTCCACGTCAGAAATATCAGAATCTGCAAGTGGTTCTTCGATTTTAATGATACTTGGTAAAATTATAGCTTTATATAAGAGCAATGTGTAAGTAAAAGGAATTTTTAAAATATCTAAAATTGTAGGAGTTATATCACTTTTAATTTTGATACTGCATTTTTTTCTTTCCTTTATATCTCGGTCAATTTTCAACCGATTTTGATGAATCAAAAACGATTTTTTTCAGAAAATTACGTATTTTCAGAAAATTTTTAAATAAAAATAAAATTTTCTTATTTAAATAGAAAAAAGTAAAAAACAAAATTTCTTTTAGATTTTTTTTCAATTTCGACCTCTTTTTTTTAATTTTTAATTTTTTAATAATATTCCTTTTTATTTTATCTTTAATTTAAAAAAAAATTCATCCTGGAGACTTTTTTAGATCTCGTGATATCGTCCTTTAAGTATTATAAGTCTTCATCAATTTGAAAACCGCAGGACTTGCTTCTATTATTACTTTCATTTGTTTGTTGAAATTTTTTATGGTTATGAATAACTATTTGTTTTAGAATCCTCTAAAAGAAAGCGCTAAAAACTTCAGCTACAATTTCAGGTTGCATTGTTAAAGTTTCATTACAATTTATTTTAAATTATAAATATTACAAAAAAAAAAACTTTGCTTCAAATCTATTAATAAAATATTAATTTGCTTGAATTTTCACTTGTTTTAGTCAAGTAATTTAAAAATAAAAACATTATTACGCGAATGTTTCTAGTTTGTAACAATAATATTATAAAACAAATGAAAGTAGAAACACAAATCTGGATCCTAGTTTTCTTGAGATGTGGATATTTAAAGAACGATATCACGAGATCTAAAAAAGTCTCCAGGATGAATTTTTTTTTAAATTAAAGATAAAATAAAAAGGAATATTATTAAAAAATTAAAAATTAAAAAAAAGAGGTCGAAATTGAAAAAAAATCTAAAAGAAATTTTGTTTTTTACTTTTTTCTATTTAAATAAGAAAATTTTATTTTTATTTAAAAATTTTCTGAAAATACGTAATTTTCTGAAAAAAATCGTTTTTGATTCATCAAAATCGGTTGAAAATTGACCGAGATATAAAGGAAAGAAAAAAATGCAGTATCAAAATTAAAAGTGATATAACTCCTACAATTTTAGATATTTTAAAAATTCCTTTTACTTACACATTGCTCTTATATAAAGCTATAATTTTACCAAGTATCATTAAAATCGAAGAACCACTTGCAGATTCTGATATTTCTGACGTGGACTTACCCTTATAGCAAATAATTATACTTGAAAATGATAAAAAAAAAAAAAATAAAAATACTTTTAAAAGTTGTTCAACTTTTCATGTTATTCATTATATTACAAAGTAATATTAAAAATTTGCTTTGTAAATTCAATATATTCAAAATAATTTGCATTATTAAAAAATACACAAAAATTCATTGTTTCTATATTGGGCTTATTTTTTTTAATACTTTTTCAGAAAATATCGTGAAAATTTTTTTGATAAACAATATTAATTTATTCAATTTTTTGAAAGAAGAAAATTTTTTCATCTTCTTTTCTCTTTAAATTTTCAGAGTTTCTAGATACTCATATGTATACCTACTACTTATGATAAAAATTTCATTTAGTATTTTTTTATTTCTTAGGTGAAAAAAAATTCTTTTTGGTGTTTTTTTTTTAAATCTTTCGAAATTTGCAATTTTTAAAATTTCTGGTTGTTTCTTGGGTCATTTTTTGCAATTTTATAAAATTCTGCTAAATATAAATTCGATGAATTTTTAATTCGACACATGAAAAATTCCAACATATCTAAATGTGGAAAATATTCATGCGATCCGTATTTATAACTTCGAATTATTAAATTTCTATTATAATTCATTAAATTTAATAAAAAAATGTTTGTTTTTGTAATATAAGGGAAATAAAAATATTTATTAGTGTGTCAATATTGTTTTAGTATAATTTATAAGTAATTTTTTTATTTTTCAGCTCATGTTGCACCTGGAATTTGTTTACTTGGAATGACGTACGCCGGATGTGACAAGATATTTGCTGTAACAATGATGATTTTGGCATTAGCATTCAATGGCGCCGCTTGTCAAACAAGTTTGCAAAATCATCAAGATCTGTCGCCAAATTATGCAGGTTCACTTTATGGAATTATGAATACCTTTGGCAGTTTTCCTGGATTCATACTTCCATTTATCATCGGTTTATTAACCGATCAACATGTACGTTTGAAATTTTTAATTCGAAACACATTCATTCGATTTTTATTTGTTTTTACTTTTTACATATTTAAAAACAATAATTATCAACTTAATTATTTTCTTTTTCTTGTAATCAATTAACGGTTGTTTTTTTTTAATTTATTAATTTTTAATCAAAATAATAAAGTAATAATTGAAAAATTGTTCTCAGAATGGAATTGAAGAATGGCGTATAGTCTTTTGGATCTCAGCTGTTGTTTTTCTATCGGCAACAGTTATTTTCTGGCTATTTGGATCGGCGGAAATTCAATCATGGAATGATGTTAGTCAAGAAGAGGTCGCCGATGAGGAAGTGAAAATTACCTCGAGAAAAGGTAAAGAAGGACAAAGTGAAGATGAAGAAAATGAACGACTTTAATTTATTATCTAGTTCATTACGTTTCGTAATTTAATTTCTCTCAATTAGTCGATGATAATAATAAATAATACACGAGAAGATTGCAAAACAATAATACTCTCTCAAATGGGAATTTTCAATTTAAACAAAAAAATAATAAAGTAGACATTTTTCCTTTTTTTTTTTTTGCATTTGGAAAAGTAAAACGATTATATAAAAGAAAAATGCATTGTCTATATATAGAAAAAAAAAGTTGAAATAATTAAAACAATAATTAATTAAAAAAAGAAAAATTACGAAGTGGTTCTAAAATTAAATCTTTAAATATTGTTGCATTTATATCAATGTTGTGAATGTTGAAGATTTATATAATATATAATAATTCATTAGAACCACGCATCACGTAATTCAGGGAGTTTGACCAAAAAAAAAAACAAACAAAATTTAATAATTAAGAGAGTCTTTAAGAAGCGCTTCCGTGTTGTGTGAAAAAAATTTAAATTATAAATCAACATAATGTTGATTTCTTTGACTGCGTGTTATAGATTAAAATTGCAGAATGTTTGAACTTTAATGCATTTAAATTAAAAGTGATCTAATCTGAAATTGAGGGCTAAAAAACAATTTTTCAATTTTTGAAAAATCACGTACAAAGAACAAGAAAATTGTGTGCCAAGGTGCGGAGAAATATTGTTTTGTTTCGTTTTTTTTTTTTTTTTTGTTTTTTTTTTGCACAATAATCAAAACTTTTTGTGGTGCATTGCAGAATGTTATACCTAATTCTGTAAATAGAATACTAACAATATTGTAGGTAAGAGAATAAGTTTACAATTCAATTTGAGTGGAAAAAAAAACTATCACTGTTCAAGGCACATATATTTTTTCTTTATTTAAATCATATATATATATATATATATTTTTCTGAAGAAATTTTACAACGATTTTTTTAACGATCAACAATAATTAAAAGATCTCTTTATGATGAAATAATCTTATCAAGATTCATTAATTATAAATCTTAATATAACTGAAGATCTCTGTAATATCGATTAAAGATCTTTAATTAGTAATTTTCTAGATAAGGGCCATGATATTATTTTATTTTTTTAATAATAATAATAAAAACGAAATTTTTTTCTAACAAATATTAGAAAAAAAAAATGTTGTTCAAAAGATAGTTTTGTGAATAAGAATATAGTTTTTGCATGATTAGTTTTTAAATCGTAATACTTATTATTTCTATTCACTTTTTAATTTGTATATCTACTTAATTGAATATATACGCTGACTGGTATTTAAAAGTACTGACAAAGAGAATATTATTTAGATATTCTCTAGCTTAAGTTTAATTACAATATTATTGTCGTGAGAAATTTTTATATTAAAAAAAAAAAAAAAAAGATTTTTTTTTTTTTCAAACACAATACGATATTTTTGTGTGTTCAGAAAATACAACGATAATTGAGATTTGTTTTCTCTCCTTTTTGTTGTTATTAAACTCGAAAATAAATATTTTCGATAAAACAAAACAAGGTTTTTTTTAATATAAAAAAAAAATTAAATTTGGTTTTAAAATTTGAGGAGGTTCAACAACAAAACATAAAACCTCAAAATAAAAAAGACTTTTTTATAATTATTCGAGAAAATTGAATATTTATTTTGTTCTATGGAACATTTTAAACAACTCTATTTTTGTGTTGAATTTTATTGAAAATGATTTACATATTTCAAAAAAAAAAAGAAAATTCTTATACGTTTAATATTTTTTAAACAAAAATATGATTTTCAACAAAATTCAACGAATAAAATTGTATAGAATCTTCTAATGCATAAAATGAGGTATTATTTTATTTATTTTTAATTGAAAAAAAATATATTTTTGGATTGAAAATAAAAAAAAAAAAAAATTGAAAAAAATAAAATGAAAGCAGAATTTTCAAAATGATTATTATCAAATCGACATTTGATTGAAACAACGATAATTCTAATTTGTATATTAAAAACGAAATTAATTTCTTCGATATATATTTAGACTTAATTTTGCATTTAAATTTATAAGTCAATTTATTGTGTGACACCTTGAAAATCATTAATCTACATCATCATTTATACAAAAAAAAAAAAAAATGTTTATCAAAGCAAAAAGTACAATTTTATAATTTTCATTTACATAAATATATATATGTATAATATGTAACTATTGTCAATTGCCGTACAATAAAATCTGATGCCGTTGAATATTTGTTTCTTTATAGATTAAATTTTTTTATTTAATTTTTCAAAAATTATTCGAAAATAATAGAGCATTTTTTTTTCTCCTTTTTTTAGTCACATTGAATTGAATAAATTTGCTTGCGAACTTTATTTTTACAACAATTTTCTTTGGAAAATGTAATATCAGAAATTTTTTCATTTCCATGACAAGTTTCTCGGGTACAAAATGCACGTTTAAAAATTTTTAAAGCTATCGCTGTTTGTGGTGTTAAATTACATTGAGATTTTGGATTTATTTTGAAATTTTGGGATTGAGATTGATTCAAGGAACATGATGAAATTTTATTCGTCGATTTCGTTGAATATTTATCACAATTTGAAATGTGTAATGATTTGGAATCTGAAAGAGAAAAACTTTTTACAAAATGCTTGCTTGGTGAAAAAAATGACACCTTGGAATTGTTTTGATAAAGACATGACACGTCGAAATGGTTGCTCTTTGCTCGTATCTAATTTTAAATATTTTACGGCATAAAATTTCTTTCAAAACAATTCAGAGTTGATTTGACAATATTACACAGCCACAAAAAAAAGTGCCCGGGTTTGGAGATCACAGTATCTGAAGTCAAATTTTGAAAATTCAAAATGGCGGATCCAATATGGCGGACAAATTTTTTGAAAATTAATGATTTTTTTAGAAATTTTTTTAAAAAATTTTTGGATTTTTATGGAATTTGTTACTTGGGAGTTTTAGGGCCCGCTCATTAAGAATCTGAATGTAGCTTTTCAAAATTCAAAATGGCGGATCCAATATGTCGGACAAAAAAAATAAACATCATTCAGATCGGCTTGAAAATTTCTATTCGAGGGTCTATGGCGTCGCTGATTAAGAATCTGAAGTCAGTTTTTCAAAATTCAAAATGGCGGTTCCAATATGGAGGACGAATTTTTAAAAAATTGTTAGATTTGTATGAAACTTAATACCGATTTTTATAATTATAAAAATCTGACTTGAAATTCTCAATCAGCAACCACAATAAACTCTCGGTATCAAGTTTCATAAAAATCCAATAATTTTTAAAAATTCGTCCTCCATATTGGGTTCGCCATTTTAATTTTGAAAAACTGACTTCAGATTCTTAATCAGCGACCTCAAAAACCCCCGAGTAAAAAGTTTCAAGTCAATCCGAATGATTTTTATTTTTTCGTTCTCCATATTGGATCCGCCATTTTGAATTTTGAAAAGCTAACTTCAGATTCCTAATGAGAGGCCCCTAAAACTCACAAGTGACACATATTCCATAAAAATCCAACAATTTTTAAAAAAGTTTCTAAAGAATAATTAATTTTCAAAAAATTTGTCCGCCATTTTCAATTTTCAAAATCTGACTTCAGATTCGTAATCAGCGACATCAAAAACCCCTAAATACCCAGTTTCATGTAAATCGTTCAATTTAAAAAAAAATCGTATACCACCAAAAATGTGAAATGTTTTTTGAGGTTAGGAAGAAACGTACACGTGCAGGAGCAAAACGGACTTCAGATTCGTGTTCAGCGGCCCACAATACATGGGGTTCTCTGATCTCCCAACCCGGGCACTTTTTTTTTGTGTGCCTGTGTTATTAGTAATTTACCTGAAGTTGACCAAAGTTTGGAGGGAGAAATATCGACATCCGACCAACCACATGGGGAACCTTAAAGAAGTAAAAAATTCTTAAGGCCATGTGATTGTTGATTTTCACATGTAAATATTTTCCGCAGGTTTTCTCGTAAAATATTTGATAGATTGAGGTAAAATTTTGTAGAGAACTTAAAAATACTATAAGGATTCGTTGTCTTGGGCCAAAATTAAATTAATATTTTGTCAAAAAATTTATTCTTAAAAAATTGCTTATTTGTGAAAAGGAATAAATTGTATTATCGACATATTATATTGAATTTTCCTCAAATATGCAATTTTTTAAAAATAAATTGTATCGCATAAAATATTAATACTCTGTCACGTAACAGAAATTCCTTATAGTATTTCTATTTTCTGTACGAAATTTTAGCTCAATCTATCAAATATTTTGCGAGAAAACCTGCAGATATTATTTTACATGTGAAATGACAACAATCACATAACCTTAAGGGGGTGTCAAAGTTGTGATACTTTTTTTTTTTGATAAAAATTGGGAATTATATAATTTGTAGAATTTTTACATTCAAAATCAAATTTTTTTAAATCTTTTAAAAATAAATTATAATTTATTATAATTGTAATTTTTCGAAGTATTCAAAAATATGTCGAAGCGATTTTGGGATTTTATTACCTTTATACCTGCATTCCGATTTTTGTGTTTACATTGAAATACAAAGGGTGTGCCTTAAATTAAAGGTCATAAAAATTTGTGATCCCAAAGATAATTAAATTAGTTGCAATTCGTGTATTAACCTGTTTAGACGTACTTAACTAGAGTATATGTAAATTTTTGTAATTTTAAAATCAAAATTTTACTAATAATATGTTAAAAAAATTAATTTTTTTAATTGTTGCTTTTTGTTCCGGGAGTGTTTGAAATTTTTAAAATCGCAATCGCTTAAATTTTTAGAAAAAGTATTTTATTTCTTAATTTAAAAACGTTGTTTCCGGGAGTGTAAAATTTCATAAACGTGTGTGTGTGTGTGTGTTTCCGGTACATCTTATCGTCCAAAAAAGATGAAACATCGGTTGCAGACTATATAAGGTTAGAAATATATTTTTTATAAATAATAATTACATGCAATTGTATATGTAATAAAAAATTTATAAAATATGTAACATTTATTTTTTTTAAACAAAGAGTTATATAGTTTTTTTTGTTATTGGCTAACGCTAACAGTTTATTGAACATTAATCAGAAAAAATATTTTTTGTCTGGGATCTGGGAAAACTGGGAATTTTTTTTATGCCATGACCGCACCCTGTTATCAGTATATAAATAAAGGCCAACGCACAATAGTTTCGCGAACGAGATGCTGCATGAAATAAAAAAAGATATGAATATATTTCTGTCCTTTTCTATTGGATGCTTGTTGTTAGTAAAAAAGAAAATATTTTACAAACTATTAAAGGTATCGTAAATCTAAACTAACCAATTGAAAGTTAAGCTAATTCCGCATCCAACGAGCCCTATATATGAAGTATTTTGGATAAGTAGTTTGTTAATAAACAATTGCAATGTGAACTAATTGTTTATTAACAATCTACTTATCCAAAATACTTCATGCTCGTTGGATGCGGAATTACGTTAACTTTCAATTACTAACTTCAGAATTACGGTAACTTTATTCGTTTGTAAAATATTTGATTTGTTATAAACATATAAACATTAATTAATTAATTAATTAATTAATATCTCAAAAACTTTAAAAGATCCCACTCTGAAAATTACATGTTTTGTAGGAAATTAGTCAAGCTTTCCATTGAGATAGTTAAAAATAATTTTAAAAAATCCGATTTTGAGATAAACGTAAATTAACATTTTGACCTTGAATTTCAAGGTCAAATGTTATTTAAAAAAAAAATTTTATTAACAGCGTGTAGCCCGTCAAAAAAGCTTTAAAAATCATTATATATATGTTAACTTTTATGCATTCTACTTATAAATATTGTACATTGAAAAAAATTTTTTTTTTCAAAAGTCAAAAATTAAAAACGTTGTAATTCAAAAACTATTTCATTAAATTCAATAATAATTGATTTTTAGACTTTCACCAACAATAACAACATTTTAGAAAAGTATGGATTAAATTCGAGAACTTTTAATTTTTTGTTCGGACATTTCAGGAATTTTGCTTCAAATATATCTCTGTCCTTTTCTAACTCATGTTTCACGTTCGCGAACGTATTTCGCGAAGCTATTCTGTTTAGGCCTTTAAAGAGAAGGTCATGTGATCGCCAACAATTTTGTCGACCAATTTTTTCCTTTTTATTAAAATACTGAAAGGAATAAAGGATGGATCTGAAATTTTGTCGCGAAATCTAAAGTTCTTAATTAAGAAATGTACGTAATTATTGACAAATTTGCGATAGCCTTTTTTTTTAATAGAAAATAAAAATTGTTCTTTTTCTACATGAAAATGGAAAATTCATATATAAAACTACAACCTGACACCTTATTTGACTAATAATATGAATAATATTAATACACTAAAACGTCAATCGAGAACAGACGAATGTGCAGTGCTGTTCTCGATTGACGCGATCGAAAATAAAATCACTCAGGGCCGTATGAAGTGCCTTACGCAACAATGTGAATTTTATCTAGGGGATTTTCACTAGTGGGGCACTGAATCCACCTTAAATTTAAAAATCACAAGTACGACTTTGGCGTCATTCATAAAGGCCAACGCACAATAGCTTCGCGAACGAGATGCATGAGATAGAAAAGGATACATATATACCTCTGTCCTTTTCTAACTCATGTTTCACGTTCGCGAACGTCTTTTGCGAAGCTATTCTGCTTAGGCCTTAAGGGTATGTCCAACATGTGAAATGTAAACAAACATAAAATGTAAACAAACCATGCACATTTTTTCGCACTTCTTATTTGTGTAGAAAATAAAAATTTGTCGTTTTCTTTGTGAAAATGGTAAATTTATATATTATACTAGGTAACTATACTTTATTGAACTAATTATGTGAACAAATAAGTATAATTGTAATGAAATAAAAAGTACACTGAAATATGAATTTTTTCAAGGTTACGAAAAATTTAAGCATTCGAGTATATCTGAGGCACGGACGTTGAGGACTTAGGTGGGAGAAAGTGAGAGAAGGGGTAAAATTTCAGAATTTTACCCTTTCCAAGATGTGACCGTCCAATGGCTCAACTCTTTCTCCCACCTAGGCGCTCAACGTCCATGCCTCAGATATACTCAAATGGTTTTTTTTTTCGAAACCTTGAAAAAATTGCTAATTCAGTGTACTTTTCATTTTATTATAATTGTACTTATTTTTTCATATAATTAGTTAAATAAAGTATAGTAACCAACTTTAATACATTAATTTACCATTTTCATAAAGAAAACGACAAATTTTTATTTTCTACGCAAATGAGAGGTGCGAAAAAATGTGCATGGTTTGTTTACATTTCATGTTTGTTTACATTTTACATGTTGGACATACCCTTAACCTAAATTCTACCCGCTTCCCCACTTCCCCTCAAGTGTTCCCTTCCTCTGTTTTCGACTGACGTGTTCTCGATTGACGTTTTAGTGTAAAATGAAAATTACACTTCAACAACAATTTTCTCAAGGTTACGAAAAAAAACCATTTGAATATATCTGAGGCACGGACCCCACACAGCACATTAAATTTCCTGAATTTTTCCTGAATATTTCATTGAAAGATTCGAAATATTTCAATGAAAGGTCCATGAAATATTGCTGCAACAGGAAAATGTCCGCCTATTTGAAATATTAGACGGTCAACTTGAGAAAATATTTCATTGAAATATTGTGGAAATATTTAATTTCAAAGATGCGCACTGGTCTAACTCAGTTTCTATGGCCTGTAGAACTGCGCAGTAGTTTTTACTTTTCTAGAAACCTAAGGATGTTGAATATTTCAGAAAATTCCTATTGATTTCATGTGTTTAACAAATTTTTTCATTTTTTGAAATATTTCCAGAATATTGCTAAATCGATATGTGTAATATTTCAGGAATATTTCAATGAAATATTTTCTCAAGTTGACTATTTAATATTTCAAATAGGCGGACATTTTCATGTTGCAGCAATATTTTATGGACCTTTCATTGGAATATTTCGAATCTTTCAATGAAATATTCAGGACAAATTCAGGAAATTTAATGTGCTGTGTGGGGACGTTATGAACCTAGGTGGGAGAAAGAGTGGAGCGATTGGACGGTCACATCTTGGAGAGGGTAAAATTCTGAAATTATACCCTCACCAGAGGACAGAGACTAGGTCTTTTACCCCTTCCTACACTATTTCTTCCAAGGTCTACTTCGTACGTGCGTCAGATATACTCAAATGGATTTTTTCGTAACCTTGAAAAAATGTTTAATACAATTTAATTTTCATTTTATTATCATTATTCATATTATTAGTCAAATACGGTGTCAGGCTGTAGTTTTATATATGAATTTTCCATTTTCACAAAGAGAAAGTACAATTTTTATTTTCTATTTAAAAAAAGGCTGTCGCAAATTTGTCAATAATTACTTACATTTTCATGTTAGTGACTTCGCTTCTAACCTCACAATTTCCAAGTATTTTATAATAATTACGTTTGAAAATAACAAAAAATTTATCTTAAATTTATAAGAGAAAAATTCTAAAAATTAAAAACATAAAATTTTACTTTTTCTGTAAATTTTTTTCAGAGGCTCGTCAGATTTAGTGCTGCTCACGCTCGAAGAAGAATTAATTATTGTCGATGTTTTAGAATTCATTGTGCTTGATGAACATATTTTGGGAATTTTTTCATTTTTTTTCGGAACTTGATAATTGTAAATTTTAACATCTCGCAGTGTACTTCGAATATAACATGGTTTATATGTTAAAAGAATATCTTGCGTTTGTTGAATTTCCATTTGTTTTGAAAAGTTGAAATAATCATTTTGTGATTCATTATTATTAGTGCAAAAATGACATTTAGATTCAGTGGCACAAGCCGAACAAAGAATTGTTGATTCTACTAAATCTTCAAGTTTCTTTACTTCCGGAACTCCAGCTAATTTTGTTTGTGTAGCTATTGTTTCCGTTTTTGGTTTTTCACGTTTTGCTAACATTTTTTTTCTTTCAATGAATACTTTATCCAATGGTTTAGCTGAATTTGTCAAATAAAAGAAAAAAAATAATATCAATATTAATTTCCTTTTTTTTTCATAAATAAAATTTTGAATTAAATTTATTACGTGGGTCAGATAATAATAATAATAATAATAATAATAATAATAAAAATAAAAAGTAATAAGCTTTTGTTCAAAAAGGGAAAAAAAATTTTGCAATAAAATGACTTTTGTTAAGGGCATCCGGGAGAAAATAATGGTTTTGTAGATTTGTTCTCATTTGAAAAAAATAGAATATTTTAGGTTGTAATTTTTTGCAATAATATTGTAATTTGGGGTAAGTTAGTTCAGTAGCGGCCACTAGCTAGAATTGGCGCCACATAGATTCAATGTCTGTCCCCACTTCTGTCAAAAATCCAACTTTTATAACCACAAAATTACTTGTAAAAATGGAGATGATTCTTAATCAACGAGCCCTTATCTAATTAATCCGAACAAAATATTTCAAGTTATTTACGAGTAATATCTCGCAAGGAAAAACACTTTTTGGTTAGGGATTTTTCCCCCATGGCCTTTAAAAACAAAATTATTTTTTTGTTTGGAAAAAAAAGATTCCTGTGGCTAAGTAGAAACATTTTTTCAACATTTCGATTTATAAAAAAAAATGTAATTCGCTTACATTTCTTAAGTTTTGGTTTTTCTTGCAAATGTATCGCAAATAGAATAGAATTTCTGATTAGGAAACACAAAATATTTTTAACAATAGCTTCAGCTTCTTTTGCAATCGTAACAAAAATTGCTTCAATAATGTCTTCGATTAAAAGAAGATTAATAACATTTCTCGACTCCTCGGGATCAACTGCCACTGGACGTCTCAATTTTTTCAAAATATCCTCATCACCACCTTCCACAGTGAATTTATAAGAGGCCAATGTTTGAACCTCATTATCCAAAAAGGGAAATCGAATTTCCCTTGAACAATTATCTAAAATTTCATCAAAAACATCATCAATTATTATCCTGTCGTAGACGCCTTTCGATAAACAATCTTCAAGATAATTCATCACAAAATGTTTTGCATTAAGATAGTCGTCAAGTAATTTTGAATTGGAATTTTTTGGTTCACATGTTAATTGTGTTTGTGTTTCTTGATTGAATATTACTTTTCCCGTTTTTAAATTAAAAACAATATCGGTCAGTGTTTCGATATTTTTATATTCGATTATTGGCTCCTCGGGATCAGAATTCCAAAATACTCGCTCAATTATGTAATTTAAACAATGCCAGGCTTCAATTTCGGAAATATTTTCATTGATAATTGATAAATTTGTGATTTCTGAATTTCTTTGATCATGATTTGTGAAAAGTTTATCAATTAATTTTTCAAGAGAATAATCATTGCCATTGAATGTGATGATTGTTTGTGATTTTTCCCCTGTCTTGAGAATGGGAATGGACTTTTTGCTAATAGGGACTGAAATAATTTTTTTTTTATAATAATTGAATGATTAAAATATTTGGGCGATTCCACGTGAGATTTACCTGTATGACCTTTTAAATTCGTCTAAATATATTTTTTTCTTATTCTTTGTAGAAAAAAAGGTTTATGTATTTTTTTATATTTTTATAAGTGCTCAAATTTTCGAGTTATGAATTTTTAAAAAAATTTGATTTTTCAAGTTTTTTTTGAAATACACCTAATTTTAATGACATGTAACTCTACACGGAAAAAACAAACTAACTATTTTAGCACCAAACTGCTTTATCCTTTATTAGTATGCAATTTCGTTTACCTATTAAAGTATGAAATAATGCTTTTTTAGTTTAAAGTAAGTCCATACTAAATAAGTATAATGGTTATACTCTTTTAGTAATAGTGACGTACTTTAAAAGCATAAAGTTGATGCCCGCGAAGTACGACATATAGTCTACCTAAAATAGCAAGAGCTTCTTCCTTTTTGGTGTATAAATTCTTGCAACCTGCGTTTTGGCCACGCCTCCTTCTCCTTCCAACCATTGATATATCGATATAGGCCAAAACGCAGGTTGCAAGAATTTCCCACAATTTCAAACTGATTCGAATATAAATAAAGAAAATACGAGGAAAATAGCGAAACCGTACTTTCGTTCGCAACGCGAATGTAAAAGGCAGCCATGTTTGTCGTCGCAATGACACGCGCGCATACACACACACAGCAGCAACTAAGGCTCCCTCAAGTTGTTTACATATATGTGTGTGTGTGCGCGCGCGCGCGCGTGACGTTGCGACGACAAACATGGCTGCCTTTTTACATTCTCGTTGCGAACGAAAGTACGGTTTCGCTATTTTCCTCGTATTTTCTTTATTTATATTCGAATCAGTTTGAAATTGTGGGAAAAACTTCCTGATTAGTAAAGGAAAAACTTTCTCGCGAGAAGTTTTCATAATTTGAAAATTCATCGCATACTTTTTTGTGTTGAAAAGTGAAATTCCTCTATTTGTAAATGACGTCTTTTAAAATTTTTTAATAAATAAATAATGTGATTTTTCTTATTTTTTATAGCTTGTAGGCTTCTGTTGTGTATATTGTGTATGCTTAAAAAATTTCACAAAATTTCGTCAATATTTGACCGAAAAAGGACGATATATTTATTAAAAAGTAATTTATTTTCGAAAAAAAAATTTTTCAGTTTTTATTTTTTAGTACTAATAAATTACATTTTAGAAAAAAGTTTCAAATAGATAAAATATGTATTTTTTTCTTCTGCATAACCTAATTTTTTTTAAATATTTTATTTATGAGTTTTAAAATTTGATGGTATAGTGGAGGGGCGGACAATACTTCTGCGTGAGTTCGAGCGAAGAATCGGTTCTACGATCCGGCTCCTCAATTATGACCAAAATAAAAAAAAGAGTTTCAGTTTTTCCTCGACTTTCAAAATATGTTAACGAAAAAAAATTTTTTTGAATTTGTTTATAAAAAACAGCGATTTTTTATAAACAAATTAAATTTTTTTAAATTTAGGCGCGATTTTTTTAATTTTTTTTTATTTTTACACACATGAAAATAAGAAGAAAATTTTGTAGTAAGTTTTCGAGTGGGCATGATAATCCTTATGTTTATATAATTTGTTTAAAAAAAAAATTTACTTTTTTCGTTTTTTTTTTTATTTTTCAAAATGAAAAGTGTTTTTGACACTAGGATCTACTAGTAAACTCATATAAAAGCAAATTAAAATAGATTTTATTTTGAAAAATAAAAAAAAACGAAAAAAAAGTAAATATTTTTTTTAAACAAATTATACTGGATCATCATGCCCACTCGAAAACTTACTACAAAATTTTCTTCTTATTTTCATGTGTGTAAAAATAAAAAAAAATTAAAATAAATCGCGCCTAACTTTAAAAAAATTAAATTTGTTTATAAAAAAATCGCTGCTTTTTATAAACAAATTCAAATTTTTTTTTTTGTTAACATATTTTGAAAGTCGAGGAAAAACTGAAACTTTTTTGTATTTTAATCATAATTCCTAAATTCAATACTTTTAGAGTTACATGTCATTGAAATTAGGTGTATTTCAAAAAAACTTGAAAAAATCAAATTTTTAAAAATTCATAACTCGAAAATTTGAGCACTTATAAAAATATAAAAAAATACATAAACCTTTTTTTTCTACAAAGAATAAGAAAAAAATATATTTAGACGAATTTAAAAGGTCATAACTGGGTAAATCTCACGTGAAATCGCCCATTTATATATTCACGAAATTTCATTTTTTGGAAATTTTATTTGTCCGAAATTTCATATTAAAGTTCACGTGTAGGATCAACGATTGAAAAAAAATTGTATTTTTTTCACACAATACATAATAAATAATATTTGGCATAAAATTTTTTATTCTAAAATTTGCAGATAGAGAAAAGCGTTGTAAAAAAATTTTTAGACAAAAAATTCTAATAATTTGAATAAAAAAATTTTTCTTCTAAATCGTTGATCATAAACGTTGTGGACATCACCGACGTGAAATTTCATATAAAACAGAATTTTCATTTAGGGTCAACCGGGGTAAATCCGAACGCTTTTAGTAAGTTTCAACAATAACATAAGTTTTTTCTTTAAAAAAAAAATACTTCCGGTATTCTGGTGCATGAAGTTGTTACTTTACTTCCATAGAACAATTTTATGGGGTAGAAAAAATTTTTGATAAATTACAATCGCAGGAAACTTAGCGTTCGTATTTACCTGAATACTTTGCAACTTTCCTAAAATATGGGGGTAAATACGAACGCCACTGTATTTCAGAAAAATCTTAGGGAAAATAAATTTAAAGTATTGCAATTGTAAAACTTATATAAAAACTCAAAAAAAATACGATAATAAACCTATTATGTAATAATGCATCATATATAAATACAAAAATCAAACTGGTTAAAAATTAAAATGCATTACACAATTAAAACCTTCAATAACTTTATCAAATCATAACGGATTTTTGCAAAACTTGCTACAGAAAGTATTTTGGAGTGATTGAATGTAAATACAAAAATAAAAGTCAAATTTTTTAAATTCAAAATGGCGTACTTTCCTAAAACTTATTTTTAAAAATGATCAAATTTGCTAACCCTGAAACCCCCCGAGTAACAATTTTCGAGCGAATCCAATGAATTTTTTAATTCTCGTCCGCCATTTTGAATTTTGAAAAACTGACTTCAAATTGGTAATTAGCGACCCCAAAAACCGTAGAATACCAAATTTTATTAAGATCCTGAAAAACTTTTTTCAACAAACCATTTGGCAAAAAAATTGAAACACTCCTTCGAGAGAACAGAGATTAAGTTTCTGCTTATTAATTACTAACGAGGATACGTATAGAAAGAAAAACTTTTTTCTATGTACTTTTATAATGTTAAAATAATAGTGTAATCAAATAAAAACAATTTTGTGTGGCTTTGATGTAAAAGAAAATTATTAAAAATACCGTTCGGATTTACCCCAGTTTTCCAATTTTCTTGGGTAAATACGAACGGTCTGATATTATTAATAAAATTTTACAGAAGGCAAAAATCAAAAATAGTTTCTGTTCTAGTATTCATAACAAACAATTATAAATAATAAAATGAATTTTTAGCTTCTTTTTCTTGAAATACGAGACAAAATACTGAAAGAGTGTCATCTTTGATTTTCAATCTTTTTTGCAATACTTGTTATCTTTGTTTATGCTGTTGCTAATTAACAAACGAAAAATGGGATAATACTTAGAATCTCTTGAAGAGGATCTGAGGTAAAAATTCTCATATCGAACTTATTTTTAAAAATTTTAATTAAGCTGAAATAATTAGCGTTCGGATTTACCCCCCGTTCGGATTTACCCCGACTGACCCTAACTGAAATTTTATTTGTCCTTAAAAAAAATGGAATAAAAATAAACTATTAAAATTAAAAAAAAAATTCTTGATCGTACAGGGCATTCTACGTGTGATTTTTATTCAAAATATTTTTTGAACACTTTTTTTTAAAATCTTTATGAAAATTAAAAAAATTCTTTTCGTTCTTTTCTTCAAAAAAAAAAAGTTAAATTTAAAATTAAGAATTTCTTTTTTACCTGAAATCTCTTTGAAAATTAATTTTACAATTTTTAACGTAACTGAAATACGCAACGTTTATGATAAACGATTTTTAAAGAAATAATTTTTTTAAAATTAAAAATTCTATAATTTTTTGCCTAAAAAATATTTCCTGTAGTTTTTATTAATCAACAAATTATTAAAAAAATATTTTTTAGGCAAAAAATTATAGAATTTTTTATTTTAAAAAATTATTTCTTTACAAATAGTTTATCATAAACGTTGCGTACTTCAGCTTTTTTTTAGTATCTTTTAGTATCTTCTTCAGTTCTTCTTTATTTCAAATATTTAACAAATTTTTAACTAAAATTCTTAACTAAATTAATTATTTTTAATAATTTTAATGAAATTCATCACAAATTCAATTATTTCAAAATTATTTTTCAATTAAAATTTTTATAAAATTTAACAATTGTTTATAATTTTTAAAAAATGTCAAATAAAATTACTAAAAATTTTTAATTCAAAACTAAAAAAAATTCAATTATTTAAAAAACTTTCAATTCAAAATCAACTAATATTCAAATATTACACAAATTCAAAATCTTTTAATATTTAATTATTTTCCAAATTTTCAATTTAAAATCAAATAAAATTCAATTATTACCCAAATTTCAATTCAAAATCTTTTAAAATTTAATTATTTTCCAAAGTTTCAATTTAAAATTAATTATTATCAAAATTTTCAATCAAAAATCAACTAAAACTGAATTATTATTCAAAATTTCAATTTAAATTCAATTATTTTTAAAAATTTGAATTTTAAAGCTTCTAAAATTTTATTATTTCTAAAATTTTCCATCGAAAATTTTTTGAAATTTATCAATTTCAATTATAACTCTAAGGAAATTCAATCATTTTTAACTATTTTCATAATATTCTTTGAAAATTCAACTATGTAAAACCATTTTTCAATAAAAAATGGTTTTCAAATTATAGTATTTTTTGTTCAATAAATTTTTAAAAATCTCAATTGTAAATCTTTGAAAATTCAATTACATTTAAAAAATGTTATCTGAAATTATTTGATAAATTATTTTTAGTTCTGTAAAATTTAATTATTGTCTGAAAATTAACAAAATCTTTTAAAATTCAATTATTTCTAAAAATTTCAACTTTAACCCTTCCAAAAGTATTATTATTTTTAAAAAAATTTTATTTAAAAATCTGTAAAATATTTTTGTTAAAATAAAAAAAAATCGACTTTTTCGACTTTTTTTTGAATATAAATCGACTAAACCGACTTTTTTTTGTGCCTTTAAGTCGATCCGAGGCCTGTTACTGATGAAATAAATTATACCAATGACATTTTTGACAATATTTTCAACGGGATGTTGTTTTCCAATGTAGAATGTTTGACATGCCTCGTCTTTTAGTTCAATAGGAATATGAATTTTCTGAATATCTTGAATATAAGTTTGACATTCAATTTCGGCAAATGGCTTTCGATTTAATTCTGCGGGATCAATAAAATGTTTTCCAGGACTTTCAATTTTTTGCACATGAATAATATTATTATCATCGAGTTCTAATTTATTATTTATAGAATTTCCCGAAATTTGTGTTTCTTCATTTATTTCACGAAGTGTTCCATTTTCTTGAGGTATTATTGTAAAAATTGTTTGAGCCCACATATCATCTTCATTCTATAAATCGAAAAAAAAAAATTTTTACTTTATTTTATGAACAAAAATAAATTTCGTACCATAATAGACCCCGATTGATGGCACAATATTTATTTATTTCAGAAATTGATATATTTTTTATTTTTATAAAATAAAAATTCTAACTTTTTTTGTTTATTTTCAATAGGAAAAATAAATTGCGATATTGAGTAAAAATTCGGTTTTTTTATTTTATGAAATTTCTTAAAATTTTATTGATCAATCGACGATAAGCAAATTTTTCACCCTAAATACATTTTTTTTTTTTTACAAAAGCAAAAAGTTATTAACACCAGATTATATTGTAAATATTTCTTTTTACAGTAAAAAAAAAAATTCTTACAGATTTATCTAAATTGACTTCCATTGTCTCAAAAAAGGTCTTAACCTCGATTTTCAGATGAAAACAAGAATTTTTTTGTGTGTTTATGGCGAAAATATACTTTTAACATTAATTAATTTATTAATACAGTATCATTTTATTTTTTATCTTTTAATATTATAATTTACTAGAATTATAATTATAGAATTATTGAATTCTCATTTTAGTAGAAAAATTAAGTGTATTTCATTGTTTTTGTTGACAATTGTGTCAAAATTTAAAAAACATTCGAAATTTGTTTTTTTTTTAAAGTGATAGAAAAAATAAATTTTCTGAATTTTATTTTGTAGAAAAAATTCTTTTTTTTCAGTGTTAAAAAGAATTTTTATATTTATAAAAAATTTCAAAGATTGAAAACAAAATTTTTTTTCATTTTTTTCTTTTTTCTTCTTGAATTATTATTCAAAAAATAAATTATTGTCGAAGTGCAATTTTTACGATGAATGTACGTATTTGCATTGGTTTCAATTCAACACTAATTGCTGACGCATTCTCCAAATTTAGTGGCACAGACGAATCATTAGTTTTGAAAATTTCATTTTCCTCTGAAGTCCATTTTAGACGATTATTTTCCTCTAACCATTGATTTCCTCCTAAAGTAGTTTCTCGAACTGAAGTCACAATGAAGGCTGAGAAGAGATCCTGGAATTTTGTTTTTTAATAATATTAATAAAATCTGCTTTTTGCATTATATATATTTTTGAAATCTATCCTTTTCAATATCATATTGTAAATTTTGAAACAAATGGGTCAGAATTTCTCAAATGTATCATTCAAAAAATCATTTTTTTTACTCCTATTGTGATAGGTTTCTGAAAATATTTTACCAAAAATTTTTTAGCTGTTTTAATTAAAATAATTTTTTTTTTTGAGATTTAGTTGACCAATTTTTTAAAAAATAGTTTTTTTCTCTTAGAACGTAGTTTCAAAACAAGAAACCCCAATTTTCTTTAATTCAAATTTCAATTATTTACAACGTTAATAAAGAAATATTTTTGGTCTAATTTTTTCAGGAATTTCTTTGGATCACAGTAGAAGTAAAAAAAAGCGATTTAATATTGAAAATTAAATTTTTTATCTTTAGATAATTTGTTTGGGAAATTCTGAAATAAATGATAAAAACGAATTAATTGAATAATAATTTTATAAATATACCTGAATATTCACATCGACAGGAATGGAATATTTGCCCGATTCTCCTGATTCGAAAATATGTTCAAGTCTCAGTAAAACAGTTCCATCTTTCCAAGGTTCTAAAGTTAGAATTTGAACATTGGATGGCAATGATTTTGCCAGTCCAGAATTCTGTTAAAAAAGAAAAATTTTAAAAAATTTTTTCTACAACTAATTTTGTTGGAAATTTATATTTATACAATTTTTATAAAATCTCAAATTTTTATACGTTTTTCCTAAATTGCAAAATATTAACTAAAATTTCTACTATACTTAATATTTTCTTTCAGTGCATACACGGAAAGAAAAAGTATTAAAAATATTTTAATACTGTTTAAAAAAAAAAAAAGAATAATACCAACTAAATTTATTCGTCTAACAAATAATAAAAATTTGTCAATTGGTTTTATTTTTTTTTTAAAACAATATTAAAATATTTTTAACAATTTTTCTTTTCGTGTAAATAAACAAAATGCTTGATATACCACAAAGCTGAAGTACGCCACGTTTATGATGAACGATTTTTAAAAAAATAATTTTTTAAAATGAAAAATTCTTGCCTAAAAAATATTTTTTTACAATTTGAAATTACAAGAAATATTTTTTAGAAAAAAAAATTATAGAATTTTTTATTTTAAAAAATTATTTCTTTAAAAATCGTTTCAACTTCGTGATTTACCTGCATTTTGTAAGTGTTTTTCCATTCGTCATAAGAAATATTTTCCACAGGACTGATGAAAACCCAAGGCCGAAGGGCCAATCGTGTTGCTTCCGTTTTTTCATGAAGTCTAAATTCATCAGAATCACTTCCAAAAATAATGGAATGTTCACCCCTTGAAACTAATCCTATTCCATATGCAGTTTCATTTAATGCTTCTTCTACGCCAAAGGCATCATCTTTCAATAGTCTTCTGTGAACCTGTGAATAAAAAAAAAAATATTAAATTTTCTTCATTTTTTTTTTTAAATTTATCAACGCAGTGTTTTAAATTCAAAACGCCAAATTTTCATTTATCCAAAATTACAAATGTCCAAACAAAATTAAATCGACAGAAAGGTTTCGGCGCTGATTATAAATTTACCAATCATGATTTTCTTGATAATTTCTGATTGGTCAATTGTAAAAATCACGTCGAAATCTTTCTATTGATTGTATATTCGGTCATTCGTAATTTCGGACAAATGAAGATTTGTCGTTTTGAGAATTATATATATCAAATAAGAATTTGTTGGTGATAAAAATTCGAAAAAATGAAAATTTGTCAAATCAGACATTTTAGCATTTAAAAATTCGTATTTCACTAAAAAATTCTGTTGAATGATAATTATGCTAAATTAAAATTCAGTTAAATTAGAATTATTTTAAATAAAAAGTTGATTAAAAAAAAATTCTGTGAAATACAAATTTTTTCAAATAAATGTTCGGTATCTAAAAATTTTGTTAAGTAAAAATTCGTTTAAAAATAAATTATGCTAATTCGAAAAAAGAATTTTGCTCCATTTTTTAATTTATTTTATAATAAAATTTAGCCAAATGTTTTTAGTGATTTCAAAAAAAATTGTTATTTCTATTTCTCGTTGATTATAGGACATTCTGAGAATATAAATCTTAATTTATGAAGTTTTCCTAATTTCTTACTGAAAGAGAGGAAATTGTAAAAAAAAATACCTACATGTGACGTTCCATGAGGAAAGGGACCTTAGCTGCAAAAAAATGAAAATTGAGTTTTTGATATCAGTCGATAGATCTTGAGTTGCTCTTTCAGATACAAAAGTTAAAAATTGTACTTTTCTATTTAGTTTTTTTGTTATAAAGCATTAATCATGACCATGTTAATCGCGTTCCAGCACGGACTACAGAAACCATCCCCACCACTTCTACACTAGTATACTTGTCGTAAGCGTGAGCTGTAGGAACGATGTAGTAGTAAGGTGGTGGGGCTGATTTTCGATGGAGGGTCTCAACCAATCAGGGACGCTCTACTTTAAATACCTTTTCTGGAAAATGCGTCTATTGCAGCTAAGGTCCCTTTCCTCATGGAACGTCACACATATATACAATTTTTCTTAAATTGGGTATTTTATGATTTTTTTCTTACCATGAGTTCAATTTCTCCATCCTCTAAACTGGTACCACCTTGTGCTCTATCAGTGAGAGCGGCTAATCTTAATTTTCTCTTTTCATCTCTCACGACAATTTTTGTCGTTACTGGATAATAATTTCCTGCAACTGGTTCCTGTAGATGTAAATTCCAAGTTGGTCGTTTGTTTCTTTCGCGTTTTAACATTTCGCGGCCATTACTGTCCGTATAAAATTGACCATTTGATTCCAAATTTGTTGTATATTTAGTAATAATCTCTTTACCAATCTTGTCGCTGAAAATAATTTACAATTTCATTCTTTATAATACAATGTAAATTAAATGATTATAGTAGTTTGGTTTTTAATAGTTTTTTATTTAAATAAAAAATATTGAAAATTATTTTTTAACTTTAATTTGTGTGATCGAAAAAAAACGAAAGAAAATAAAAAAAATAAAAATTATAAAATTAATAAAAGAGTAGAAAATATATTACTTGACATCAATGGGACCAACTAGCCAATTGAATTCAATTCTATCCTCTCCATTATAAATTCGAACAACTTCACTGACCCATTCGTTAACAGTGAGATGAAGTTCCTCCACCAAGGGACCTAAAAATTATATTTTTAAATTATTTTTAATAAATATAATGTTATTAAAGATATTTGGTTTTAGAAATCAGAAAAGAATTTATCAATACGAAATTTGTACACTTTCTAAAATCCGAATTAGTGAAATTTTAATTAATTTTTATTAGTGACTAATTTTTTTGCTATAGTATGAATATTGGTTAAATTTTACCTAATAGTGTAAAACGTTTTTTTTATATAATGCTGAAGTATTAATAGAATTAGATTAATTAATTAGAATAGATTAATAGAATTAAAAATTTTTTTTTTATTTCTTTTAATATTTTAATAATCACGTGACGCCTCTTCCAGAAAAAATCGATTGAAAACGATTGAAAACAATAGGAAAGAAATTTCTATTGTCCCCAATCGTGTTTCTTAATCGTGTTCTTACAATTGAAGACGATTGACGTTCTTATTATATTCAATCGTTTTCAATCGTGTTCTATATATTGTATTCCATGCACTATTGCTTGGTGGGAGTTTTTGAAAATTTTAAAAAATGCAACTAATTAAACAGTCTAGAAACATATAATTATTTCACCACAGAAGAAAATCATATATTTTATCAAAAATTAATTAAAAGTTATTTTTTAATTTATCTTTGAATGAAACTGCACAAGACGAAATGTTTCTCGTTTATAATTTATCGAAAAAATGTTTAAAAAATAATTTTTGACAGATACATCACGTATTGTTTTAAATTGAATTACTGAAATTTTTTTTTAATTTCAATCAATATTGAATTTTTTTAAATAATCGAATATTGGAAGATCTACAATAATTATAAGATTCATTAGAAATAATTAAATTTCAGGTGATTTTAAATTGAAAATTTTGAAAATATTTTAATGAATGAAAAACTTTATACAAATGTAACTGGTTTAACATCCGTTTCTAGCACGAAATAAGTTTGTAAAGAATTTTAATTTAAAATTTTTAGAAAAAATTGATATTTCGAAGAGTTACAATCAAAGTTTTTAATAAAAAATATTTTTTTTTAATTTATGATAAAATTTGCAAAAAGTATTAGTTACAATTTTTTATAAATAAAATAATTATAGAATTTAATAGAAGTAATTCAATTTTGGAAGAGTTAGAATTGAAAGGTTTTGACTTATTATTTTTAAATAATTGAAATTTTATAAAATTTAATTGAAAAATTTGAAAACAATTGAACTTTTTAAAGAATTTGATTACAATTTTTGAAAATATTTAATTGAAAAATTATGGTTTTTTGTTGTTGGAAGGAGTTTAGGTGAACTTCGAACAAAATTTATACTGAATAATTTTTTTGCTAAATTTTTTTGAAAAGCTGCTGGACACCTAAAGTTTAGAAAAACTAAAAATTTTGTTCTAAAAAAAAAAATTAAAAACTGAAATTATTTTAAAATGTAAGAAATAGAATTTTTTCTTATATTTATTTTTATATGTACCTAATTATTTATTTAATTTCTGTTTATATGTATTTTTTATGTACCTATTTATTTATCTTTATTTTTTTGAGGTTATGTATTAACAACTCGAAGATTGTCGTATTTAATTTGTTCATATATAGGATAAGTAAACATATTGACATTATCCATATCACTAGAAATTTTACTTTAGATTTTAAATATTTGACACATATGCACGAACAGAACAAACTATATATTACAAAAGACTTATAAGAAAAACATCTTTCCTGTATGATTCAACACTTTTCTTATTCTTATAATTAACTATTTGCGCATGTGCGTATATCGTTCTCCCGATAGCACCCGATTAAAAACAATTGAAAAAGTTTAACTTATTTTACACGATTGAAAACAATTCGAATCAATTGAAAAAATATATACTCCAATTGAAAACAATTCAAAACGATTAAAAAATTTTTTGTACTCTATCGTTCTGAATCGTGTTTAATTGATTTTTTCTAGAAGGGGTGAAGGTAGCGCTACTAGTGTTCACTATCGGCAATAGTAAACGTCGTATAGCAGGGTCAATTAAGATATTCACATTGTAAAATGTAAACAATAATGCAAATTTTTTCGCGCACCCCATTTGAAAAAAAAATAATGTTCATTTTCATATGAAAATAATAAATTGTTATACAAAATCAGATAATTAAACGCTAATAATACGAAAAAATAAATATAATTATTATAAAATAATGTCTAAACTAAAATGGCAATATTCACAAGTTTTCGTTTGATTTTTATTTTTGGAAAAAAAAAAAAAAAAAATAATCTAAACGACTATTTAAATCAAGATTTTAATAGAAACGGCCCTTTAATTTAAATCATAATTAAAAATGTTCAAATTTAATAAAATAAAAAAAAAATTTTATATCAAAAATAATAATAACGAACCTTTGAATATTTGAACATTTCCATTGTAATTGAAGTCTACAGCTCGAGTTACATTGGGTCTAAAAATATAGGCACCCGAGGAACGATTTGAAAATACCATATTATTTCCTGCAGCTCCTTTATAAAATTGAAATGATTGTGTCATTCGGATGCCTTCCTTTTCTATTGATTGCAATACAACTCTTCCACTTGTATCAACAGAAATATCGTATGTCTGAAAAATTTTAATAAAATTCAAATTAGGAAACAAAATTAACAAAAATTTTTGACCCTCGAAAGCATTAATTTTTTATAAAATCGAAAAAATAGTTTCAAAAAAAAAAGTTCAATTTTTTCTTTATAAACATTTTTGTGACTGTAAATTAAAAGTTCAGAATTAAAAATTTGTTGACAAAGGGCTATAATGAATAAATTTAATAATATAAAGTAAATAATAAATTTTGGATAAAAAATAATTTTTATAATTTATATGGAAAAATTGCAAAAAAAAATGTTCTCTGACTCACATCGCCACCCATGAATGAAACTGATTCATCATTAACAGGTTCATCAGATTGAATTTCACTTTCTTGTGTTTTCTCGCTAATGTAAAATGATTGATAGCCAAGAGCAGGAATTGACAGTGCTAAGAACACCAAATCAAATACAGCGGAACTTTGTCGACCTGGAATTTTTGACACAGTCGCTGGTATTGGCACAAGTTGTGTAACAAGTTCCATTCCTGAAATTTATTTTTATAAAAAATATTTAATTAATTTCTATTAAAGGGATACGTGTTTAAAGAAAAAAAAAAAACTGTTCCTAAATAACACCAATAATATTGCTCCATCATTCCTGAAAATTTTAGTTTAAAATCTTTTTTCATTTTAGAAAAAAAATTTTGTTTTTTCCCAAAACACATTTTCCCATACTTGATCACGTGGGTGTTTGCCACATGGCCTTAATTAATAAATGAATGATTTGTTTTTGAATATATCTTCATAATTCGGTTCACTTGCCTAGATAATCTTTAACACGATAAGAAGCTCCTTTTACTGGTAGTCGAACGTAAGTTGAAAGAGGTTGACTTCCAGGATTGTATAAAGTGACAACAAAATTTTTATTATTCTCTGTATGCTCGCATGAACTAATATTTAATTGAAGACAAGAATGAAATTCGACCTTCTTTTCTGTATTTTCATCTTTTTTCATCATATTTCTAAAAGTTATAAAAAATATATATTTATGTTTGAATTTTACAATAAGAAAATTGTGTCACATATATATTAATACCTCAAAGCATCAGCGCTCAATTTATTTCCATCTCTCATACTGTTGGATAAAATTCGAGAATAATCATTAGCGACATGTTGTTTTTCCGTTCCCGTAACTGCATCGTGATGTTGCATAATTCCCATAGCCTCTCTGAATTTATTTATTTTCTCATTATTTGGCATATTATTTAAAACTGACAATTGTTTAACTACCTGAAAATATCAAAAATTTATTATGAAAAAATTGTAAAAACCTTTTACTGTAAAATAGAGGGAGCTAAAATAAAATTATTCTCGACATTTTTTACAGTGTAATTATGTGAAGATTTATTAATTGTATAAAAGGAAAAAACTATTATTTACTTGCAAAAAGTTATTCCCCATTCTTTCGTATAATTTAATAGATGGTCTTGAGGTATAATAACCAGTCCAATAAGAATGTGGATCACTAGCGTAGGGAAAGAAGTCATCACTTTTTGTTGACCAAGATAATTTTGCATCATTCACTGCTTTTAAATAACAGGACGGTGTTGAGTAAATTGCATTATATGTCGATCCATTCAATTTGTTGGTGTATCTATATTATATAAGTAAAATTAATGAATTTTTAATTATCTTTTAATTTATTAATTATTATTAATAGAAATTATTGTATCAATCGCAAGTACGTATTTTAAAAAAAAAACTTTGAGAGTAGAATATAATAATGAATTGACTTTTTTTTTTTGCAAAAACGCTTTTTTTAAAAAAAAAAAACAATACTTAATGAGTTTGTCCAAATTAGTGAACCAAGTATCAGCATTTTGATAATTAAAATCATTTCCCATGGTAATTATTAAATTATTCGTTCGGTATGTTTTATTTTGCTTGTTGACAAAGGACAAAAATTGATTTACCTATAAAAAAATATATTAATTATTAAAATTGTATTTTAAAAAATCAAAATTCTTTTAAATGCTGTAAAAAAAGAATGATAAACGTACTCTACTTTCTATATTGTAATCAGGACTCTCTGGATCGTCAATCAAAGGGGCATCTGAACAAAGAATATCGAAACAAAAACCAGGTGGTGGACTATAAAAATTGTAAAGAACTGTTGTGAATAAATTGGCACTTTCACCTGTAACGTGAGAAAAAATATTTTTTCATATCATCATTTGTAATATTTATTACAATTTTTAATTTTTAATTAGCTGTTTATTAGATATTAAACTAATATACTTGGAAATGCAGATCTCTATATGAAAAAATATTTAATTGACGTTTTCAAAATTAAAATATTATTATTAATAAATATCCGCTGAAAGAACAGATAATAATTTTCAAGAAAATATTCTAAAACTTATAAAAATTATTTTTTCTAATATTATTAAATTGTCGAGCAAAAATTTATAAAGAAGAATTTTTATTCATTGGAATTGTTCTTTTTCGAATTTTTCTATTTAGGTTTAATTAAAAGATTTTTTTATATAACTAAATTCTTATTTAAGAAAACTTTTTTTAAACAAAATTTCAAATCGCCTAAATGTTTATTTACCAGAAAAATTTATTATAATATAACTTCAAAATCGATGTTTAAAAAAAAAAATAATAACTAATTTATTGGTAATAATAAGGTAAAATAATAATTAAATTTTTTTTTTGAAACATCGATTTTGAAGTTATTATGAGCCAAATTCAAAGACCGTACAAATTTTATATATATCAAAATGAAAATTCGGACAGCTGAATTAAGTTTCGGTGAAATAAAAATTTTTTCACATAAAAACTCAGCTAAATAAAATATTTGTCAAATTCTGTTAAAAAAAAATTAAGTCGATTAAAAAATTTCTTTAATAAAAGTTTTGTTGAAGAAGAATTTTTTTTATAAAATTAAAAATTCGATGATAGAAAATAAAAAAAAATATATATTTTTATGAAAATTTTGCTAGACATATAAATCCTTTAAAATGGAAATAGTATTATTTGAAAATTCCGATGTATTAGAAAATCTGCTTTATAAAAGTCCAGTTAAATAGAAATTCTTCGATACGAAAATTTAGCACATTATATAATAAATTTACTTTTTTAAAATTTTGCTAAATAAAAATTTGATAATTTTTTAATTTGTAATCGCAAAAATTCCGACGCAGGTCTAATGTGGGGAATATTCGTATGTCCCCCATCATTCGTTTAAATCGAATCTTTTAAAAAAAAAACTTATGAGAAAGCTATATATGAGGAAAATTTTGATCATAATTATGCAAAATGTATGAATAAATAATTTTTGTAAGTTTTAATTTTTTTTTCTTGTAAATTTGTATCCGTTCTTCCAGCGGATATTATTAATAATAATATTTCAATTTTTTAAACGTCAATTAAAGTTTTTTTTTTCTGAGGTCTGCATTTCCAGGTTTGAAATTCTTTAAATTTGAGTGCTTTATTGATTGTGAGAAATGTCTTTCAATTCATAATTTTTCTTTCCTCCTTTATTATAAAATATAATTTCTCACCTAAACTGGGGCTACCCTTCCAAATCATTTCCAATGTTCGTGATTTCATACGTTCATTTTTATCCTGATAATCAAGACGACCAAATAGAACACCATCGAATCCCATTTGAGCAAACATTGATGCCTGCTCTCTCGAATGTCCAAAAGGATCGATTTGCCATCCAATTTTTGGACGTGCACATTCTCCAAAAGTGTCATTTAATATTCTAAGAAGATAAAAAATAAATTACATATATATCAAATTTTGTTTTTTTTTGTTATAACATTGTTTCTAAAATCTTTTATCTTTTATTTATTTGTATATTTTTTTATTGATGAGTTAACTAATTTTTATCAAGAATGTTGATAAAAAAAATAAATACACATAATAAGATAAAAAGAGATAAAATAATGAAAAAGATTTTTTTTTAAAAATATTTTGCAATATATATGAATATAGATAATCAATAAAAATTTATCGATTTAATTATAGATAAATTTTTAAGGTAATAATTCTGCACAATGTTTTTTTTTTTTTTTTCGTTATTGTAGAAAAGTAAAAGTATTTATATAATAAATTGTTTCACCTAAAACCCCAGGTGAATTGATCGATAACAGAGTGATAATGGGTAACTGCTTCATCATTCATACTCCAGCCACCTCCAATGATTTCTAATCTTCCTTCATTGATTAAGTTTCGAACGATGGTTCTCACCCTTTCATCTTGCCTCATCCACCACTTCCAGAAAAATGCTGTTTCCACATAAATGAACCTAGATGTTTTTATTATTATTATTATTATTATTATTATTATTATTATTAAATATACATTTTTTCGATTTAAAAAATAATAAATACAAATTTTTACGATGCTGAAGTAGGCAACGTTTATGACAAACGATTTTTAAAGAAATAATTTTTTTCAATGAATTGTTTTATAAATTTTTGCCTGAAAAATTTTTTTTATAGTTTTTATTAATCAAAAAATTATAAAAAAATATTTTTTTTTAGGTAAACAATTTTATAATTTTTCGTGTTAAATAAAAATTGATTTCTAAATTCTATTTGTAAATTTTTTTACTTTTGTAAAATTGTGTAAAATAAAAAAACGCATTTATTATATTATTATTATTATTATTATTATGATTACATATTAATAAATTTAAATAATAAAATAATAAAAATAAATAATATTCTTATAACAAAGTGAATAAATCAATTTGATTTAATTGAAAAAATTTACTATAAATTATTACAAAGTTAATTACATTTCAAAAATGAAAACATTTCTTTTTGGATAATTTTAGTTAAAATTAATATATATTTTAAAAAAAAAAGTTATAGTTTTATTTAAAATTACAGAATTATTGACTTTTTAAAGATCAACAATTTTAAAGAACATGAATTATTGTTGGACAATTTTAATTTTTAATTCAAAAATATGTTATTTCCTTTGAAAAAAAATTTAAATATTCCCTGATGCTGATGATTTTATTAAATTTATTTTTTCAAGTATTTATTAACAATAAATTTAATGGTAAAAATAAATTTGGTTTAAATAAAAAAAAAAAATCATGATTATTATTAGCCCTGATTTAAATAAAATTTATATTCTAAATTTTATTTTTCAAGTTATATTTTTTAAATACAACTTTATAATATATTATAAATGTACCAGTAAAAAATTAAAATAAAAATTCATTTAAAAAATTTAAAAAAAATAAAATAAACTCTTAATTTAATTACTTGCCGCCTTTCTGGATTTTCCTGCAAGGATTTAACTGCAGAATTTAAAATATATTGAACACCAGCAGGTTGAATATTATTTCGATCTGAAAAACAATTGTAACTCGTTTTTTTTTAAATGTATACAAAAATACATATACACAATTTAATTTTTTTTTTTTTTTTTTTTTGAAAAAAATAGAATTTTTTTGAAAAAGATTTTTGAGAAAAATTTAAATTTTACTCACGTCCATAAAAGTATTGATCAACTGTTTTCAACCAACCAACATCATCGTGAGAATGTGCAACAATGTGAATATTCACCTTTGTTGGATCCACTTTTGCACATGCCTATATACAAAAACAAAATTATTAATATTATTATTTTTAAAGTTGATATAAAATTAAATTGATTTTCTTTTTTTTTTTTTTTTTTTTTTTTATTTGAATATTCATAAATAAATAATGCGTAAATATTGTTTCCTCATGGAGGAAGCATTTTAGTTCCAAAATTTTTCGAATTCGATTTTTTTGATTTATCTTTATACTTATATGTAACTTTAAATTATTATTTATTGATTTTTATGATAAAATAAAAAAAGAGTTGAAAAAAAACATGCAAAAACCGAAAAATTTGTCGGAACATTTGAATTTTGCTCCTCTTCTAGGGTTAAAAATAATTTTTAGTACTATGTTAAAATAATTTTTGGCAGTAGTTGATACAAGAAAAAAAATTTTTTAGTTTCATTTAAAAATTTACTTCAAGTTTTCTTTGCTTTGAAAAAAAAAAAATTGTCAGGGAAATTTGTTGCAATGTCAGTAAAATGTCAGTAGGAAAATTGATAAACTCAATAATCTTGTGACCACCCTCAATTACCAACGACATTCTATAATTAAATTTTCCTTATCAATAATTAAGATTACTATTATCGACAAATCGTATACTAATATTATTTAAAATATATTTTTTTATTATATCATTTTATAATAAGTAAACATTTATCTATTTTTGTCTATGATTTTATTTATTTTCTGACAGATTTGATAGAATTAAAATTTTTTTTTTTATTAAAATTAGTGCTAGTTATTGCAGAATTAATTTTTTGTTTGTGTTATAACTGAAAAAGAAAATGTTTTAGTTTAAAAGAAAAAAAAAATTGTTTTTTAATAAAAAAATTAATTTAATAATTAATAAATGAAAATAAATATTCAGTGACATATAATTTTTATGTTTTTTACTAAAAATAAAAACTTCCTTTTTTGTTAGAATGAGCAATAATAAATAATAAAGAGAACATTAATTTAATTAAAGGAAACTGTTAACGGTTTCAAAACGATAAAAGTATATATATATATATATATATTTAATGAATTAATAAGTAAATAACATTAATTTATACATCCACAATATTTTTTATTTTCATTTATTGGAGACAGATAAAAATTAATTTGAATCAAATAAAAATATATTTAAACTCAGAACCTAATAAATTTTTTATTTCTTTCAAATAGAAACATTTATTAAGTACAAATAAAATTTTTTATTTAAAACAAAAAAAAATTTATTTTACACTGAGACAAATATGTCTTTAGCTATATTAATTATTAATAAATAAAAATAATTTAAAATTTTTTTTTGCAAAATTAACTTTTTTTTTAAAAAATAATATAATGAAAATGTGAATTTATAAAATATTTTACCTCATATCCGCATGTAGTGGTTTTTTTTTCATTGTCAGGAATCACTGCCGCTTGAGCTGAATGAAAAAAATTGACCACAAGAATTAGGGATAATAAAAAAAGAGGAGGAATTAAGCGTAACATGATTGTTGTCTCGACGCGTTTCAAAATAGTACTAATGTGATAGCGAGGGTCGACATCCAATATTTATACACATATATCTCTATTTTGCTCAAATGTTATACGAGATTACAGAAATATCAGTTATATATACTATAAAGAGCTTTTGTGACCATTTTAGACAACTGATTTAGACAGTGCGATAATATATTGTTTGTTATACATATATGTATATAGGTATCTTGAAATAAGCGATATAAGCACAGTGACCGCCTACGTCACTCCTATACCTATATATATATAAGAGAAACAGAATATTATTTTTTGCCACAGTCAACAATTTAAACGTAAATAATTAGTGCAATTTACAAAAAATCAAGGCTATTTTTCATTGTCATTTTAAAATACATTTTTTTATTCATTGCTTCTTGTTTTTTTTTCTTTTTTTATCTAGAAGACTTTTAATATTACATTTTTAGAAAAATAAATTAAAATTCAAGTGTCATATTACTATATTAAAAAAAAAGCGAAAAACTCTTTCGAACTCCAACGAAATTGCTCTTTCAATAATATAAATAAAATTATTCTTTCACTTTTTTTGATTCTTAATTTTTTTCAAGTTTTACAATAAATGTACGTATTTGCATTGGTTTTAATTGTACAATAATTTCATCTGAACTCGTAAAATTGAGAGGTTCAAAGAATTGATTATTTTCCAAATTATCATTTTCATTTGAATTCCATATTAGACGATTATTTTTATTTAACCATTGATTTCCACCTAAAGTAGTTTCTCCTACTGATGTAACAATAAAAGCGGCGAAGAGTTTCTGGAAATTTATTTTAATAATTTTTTTTTTTTTTTTATGAAAATATTTTTATAAAATTATTGGGATTATTATAATTAATTATATAGTTGCACACTGTAAAAAGTATTAAAGGAATTTTCCCTGTTTGAAAGAGGGAACGATTATTTCCCACTTTTACATAAACAAGTGATTGTACCATATTAAAAATGTCAATATTCCTTGGTTTGGTAAAAAGAAAAATTCCCATCTTCTGGATACTTGACATTTTCAACATGGTAAGGTTACGTTTCGGTAATGGAATTTTCCCATCTGCTGTAATTTCGCCATCATATTAATCATTTTACCTCATTGAATGTGGGAACGATTATTACCCTCTTTAAAAGAAACAAATTTACCGTCAAAGAAAGGAAATTTACCGCGGATTTGAAAATTCCAATATTCAAAATATCAAAATTACAATTTTAGTATTTTTCCATTTTTGGGTATGTATTTTCCCCACATTAAAAGTAGTATTATTACTAGAGATTTTAAAAGGAAAATTGCCGTCGCTGGAAATTTTTTTTTCGACTTTTTACAGTGTGTAATTGTAATTATACGAAACTATAGCTATTTTGTTGCGCAGGGTACAGAACATTAAAAGTTGTATACAGGGATGTGTAGCCAAATTATTAAGTGAAACGTCCCAAATGTTGTGTACGTGAAATGTGGTGAATTGCTGATTACAACATTTGGAACATCCCACTTTAAGGTGCTTATATACCTCAAATTTCGATCAGATGAACATTATTTCTGGACCGTGAAAATGCGTGAAAAGTCATTTTCACGGCGGGTATTTTTGAATTGTTTTAAACAAAAAATGTTTTTTTAAGAAATATAATATTAAATAATTGTTTTAATATGTAAGAACACTTTAAAATAGTGATAGAGAGATGATTTGATTAAAAAATGTAGCAAATTTTGCTTTAAAACGTTTTCTGCTACAAGAAAGTGTAAAATGACGATGTTTGTGAAATGGTTTGTATAGTGTACATGTGTACATGTTTCTTTCAGTTATTCGAAACAATTAGTAGAATTTAAATTTATTTGATAAACATTTCAACTTACCGATTTATTTTCAGCACTCATTATTTATTACAAGTTAAAAAGAAACGACATAACATAAACAAAACTCTGAGAGACACTCACAAGGAAGAAGCACTGTACAAACCATTTCACAAACATCGTCATTTTACACTTTCTTGTAGCAGAAAACGTTTTAAAGCAAAATTTGCTAAATTTTTTAATCAAATCATCTCTCTATCACTATTTTAAAGTGTTCTTACATATTAAAACAATTATTTAAAATTATATTTCTTAAAAAAACATTTTTTGTTTAAAACAATTCAAAAATACCCGCCGTGAAAATGACTTTTCACGCATTTTCACGGTCCAGAAATAATGTTCATCTGATCGAAATTTGAGGTATATAAGCACCTTTATAATTTGGCAACACCATATTCGGTATTCCTGTGTACACTTGTGGCCGCATATGCCTATACACTTTTCTGTCCTTGTCTTGCGCACGTGTTGTTATGGCAACACATGAGTAAGGGTATGGTCACACGACTTTTGGAAAAACCATTCTTGTCTTTCTCTCTCCTATTACAGACGCATAAGTTTGTCTCACTCTGCATTTTCCGTCTTTGGGAAATGTAAGAAAATGCAGAGTGAGACAATCTTATGCCTCTGTCTTAGGAGAGAGAAAGACATGAATGGTTTTTCCAAAAGTCGTGTGACCGTACCTTTAGAAAAGGACAAAAACGTTGAGGCATATCTGACTACGAGTGTACAACTTTTGAGTTTCATGACCCTGAGTAAAAAAAGACAACGCACAATTGAGATCATAAATCACGCGAAACTGACCCACCCCTGAGCCTTCTTGTGACAACCATCTTGGTTTAATATCTCTTTCTTTAGCGTATGTTAGAGAAAGGCGGAGTGAAAACGAACGAAAGGCTAATGCACAATATATTCGCGAACGAGATGTATGACATAGAAAAGGATACGATTACATTTATGTCCTTTTCGAACTCATATTTCATGTTCGCGAACGTCTTTCGCGAAACTATTCTACTTAGGCACGTATGTTTTGATCATTTGAATTTTTAATTTCTGTGGTCGCGAAAAAATTAAATAAAATTTATGACAGCAGTGTCATTTTTTTGTTGCGACAATATTTTTTTTTTTTTTTAAGAATAACTTGTGAAAATATTTTTAAGAAATATTGAGGAGAATGTTGATATATTGATTCATATTTGCGATTTTAATAGAAAGAGATCTAAGAAGCAAACGAATTATAGGTTATGTTTACAACAGTTTGATTAAAAGTTCCTTTTTATGCAAGTAAAATAAAAATGAGTTTTTATTGAATGTATTTTAAATGTAATTAAAATTTAAACATCAATATGATTTGTATTTTGAGAGTTGATCTTCCCTGTGTATTATCACTTAAAAATTTCCAAACATAACCTATTTTTTTTTTTTTTTTTTTTTTGATTCCTAGGTCCTTTTCTTCAGATTATACTATTAAATTAAACATTTAAATATTAAATGAATTATACTTAAAACATACTTTAATATTCACATCGACAGGATCAGAATATTTTTTACATTCTTTCAATTCGAAGATGTGCTCAAGTCTCAATAAAACAGTTCCACTTTTCCAAGGTTCTAAAGTTAAAATTTGAACATTGGGTGGCAACGTTTCTGCTAATCCAGAACTCTGTTTTTTTAAATTAAAAATAAAATTTTAGTTCAAAAATTAAAACATTGTTATCAATGTGTAGATTTTTCCTTAATTTAATTAAAGTATATGCTCGAATATTCAAGCCAATGTATAATTGCAAAAAATATAGTAAATTATTTTTTCAGAAATTTGGATTGAATTTTCGAAAAATTGCCGTAAAAGCACACAGTTAAATTTTTTTTTTTTAATTTGATGAATTTTTAAGAAAGTCATGAGCATTTAAAAGTAAAAAATCATTAAAATTTTTAAAAATTCATATTTCGTAAACGGCTTGCTAAAAAAATTTTTTTTTAAATTACATATGAAAGCAGCTGCTGATTTGGCGTGGAATACCTCTTATGTGACGCTTCTCGAGAGAAGGGACCTACCCGAAATAACATTAGGCTTAGTTTTCATGTACAGTGCACGAAAAATTGAGCCTAATGTTATTTCGAGAATTGGGATCAGAAATCACGCGAAACTGACCCACCCCTGAGCCTTCTTGTGACAACCATCTTGGTTTTTTATCTCTTTAGGCCAACGCAGAATAGGAATGTAACCGGAATCGTAATCCCAAACGCAACCGGAAGAATGAGTTAGAGAAGGATAGACATATTGTTTGTCCTTCTCTAACTCATTCTTCCGGTTGCGTTTGCGATTACGATTCCGGTTACGTTTTTATTCTGCTCAGGCCTTTTCTTTTGTGTATGTTAGAGAAACACGGAATGAAAACATGGCCACTACAACAAGGCTCTCACCAGATGGCGTATCGCAGGATTACAGATCCGAATAGGTCCCTTCTCTCGTGAAGCGTCACAGTTTAAATTACCAGCATTTTATAAGTATTTTTCCAATTTTCATAAGAAATGTTTTCTACAGGACTGATGATAATCCAAGGGCGATGTGCCATTCTTATGGCTTCATTTTTTTCATTGAGTTTAAATTCACTCGATGGATGTCCAAAAAGAAGAGAATGTTCTCCTCTTACTACCAATCCTGTTCCAAAAGCAGTTTCATTTAAAGCTTCACCAACACCAAATCCATCATCATTTGAAAGTCTTCTGTGAATCTATATAGGTAAGACAATGAACAATAAATTATTATTATTTAACTTATTTAATTAAATTAAAGTTTTGTTCTTGTTTATTTACATTAATGTTTTAAAATTATTTAAAAATAAATTTAAGTTATATATTTAAAATTGTACAATGTACCTAAATATATTTTATTTTAATTCAATTAAAATAGATTTGTGCCCAAAAAAATTTAAAAATTGACTAGATTTGCATAAAAATGGTTCCTTTAGGGTTTTTAGGGTCGCTAAATCTAAATTTGAAGTCAGATGTAAAAAATTCAAAATGGCGGACCCAATATGGCGGAAAAATTTAAAATTGATTCGATTCGTTCAAAATTTGGTTTTCGGGGGTTTTCGGGGATCGCTAAATCCAAATTTGACCTCAAATTTGGATTCAGCGACTTAAAAAACCCCCAAACTACTGAATTTTGAAAGAATCGAAACAATTTTTAATTTTTCCGCCAAATTGGTTTCGCCATTTTCAATTTTTAAAATCTGACATCAAATTTGGAATCAGCGACCTCAAAAACTTTTAATACGATGATATGATATTTTTTTGGAAACTTTTTTTTTTGAACCGTTTTGGGCCTAGAAACGATTTTTCTACTAGACTACGAAGGGGTTAACAAAAATTTTTTTCATACCATCAGATCAATTTCTCCGCTTTTCAAGCTGGTACCACCTTGTGATCTATCAGTGAGAATTGTTAATCTCAATTTTTTTTTTCGATCTTGTAGAAAAATTTTTGTCGTTACTGGATAATAATTTCTCGCTATTGGTTTGTGAAAATTCCATGTTTTACGCTTATTTTTTTTTCGCTTTAACATATCACGACCATTACTGTCAGTATAAAACTTATTTTTTGATTTTATCGTTGTTTTATATTTCATGATAATCTCTTGATCACTGTAAGAATATTTTTTTTCCAATAATGTGACCTGGACAGTTAAAAGGGAACTTACGTCCGAAAAAATCGATTTTTTATTGATTGGTGATTCTGATAGAGAAAACTTTTTTCTATCAGAATTACCAATCAATAAAAAATTAAATTTTTCGGACGTAAGGTGCCTTTTAATAGTATACATATATTATAAATTTATATTATATATTATAAAAAAAGTATATATATATATATATTATAAAATAGTCTTGGTTTACGATTGAAATAAAAATAAAGTAAAATATTACTACTGAGTATTGAGTGGACCAACTAGCCAATTGAATTCAATTCTATCCTGCCCATTGTAAATTCGAATAACTTCACTGATGTAATCATTAACTGCAAGATGAATCTCTTCTACCAATGGACCTATAGAAAAAAAATTTTTTTTACTAAATTAAATCTTTTAAGGCCATGAGGGCAAAGGACGTTTTAAATTTTTTTTCAGGAGAACAGCGCGGTGCATTGTACCAAAATCTATCAACCCTCAAAAATTTTAGCCTAAAATCTTTTTTCATTTTAGAGAAAGTTGGAATATTGCAAAACACATTTTCTTATACTATGGTCACGTGGATTTTTCCCACATGCCATTTCTTGTAGTTTTCATTAACGGCATGTGGGAGAAACCCACGTGACCTAGTATAGGAAAATGTGTTTTGCAATATTCCAACTTTCTCTAAAATGAAAAAAGATTTTAGGCTAAAATTTTTTAGGGTTGATAGATTTTGGTACAATGCACCGCGCTGTTCTCCTGAAAAAACTTAATTTTGCGTTAAATTATTTTAAAAATAAGTTTTGAAAAGTTTAATTTTTAAACGAAAATGACAAGAAAGATGGCGGCGCATACACAGACGTTGCTTGACTGTGTCAGTAGTGCTCCAGTAAACAGCGCCAATTCGAGCAAGTGACCGCTGAATGAACTATGATATAATACATTATTTTACTATTTATTGCTTTATTTTTATTATTGTTACGTTAAGTGAAGAACAGCCCTATGCTTTGCACTCTCCTTTATTAAGTCTTGAATATTTTAACCCGAAATCATTATTTATTTCAGAGAAAGTTGGATACCACAAAAAAACGTCTTTTGCCCACATGGCCTTAATCAACAAATTATAAAAAAATACTTTTTAGGCAAAAAATTATAGAATTTTTTTTTTTTGAAATTATTTCTTAAAAAATCGTTTATCATAAACGTTGCGTACTTCAGCTTCGTTTTAAGGTTATGTAATATAGTTGTAATTTCACATGTAAATATTCTCCATAGGTTTTCTTGCAAAATATTTGATAGATTGAGTTAAAATTTTGAGAAGAACTCAAAAATAGTATAAGGATTTGTTGTCATGTGCCAGATTATATTAATATTTAAAAAAATTTTATTTGTAATAAATTCCATATTTGGGGAATAATGATATCAAAATCGTATTGCCGACATAGTGAATTTTCACGTCGGTGAAGTTCACAACGTTTATGATCAAGGATTGAAAAAAAATATATTTTCCAATCAAAAAATAATAACTAATTTTTTGCCTACAAATTTTTTTCCAAAAAAAAAAACATATGACACACTGAAAAAAATTTATTTCATTCAAATAAACGATTATTTGATTATTATCAAATAAATATTCACTTGAACCAAATAATTTTTATTTGAATCAATAAAATGGTATTTGTTGTAAATACAGAAATTATTGGTTCAAATACAGTTTATTTAATTCAAATAAAAATTATTTGGTTCAAGTAAATCCTTATATACTATTTTTGAGTTCTCCACAAAATTTTAGCTCAATCCTTAAATATCTTAAATAAAAATTAATTAAATTTTTATACTTTGTATTACAACCTTTAAATATTTTGTAATATCCTTCGTAGCGAATGTTCAAAGCATTAGTTTTAGGTCTAAATACGTAGGCTCCAGATTTTATTTGAGAATTCATTGAATTTTGTTTTTTATCTTTATAAAAGTGGAATGATTGAAGCATTTTGAGAAGTCGGTTAGTCTTAGACTGTACAACGACTTTTCCATTTGAATTTACATATATATCCCATGTCTAAAAAACAATGACGAAAGGAGAAAATTAATTTTCATTTTTACATTTTTTTTCTTTCATCTGATTTTAAGGAAAAATTCGGACGGAAAGTTAAAACAAAAAAGAAATTATGTATAGTTGAACTTCAAATTTTTGTATTTTTTTAAAAATAAAAACAAATAACTTTCAATTACAAAGTTTTTCAGTAAATGTGAGTGAGCAAGTTTATTTTTAGCAATCATTAAAAATTGCATTTAGATATATGAAGATTAAAAATTTCTCACAGCAGGAAATGTTTGTCAAGTTTTTGGAATAATATATAATCTAAATCGTTTCCTATTTTTAGAAAATTGTAAGTTTTATTAAAATGCAACTTTTAACCTCCCTACGGTTTGTCCCGAGTTAACTCGGGGTAACTGAATATTTAATAACTCGTTAACAATACATCGGAATTACATGATCCAAAGTGGAAATTGAAGCTAATGATCTGTGCTTTTAAAAAATATTGGTTTGCAATGATAAAAATTTTTTTTGTCAAAGTTACATAACTTTAAATATTAGCTAAACAAGTAAGTTTTTCAATAAGTGGATAATGTGCATTTAATCAGAAAGTTTATTAAAAAAAACCTACTAAAATCGTTATACGGGGGTTTTCGGGGTCGCTGATTACGAATCGGATGTCAGTTTTTCAAAATTCAAAATGGCGGATCCAATATGGCGGATATTAAATTTTTTTTAATTCAAATAAATTTAAATACCCGCCATATTGAATCCGCCATTTTAAATTTTGAAAAACTGACATCAGATTCATAATCGGCGACCCCGAAAACCCCCGAGTAACGATTTTCAAGCGAATCCGATAAATTAAAAAAAAATTTTTTAAATATCTGCCATATTGGATCCGCCATTTTGAATTTTGAAAAACTGATACCAGATTTGAAATCAGCGATCTCAAAAACCCCCGAGTAACAATTTTTAAACGAATTTGAAGAATTTTAAAGCTTTTTGTAAAATGTCCGCCATATTGGATCCGCCATTTTGAATTTTTGAAAATGGACACCTGATTCGTAATCAGCGACCCAAAAAACTATTAAAGCATGTTGAAATATAAAATTTTCTATGCAGGGTAAATTGAACCATTTTGGTACCGATTTCTGCAATTTAATTAAACCGTAGGAGGGTTAATAATTGTTCAAAATTAAATTATTTACACTTTCACTTAAATACTTCTATAATTTGGAGGAAGCTTTGTAGTCCTTTCATTTATAAAAATTTTCAAAGTAGCGGAAACAAATTTTTCTCTATATAGAAACATGTTATATGAAATCCTATACTCAATTGTCCGGATGTATGTATGTGTATGTGTTTATGTGTGTGGGGATCCCTTTTTTGTTTAGAAGATAACTTTAACAGGTTTTAATGGATTTAGATAAAATTTGGTAGGCTTATTTATCATATAAATATCTCAAAACTGACCAAAGGATTTTAAAAAATACCCAAAAAAAAATTTTTATCGTCTTTTTTTAAAAAATTTTTTTCTAATCGAAAAAATTTTTAAATAGAAAAATTTAAGGTTATATATAATAAAATCGTATTCCTTACGTCAAGAAAAATCGATTGGTATATATAAAGTATAGTTTTAATTTAAATTTAAAGAATTAATGAAAGTTAAAAAATCAAAAATTCACATTTTGGCTATAAAGTTTTGTGATTATTTAAATTTAAGTTTATAGATGAAATAATTGTATTACTTGCATGAAAACGAATCGATTGGTATATATAAAATTTACATTTGAGGTAAATTTAATAAATTAATGAAAGTTAAAAAATCGGAAAATATACATTTTAGCTGAAAAATTTTATATTCATTTAAATTCAAGTTTAAATATAAAATTGTGTTCCTTGCATTGAAACAAATCGATATAATTGTAAATAATTATAAATTATTTATTATTTTTCATTAATTTTTAGAAATTTCAGCTAAAATGTGAATTTTTGATTTTTTAACTTCCATTAATTCTTTAAATTTAACTCAAATCTATAGGTACTCAAATGTTTATAATTATTATTATTATATTATTTTTGTATGTTTATTTCAATGTTAATGCTTTCTCCACGAGGAAGTAAATTTTTTTGCTAATCGTAAAGAGGAAGCAAAATGTTCATGTATAATTATAACTTGTTTTATTTAAAGATTTGAAAATATAAAATTCAACTAACTTTTGTTTCGACTGTTTGTCCGATTCTTTCGAATAATATATTTTTTATACTTACATTACTACTTATAGATGTATATGATTTATTAAATTGAATTTCGCTTCCTTGCGTTTTCTCACTAATATAAAATGATTGATAGCCAAGAGCAGGAATTCGTTGTGCAAAAAAAATTAATTCATATTCGGCGAAACTTTTTCGACCTGGAATATTCAACACTTCTAATGGCACTGGAACAATTTGTGTTACAAGTTTTGTTCCTACAAAAAAAAAATAGAATAACATCGATATTTATATTTTGAAAAAATAATTATTTAATTTACATTAAAATCGCATCAACCTTATGGCGAGAGTATTTCACGGTTTTCCGTAAAATTTCAAACCCAATTCCCTGATTTTTTTCTAATTATTTTTCAATTTTTCCCTGATTAAAAAATTTTCTAAATAATTTAAATTTATATAAAATTTTAACATTTGTATAAAAAATTCGCTGATATTTGAAGGTATTTTTTTTAAATTCACAAATTTATTTCAAATTTTACATTAAAAAAATTTTATATACTTAAAAAAAAATTACAAAAATTACCTAGATAATCTAAAACTCGATACGAAGTGCCTGTAACCGGAATTCGAACGTAAATTGAAATTTCTTGACTTGTAGGATTGTATAAAGTAACAACAAATTTTTTATTGTTCTCTGTGTATTTGCAGGAACTTATGTTTAATTGAAGGCAAGAATGAAATTCTAAAGTGTCCTCTGAGTTAATGTCTTTTTGCATCATATTTCTGGAATTTAAAAAAATGTTCATTTCACAATATTAAAATAATTCTGAAATAGAATACAGTCAAAGAATTTTTTTTCTATTAAAACAAATTTGGGATATACTAATAAAATTCTGACTTGCTTGATAATTTTTTTTACAATAAAAAATTAAAAAAATTTTTTAACCTAATTGTTGATGTGAGAAAATTATTTTTGTTGTAAGATAAAAATATTTTTTCTCAAGTTTATACGTATAAATTTATGTATAGATAACCAATACCTTAAAGTGTTTGCCATTAGTTTATTTCCCTCTCTCATACTGATAGACAAAATTCGAGAATAATCATCAGCGACATGTTGTCTTTCTGTTCCTGTAATAGCGTCATGATGTTGCAAAATCCCCATAGCTCTTCGGAATCTATTTAATTCTTTTTTGTTCGGCTCATTATTTAAGACCAATAATTGTTTTACTACCTAAAATTAAAAATATAAATATACATATATAAAATTTATTAAGGGGAGGGACCGCTGAAATTTCAACCTTTCAAAATTGAGGCTGTTTCAGGTTGTCAATTTTTTTTTCCAATTAATATATTGAGTATTTAAAACTGTAATATACTATGGGAAATTGATAAACAATTAATTTATTAATAATTTTTTTAAATAAAATTCGAAATTTTTAAAAACTAAAAATTTAAACTTCTGTCACAATTTTTATTATTTTTCATTGCTGATTATTTTTATACACTTTTTTCAAGATTCTGAACAATCAATGGTATGAATTTTGAAAAAATTCAATTTTTTAAAAAATAAAATTTTTTTAAAATAAAAAAAAATGAAAAATTTGTTGAAAATAACTTTTTTTTTCATTTTTCATAGTAAAATATGATTTCAGGTTCTAAAAAAATTTGTAAAAAAAAATTATTACCCCTAAACCAATTATGTTTGGTTTCAATTTGATCAATTATTCCTTAAACATTCAACTTTTTCTACAATTTTTATTATTTTTTATCGGTAATTTTTTTTTGTAAGCTTTTTTCATGATTCTAAACAATCAAACGTATGGATTTTTAAAAATTTTAATATTTTCAAAAAATAAAATTTTGAAAATAGTCAAAAAAATTTGTTTTTGCACTCAAGAAATTTTTTCCCATATATGAGTCGCCGGAAAGTAAAACCGCACACATAAAATTCTGACGACCATGTTAATTCAATGGGAGTCAGAATTTTATGTGTGGTTTTACTTTCCGGCGACTCATAATATGAGGCATTCCATGTAACATTTTCATTACACATTTTTTTTACTAGAAAATTTTTTATTTTTGAAATCTTTAGGAAAAATAAGAAAATAATTTATATTTTTATTTCTTTATTTTGATAAATATTATGGAAGTAATGATTATTTTAAATTTATCCTTGTAAAATTTTAAAATACGTTCTACAAACTAATAAAAATTAATAAATATATATAAAATTTGTTCGGTTTTTCATGAATGTAAAAAAAAAAAAATAGCGTAACTACAACGAAAAAGCTTCTGAAAAATTGAAATTAAGCCTAAAAATTAAGAAATAAAAAATAATTTTTTTTTATTTTTATGTCTAGATTTCGAAAAAAAGTCCCAGTAAAAAAAATGAATAATTATTATTATTACTTGCAAAAAGTTATTTCCCATTCTTTCATAGAATTTAATAGTCGGTCTGGAAGTATAGTAACCAGTCCAATACGATTGCGTGTCACTGGCATATGGGAAGAAATCATCAGTTTTTGTTGACCAAAATAATTGTGCATCATTAACTGCTTTTAAGTAACATGATGGTGTTGAATAAATTGCATTATACTTCGATCCATATAAATAATTAATATTTCTATAATAACATTAAAAATATTAGGTATTTAAATTTTTTTTATATTACAAAAATATTTATTTAAATTTTAAGGCCATTTGGGAAAAAAACATTTTTTAGAACTCTCAAACAAAATCATTATTTCTATGTATGAATTAGTTGAAAAATGAAAATATCCGATCATAACATATTTTTTAATTTATTTATTTATATTATTACTTTTAATCTATATCCGACAGTTAATTAATTAGAACGTTAATTAATAAATTCAATTTGAGTAATAATATAAAAATAGTATAATAATAATAATATTTTTAATAATTGTGTACTTTTTGACAACTTTTAAAATTATAATTCCAAGTAGTAAATAAAGTGAATCCTATAAAATAATTAACGCAAATAATAAAAAAAATTTAAAATTATTTCTTTAAAATGCGTATTATACAATTTTTGAAAAATAAGTTGCAATTACTATTAAGTGAATAAAAAGAAGTCTTATATAATTATTTATAAGAATTAATTGCTTACTTAATTAGTATATCCAAATTAGAAAACCATGATTCAGCTTCTTGGTAATTAAAATCATTTCCCATGGTAATTATTACGTTATTCGTTCGATATGATTCGTTCTGACGGTTGACAAAGGTCAAAAATTCTTTTACCTATTAAATAATAATAATAATAATAATAATAATAACAATAATAATAACAATAATAATAACACAGCCACACACAAAAAAAAAGTGCCGGGTTGGGAGATCAGAGAACCCTACCTCCATATATTTTGGGCCGCTGAATACGAATCTGAAGTCCGTTTTGCTCCTGCACGTGTACGTTTCTTCCTAACTTCAAAAAACATTTTATATTTTTGGTGATATACGAATTTTTTTTTTAAATTGATGGATTAATATGAAACTGAGTATTTAGGGGTATTTGAGGTCGCTGATTACGAATCTAAAGTCAAATTTTAAAAATTCAAAATGGCGGATCCAATATGGAGGACAGTTTTTTTGAAAAATAATGGATTAAAATTTTTTTTTTTGAATTCTTAGATTTTTATAGAATTTGTTACTTAGGGGTTTTAGGGGCCGCTCATTACGAATCTGAAGTTAGTTTTTAAAAATTCATAATAACGGATCCAATATGGCGGACGAAAAAATGAAAATCATTCGGATCGGCTTGAAAATTGTTACTCGCGGGTATTTGGGTTCGGTGATTAAGAATCTGAAGTCAGTTTCATAAAATTCAAAATGGGGAATCCAATATGGAGGACGAATTTTAAAAAAATTGTTAGATTTTTATGAAACTTGAAATAAACTCAACCTAGACCGTCGGCATTAGCATTACCCGATGAGGTTGAGTTTATTTCAAGTTTCATATAAAATCCAACACTTTTTTAAAAATTCGTCCTCCATATTGGATCCGTTATTTTAAAATTTTAAAAACTGACTTCAGAGAAAAAACTCAAATTGTCTTAATCACCGACTCCAAATACCCCCGAGTAACAATTTTCAAGCCGATCCGAATGATTTTCATTTTTTCTTCCGCCATATTGGATCCGCCATTATGAATTTTGAAAAACTAACTTCAGATTCGTAATGAGCGGCCCTTAAAACCCCTAAGTAACATAAAAATCTAAGAATTTAAAAAAAAATTTTAAATCATTATTTTTCAAAAAAATTGTCCTCCATATTGGATCCGCCATTTTCAATTTTTAAAATTTGACTTTAGATTCGTAATCAGCGACCTCAAATACCCCTAAATACTCAGTTTCATATAAATCCATCAATTTAAAAAAAATCGTATATCACTAAAAATATAAAATGTTTTTTGATGTTAGAAAGAAACGTACACGTGCAGGAGCAACAGGAGCAAAACGGACTTTAAGTCGGCTCTACAATCCATGGTACGCGACGCGAACGTGAACGCGACGTGCTGACGTCACCCATTTGATTAACATTGTGACGTCAGCACGTCGCGTTCACGTACACGTTCAATGTAGAGCCAACTTTAGATTCATGTTCAGCGGCCCAAAAATACATGGGGGTAGGGTTCTCTGATCTCCCAACTCGGGCACATTAGTTCGGTAAAGTTCACGTCGATTACGATCATCGAAATTTTAAAATCCAAGATACATCATAAACACAACAAAAAATTACAAAAAACATTATACTTAACAAAAAAATTAAATTCAACCCTAAAATTCCTTAGAAAAACACCCCTAGTTTAATTCCCTACACTGAAATTCAAAAAAAAAAAATTGAAATTACATTACACACATACAATTTTATTGCAAATTATTGCACAAAATACAATTAAAAGTGTAGAAAAAAATTGACACCCCAATAAAAGTAGAGAAAAAACCCCTAAAGCAACCCTTAAGTCAAATATATGAATAAAAAATCCCCAAAAAAATTTAATTTTTCTTAGACATACGATTTTATTGTAAATTCTTACACCAAATACACCTAAAAGTTAAGAAAAAAATCGACAGCGAAATCCAAGTAGAGGAAGACACCTATTACCACCCTTAAGGCAAACCGTACCTTTAAAAAAATTCCAAAAAAAATTTAATTGTTCTTTGGCAGATGATTTTATTGTAATTTCTTGCACAAAATACACCAAAAAGTGTAGAAAAAAATCGACAGCCAAATCCAAGTAGAGGAAGATACCTATTACCACCCTTAAGGCCAACCGTACTTTTAAAAAAATTCAATTTTTCTTAGGCAGATGATTTTATTGCAAATTTTAGGACAAAATACACCTAAAAGTGTAGAAAAAAATCGACAGCCAAATCTAAGTAGAGGAAGACACCTATTACCACCCTTAAGGTCAACCGTACTTTTAAAAAAATTCAAAAAAAAATTCAATTTTTCTTAGGCAGATGATTTTATTGTAATTTCTTGCACAAAGTACACCTAAAAGTGTAGAAAAAAATCGACAGCCAAATCCAAGTAGAGGAAGACACTTATTAACACCCTTAAGGCCAACCGTACTTTTAAAAATATTCAAAAAAAAATTCAATTTTTCTTAGGCAGATGATTTTATTGCAAATTTTAGGACAAAATACACCTAAAAGTGTAGAAAAAAATCGACAGCCAAATCTAAGTAGAGGAAGACACCTATTACCACCCTTAAGGTCAACCGTACTTTTAAAAAAATTCAAAAAAAAATTCAATTTTTCTTAGGCAGATGATTTTATTGTAATTTCTTGCACAAAGTACACCTAAAAGTGTAGAAAAAAATCGACAGCCAAATCCAAGTAGAGGAAGACACTTATTAACACCCTTAAGGCCAACCGTACTTTTAAAAATATTCAAAAAAAAATTCAATTTTTCTTAGGCAGATGATTTTATTGCAAATTCTTGCACAAAATACACACAACACTTTTACAGTTATATTTTGTGCGAGAATTGGCCATAAAGTTGTGTGTGAAATGGAATTTAAATTTTTTTGAAAAATGTTAATGTTAATGAATGTTCTAATGAATTTTTGGGTTGAACTTAATTTTTTTGATAAGTATAATTTTTTTTTGAAGTTTTTTGAAATTTTTTGTTGTGTTTATGCCTGGTTTATGCAGTATCTTGGTTTTTAAAATTTCGTTGATCGTAATCGATGTGAACTTCACCGATCTGGCACTTTTTTTTGTGGCCTTAAAAATTGCAATCTTGAAAAGTCGATTAGAAAAACGTACTCTTCTTTTTATATTGTTATGTGGACTCTCTGGATCGTCATTTAAAGGTTGATCTGAGCAAAGACTATCGAAACAAAAACCGCTCGGTGGACCATACAAATTATACAATATCGATGTGAATAAATTCGAACTTGCACCTAAGAAAATTAAAAATTAAATTTATATTTTCCGCAATTGTACGTTACAAAAATTATAATTCAATTTTTTTTATTCCGTAAACTGTGATATTTGTGTCTCTACTGGATTTGAATTGAGACCAATATTTTCTCTGATGTGATAATTTTGGAGTACCGTTTATATAATAATTTTTTTTTTTAATAATGAAATAACTTTTTTTTTATTACTAAATTTGATGGTTTTTTTGACTTCCTTTCGGTTGGTAAATTCATTTTAAAAAAAAATGTTGATAACAAAAATAAAAATAAATTTGATTTATTTGGGATGAAAGAAACGATTTTTTTTAAACGAAAGCTGAAGTTTTTTTTCTATTGAAAATATAGCAAATAAATAAAGTTATAATAAAATAATGTTTCAGGTGATAAATATAAATAGAAAACATTTTTACCAAGACTTGGACTACCCTTCCAAATCATTTCCATTGTCTGAGTTTCCATCCGTTTATTTTTATCCTGATAATCGAGACGTCCAAATAAAAGACCGTCAAATCCCATTAGGGCAAACATTGAAGCCTGCTCTCGTGAATGTCCAAATGGATCGATTTGCCAGCCAATTTTCGGTCTTGCACATTTTCCAAAATTGTCATTTAACACTCTAAAAAATCAAAAACAAAAAATTTCAAAATTACGACAAACGAGATTTTATTTTTGTGTAAATTTTTTATTTGAAAAATAAATATTTATAAACACACATACCTAAAACCCCAAGTGAATTGATCGATTACAGACTGATAATGTGTCACTGCTTCATCGTTCATGCTCCAGCCCCCTCCAATGATTTCTAATCTTCCTTCATTGATCAAGGATTGAACTACAACTTTTGTTTTACTATTTTGTCTCACCCACCACATCCATAGAAATGATGTTTCCACATAAATAAATCTAATTTGAAAAAATTCAATTAAATTTCTCTAAAAATTCATTTATTTAAAATTTCAATTTCTCCAAATTCAATAATTTCTACTTGTGCGATTCCAAGTGAGATTTTGACTTTTTCGGAGTAGGTTAACCGATTGCAATGAAACTTTGGAATTTTGTTATATATAGTAAGACTAATCTTTAACGTAAATTTCAGCCTAAAATATTTGTTAGTTTACGAGATTTTCAATAATAACAAAAAATTTAAAACTGCTATATCTTCCGTTCTAATAAACGGATTGAGGTCTACTTTTTTTTAAAATGTCAAGGAAAATGAGAGGAATAAATCTCTTTCAGAACATTTTTTTATAATTTTACAACTAAAAAAATTATTAAATAATAATTGAATAACTTTCGCGCGACTATCTAAAATTCAATCACTTAAACGCTAAAATGATCTTATCTGTGTTTTCTTTAATGTTCCAAAGGATTTTTATTGTAAATGTAAGTTTAACTTAAGAAATTTTATTAATTTATTAGTATAAACAATTGAGATTTCTGCTAGTTGACGTGCAATATATTAAATTTGACAATATATTAAAAGTTTGAGGCAAAAAATTTTTTTTTTCAAACTTATATTTTTCATCCAATAATTTCTCAAATTTTAAACTATTGTCAAATTGTCGATGAATGATAAAATTATTTTTTTTATTAATCGATACTTTGCCAATATAATCAAAAAAATCAAAAAATGCCCTTTATAATTTAAAAAATGGTGGGTGATGTCATCTTTCTTTTCATTTATTTTAATAAATTGTTTATATTTCTAACAAATTACGTAATTTTTTTATAATGATAAATTTTAATGAAAATTTGTATTGATTATTTTAAATAATACTAGTAAAGAACAGGAAAATTTATTGTATTTTTTCAGAAATGAACAATAATTTGTAAATTCAGGCAAATAAATGTTGACGACAATAACTTTTATTAATATTCAAAATGCGCAAAACCATTCAACTTGGATTTTTTTTTATCGTTTTGAACAGTGAAACGTGTATTGTATGATATAGGTTCTATGATAAAGAAATATTAGCACTCATCGCAAATTTTGACTCACTTATTAATGTTATACTCTCTAAATTTGAATTAGTAAAAATGTTCACTAATTTAAATTAGTGACTCACTTTTTGCTTTAGAATTAGTTAAATTTTACTAATTGTTAGTAGAAGTTACTAATAATTAGTAAAATTTTACTAATTCATAAGCAAAAAGTGAGTCACTAATTCAAATTAGTAAATATTTTTACTAATTCAGATTTAGAGAGTAAATAATAACTTGTTTAATACCTTCTTTCTGGATTTTTTTGCAATGATTTAATAGAAGAGGTCAATATTTTTTGAACATCTGCATTTTGGATATTATTTCTCTCTGAAATCAATAAATGAAATAAAATAAAAATTGATCCTAATTTCTAGTTTTTTATATAATTTATAATTCCTTACTTCCAAAAAAATATTGGTCCACCGTTTTCAACCAACCAACATCGTCATGAGAATGAGCCACAATATGAATATTCAATTTTGTTGGGTCTACTTTTGCACAAGACTAAAAACAAAAAATCAGTGAAGTGAGTGTTACAATCGTTCACTTAGGTGTCCATTTACAATTAAACAAGTTATATTTATTTTTATTTTATCCCATATAGGCAAAAACATGTTGCTTTTAGATACCTGACATCCGGGTGTATAGGCAATAATTTTTTTTTTTTACCACACATACTCAAAACACTAGATTGATAAAAAAATCATCTGTGATAAAAAAAAAACATTTATGTACCGCGGGTGCCCGTGTGGAAATTAATCGTGGAAGTCTAGCTATAGCTAGCGCCACCACTGGATTCGTGATGGCAGTCTAGCCTAGCGATTTCACCTAGCCCCGTCAATGGCGCGAGTTCATTCTGCTAGAATGCAACATAACCTAATCCAATAGAATACAAATCTTTGTATATAGTGTTATAATAATAATACAAACAAAATTCATGATTAAAAAAAACTATAATAACGAAAATTTATTTGGTAATTTATGGAAATTTATGAGGTAATTTATGAAATTTTGAGGTAGGGTCAGCCGGGGTAAATCCGAACGCTAATTATTTCAGCTTAATTAAAATTTTAAAAAATAAATTAGACATGAGAATTTTTACCTCAGATCCTCTTGAAGAGATTCTAAGTATTATCCCATTTTTCGTTTGTTAATTAGCAACAGCATAAACAAAGATAACGAGTATTGCAAAAAAAAAAAATGAAAATCAAAGATGACACTCTTTCAGTATTTTGTCTCGTATTTGAAGAAAAAGAAGCTAAAAATTCATTTTATTATTTATAATTGTTTGTTATGAATACTAGAACAGAAACTATTTTTGATTTTTGCCTTCTGTAAAATTTTATTAATAATATCAGATCTTTCGTATTTACCCCGGAAAATTGGAAAACCGGGGTAAATCCGAACGGTATTTTCAATAATTTTTTTTTACATCAGAGCCACACAAAATTGTTTTTATTTCATTACACTATTATTTTAACATTATAAAAGTACATAGAAAAAAGTTTTTCTCTCTATATGTATCCTCGTTAGTAATTAATAAGCAGAAACTTAATCTCTGTTCTCTCGAAGAAGTGTTTCAATTTTTTTGCCAAATGGTTTGTTGAAAAAAGTTTTTCAGGATCTTAATAAAATTCGGTATTCTAGGGTTTTTGGGGTCGCTGATTACCAATTTGAAGTCAGTTTTTCAAAATTCAAAATGGCGGACGAGAATTAAAAAATTCATTGGATTCGCTCGAAAATTGTTACTCAGGGGGTTTCAGGGTCGCTGATTACGAATTTGGAGTTAGCAAATTTGATCATTTTTAAAAATAAGTTTTAGGAAAGTCCGACATTTTGAATTTAAAAAATTTGACTTTTATTTTTGTATTTACATTCAATCACTCCAAAATACTTTCTGTACCAAGTTTTGCAAAAATCCGTTATGATATGATAAAGTTATTGAAGGTTTTAATTGCGTAATGCATTTTAATTTTTAACCTGTTTGATTTTTGTATTTATATATGATGCATTATTACATAATAGGTTTATTATCGTATTTTTTTTGAGTTTTTATATAAGTTTAACAATTGCAATACTTTAAATTTATTTTCCCTAAGATTTTTCTGAAATACAGTGGCGTTCGTATTTACCCCGGTATTTTAGGAAAGTTGCAAAGTATCGAGGTAAATACGAACGCTAAGTTTCCTGTGATTGTAATTTATCAAAAATTTTTGCTACCCCATAAAATTGTTCTAATGGAAGTAAAGTAACAACTTCATGCACCAGAATACCGGAAGTATTGTCTTTTAAAAGAAAAAACTTATGTTATTGTTGAAACTTACTAAAAGCGTTCGGATTTACCCCGGCTGACTCTAATTTATAATTATAATACAAACAAAATTCAAGATTCAAAAACTATTGCAGAAAATTTGCGTGGTAATTTATGGAAATTTATGTGGTAATTTATGAAATTTTTGAGGTAATTTATAATTGTAATATAAACAAAATTTAAGATTTAAAAATTATTGCAGGAAATTTATGCGGTTATTTATGAAATTTATACGGTAATTTATGAAATTTATGGGGTAATTTATAATATATAAAAGAAAAACTTGAAAACTAATTTTGGAAATTTATGGAAATTTATAGGGCAATTTATGAAATTTTTAAGGTAATTTATAACATACATATAAAAGAAAATTTTAAAAATTTATAGGGTTATTTATGGTTTTTTATGTGGTAATTTATGGTTTTTTATGTGGTAATTTATGGAAATTTATGCGGTAATTTATGAAATTTTTGAGGTAATTTATAATTGTAATATAAACAAAATTTAAGATTTAAAAATTATTGCAGGAAATTTATGCGGTAATTTATGAAATTTATACGGTAATTTATGAAATTTATGGGGTAATTTATAATATATAAAAGAAAAACTTGAAAACTAATTTTGGAAATTTATGGAAATTTATAGGGCAATTTATGAAATTTTTAAGGTAATTTATAATATACATATAAAAAAAATTTTAAAAATTTATAGGGTAATTTATGGTATTTTATGTGGTAATTTATGGAAATTTATGCGGTAATTTATGAAATTTTTGAGGTAATTTATAATTGTAATACAAACAAAATTAAAAATTTTTTTAAATAATTGCAGGAAATTTATGCGGTAATTTATGAAATTTATGCGGAAATTTATAATGTATAAAAGAAAAATTTGAAAACTAATTTTGAAAATTTATAGGGTAATTTATGAAATTTTTAAGGTAATTTATAATACATAAAAGAAAATCTTAAAAACTAATTTTGGAAATTTATAAGGTAATTTATGGTAATTTATGGAATTTTATGTGGTAATTTAAGAAAATGTAATGGAAATTGTATCTTAATTTTTAAATACCACCATTCCCGCAATACTATAGCTAGTGGCTAGAATACAAAATTGTGACAAATGTGCCTAGCGCCATTACAGTGTCACGGAAAGCTAGGATGGTGCCATCCTAGCGCCACGATATTTTTCTACACGGGATGGGGTCTCGTTTATTACACCCGGTCATTAAGTAACCTAAAAGCTCTAAAAAGTAGTAAATTTCTTGTAGGCTACCACAAACACTGAAAGTTATAATAAATATTTGTTTTGATTAAAAAATTTTTATGTGAAAAATTTTATTTTAGGAATTTAAATATAAAAATTTTGTTCTCAATTTTACCTTGTACCCGCAATTTTCATGATTTTTCTCATTGTTAAAAACTGATTTCGATGTCCAATATCTACTCTTCTGTAATTCAAAGTAATAAAAATAATTATTGTCACTTTTCTATCTTAATGCGTAATTAATGTTTTTTTAATAATTAATTAATTTTTAATATATTCAGTAAAATTGTGGACATTTAAATTTTTGAATAAAATGATAATTTTTGAAATTTACCTTTTTCCCAAAATGAGTAGAGAAGACAACTTCTTGTAAAAGAAAAACACTGATAGATATGGATATAATTTTTATTACTTTTATCATTGTTATCTTAATTCACATTAAATAAAATAATGGCAAAAACTAATTTTTTTTAATAAATGTATATATATTTAAAAAATTAATTGATAAAAAATTGATAAATTATTAAAACTATTTGAGGAATATTCACATACTGTTTTAAGTAAGTAACTAAAAAAATGTACTTTCAATAAACTATCAAAAATTTTTTTTTTTATCATCAATATTTATTTTCTTTTCAACATTTACGTAATAAGATATAAAACGATTTTTTTTTTTTTGACAAATTCTCTTTTTTATGAAATTTTAAAGCAATAAATATAAATATTTATTATTTCATAAACTTATTTTATGTGAATAACGTGCAGCAAAATTTATCTATTTTCTCTTTTATAATTTCGTGAAGGAAGTATTAAAACCATGTAAACCTAATATTTCGTGAATATTTTTTTGTTATCCATAGCTATTCAAAAACAATAAGTTACTTTAAAATATGTAAACTACTAATAAAAAAAATATCAATACAAAAAATTTTTTTTTAATTCTTGACAAATTTTTTTTCGAAAAATATTTTGTTTATTTTTCTTAATGATTATTAGTAAAATAAAAAAGAAATTAATTATAAAAAATGTTTTTTTTTTAGTCCGAAACTTATTTTTAAAAATAACAACAAAGTTTTTCTTCTTTTTAAATATATTTTACTTGATAAAAAAGGTTTTTAAAAAAGTAAAAAAACAAACTTATCACTACTTATATCAATATTTGATGGAAAAAATGTTTTTTATTTGATTATTAACTTCTTTTTTTTTATTGAGAATCAAATTTCACGACAAATGTTTTAATTTCAAAGGGATTAATTTTAATGATAAATTGTTCATTATTTTTCATTTTTTCATTGCGTTTTGTTCTAAATTGCAATTGTTGAACAAATATTTCGTCAATGGGAATATTATCACTATTAGTGATTTTATATTTAACTTTTGTTTTATTTGATAATAAATTTTCATCACGAGTGAAATTTTCTTCAGTTTCATTAGTTCTCCATTTGATAATATTCACATCATCAAGCCATTGATTTCCAGAAAGATTCGTTTCTCGTACTGATGTTACTTTTAATGTTGAGAATAAATCCTGAAATTAATACAATTCACGTTGAATTTTTAATTTATAAAATGTTTTAAAAATTATTTAAAAACTTTATTTGATATACAATATCACTAATAAGAATGATTATTTAATTTATTTTTCAAACCCAACTATATATGTATAGTTATTTTTACCTAATAAATTAATAAAAATAAAACTATTTTATTAATTTTTTTTTTAAATCAATTTTTTAAACTAAGAAATTTATATTTAAAGCATCACAAAATTCAAATTGGAATTATTAAATTAACATTTTTTTTTATTAATGTGTCACCTTAATGTTAATTTTCACTGGCTGTGAATATTTTGAAGATTCATCAACTTCAAAAATGTGTTCTAATCTTAATAGTACGCTTTTATCTTTCCAAGGTTCTAATGTTAATATGCGAATATTTTGAGGCAAAACTGTATTAAGACTGCTTTCCTGTGAAATAAAAGTTTATTTTTTTTATTTTATTTACGCATTTATTATTAATTTATTCTTTTTTATTAGAATAAATTTACTGTTAAGGACAATATAACTGCAATGATTGAAATCATTTTCTGACTCCAAAAGACATCAATTATTAAATTATTATTATTATCAATTAATTATTTAACATTTTTAAATTTATTTGATTTATCTATTTATTTAATTGATAATTAATATGTTTTTTTCAAAAAGTTTTTTTTTCCAAATTAGTAAATTATTATTAAAAAGAATATTATATCATAAAAATTAAATAAGTAAATAATATATTGTATAAATAAATAAATAAAAATAATAAAATAGATAAAATTATTATCATTATATTGTTACTAACTTGCATTTTGAAATTTGCTCTCCACTGATCAAAGGAAACGTCTTGAAGAGGAGTAATGAATATCCAAGGTTTTAGGGACAATTGTAGAGCTTGAGTTTTTTCATCCAAAGCTGAGTTTTCACTAATTTCATCAAAAAATATAACGTGTTGACCTCTGACAACTAAACCTTTTCCAAAAGCCTCTTCATTGAGAGGCTCTTCAACTCCAAAACCATCATCCCTTAACAATCTTCGATGTAACTATAAAAAACAAAATTCTTTTATCTTTTTGTACTCATCTACGAAAAAGATTTCCATGATTTTTTCGAATTTTTTTTGTGAAACCATTTATGAGATATGAATTTGTCAAAATCTGAAATTTTTTTTTAATGCTCATCACTTTAAAAAAAATCCTTATTAAATAATTTTTTATTTATTAGAATTAAGCAAGACACCAAAAAAGTTAAGATTTCTATAAAATTGGTTATAGTCTGACGATTGAAATATAATTTACTACATTTTTGAAATATAAAAATGAAAAAATTTTATTTTTAAAATTGTTTGTGTCCTCGATTATTTTGAAAAATTAAAAAAAACTATTCTTTTTACAAAAATTTTGATTTTGGTCAAGCCGTACAGGGATAAAATTTTTCGGAAATTTTTAAAAATGTTCAATATTTAGAATTTTTTTTAAAATACCTCTAATTTTTTTTTTGATACTACGTTTATTAGCATAAAGTTTAGGATAAACGGTTTTTAAAGAAATAATTTTTTGCCTAAAAAATATTTCTGTTAGTTTTTATTAATCAACAAATTATAAAAAAAATAATTTTTTAGGTAAACTACACAGAAAATTAAAAGGTATTAAAATAAGCTGCAACGCTTATTATTTTAATCCAATTTTGATTATTTTAATACTAAAATGGATTAAAATAAGCAAAATTGGGTTAAAATAATAAGCGTTGCAGCTTATTTTAATGCCTTTTAATTTTCTGTGTAAAAATCGTTGATCATAAACGTTGTGTACTTCAGCGCATCGTCGTTTATTTTATATTTTAATGAGCTGATTACAAAAGGCAGTGAAAATATCCGCAAATTTTATTTTCATGCTGTAAAACATAAAAAAAAGTCAAAATTCATGATTTCTTTTTACGTTTTTTTGGGTAAACTAAGCAAAATTTTCAAAAAAAATTTTAATACACTTTTAGAAAATTTTGCATATTTTATATGCATATATACCTACGTATAGTATCAAGAAAATGAGAAGTATTTACACTGAAAAAAAAGTTAATTGAATCAAGTTAATGCATTTATACTTGAGGTACTTTACTTGAAACAAGACAATATTTTCTTATTGGAAGAAATTTATTTTCTTGAGTCAAGTAATTTTGAGCATTGAGCAATGTTCTTGAAATATAAGAAAATATGAGTTTCATACAAGTAAATATATTTTACTGATTCAAGCGAAATGTTTTACTTATGCGTCAAGAACAGAAAAAGAATTGAGTCAAGAATATTATTTTCTCATGTCAAGTGATTTACGTTGAGTATTTTATTTTCTTGGGTCAAATCGTTTTGTTGTTTTCTTGAAAACGACTTTTTACTTAATCTAATACTCATATAGTCTTGATCCAAGAAAATGGAAAGATTAATAGAAATAAATACTTGTTTCAACTTGATTAAAATTTATATTGTTTGAATTAAACATTAATCAATCCAAGTGTTTAATATACTTTAAGCATTAATTCAATTTCTAGAAATAATATTACTCAGATAACATTCATGCGTCTCACGTTAGTCGCATGTCAGGCGTCGCATTTTATGTCTGAATTAATGCACCTTAATTGCGTGCATTGAATTCGCATATTGGTGTCACAAAATGCGTCACATTTGAGAGTTCACATGTGTACATGTAATGCCGGCAGTTACGTGCTCTTAAGTCGCTTGTATCTCTCATAACGTGTGTCGCATTTTCGTGCACGCATAAAAGTACCTTTATTACATTCATGTGAGTGGTGCTTTATAGATGCATTTCGTGCGTGCTGTAATGTATGTGGAGTGAGCGTTAGTCTGTCAAGTGTCAGCGTCAGTATAGATTGTGCAGTCAGTGGATCAACACTTCAATTTGTTGTGAAACAATAAGTGCAACTTTTTTTATTCATTAAATCTAAACATTAAAATTTATAATATTAATAAATATCATGTTACTGAAATAGTATTTTAAATATTTTTTATTTTATTAAAGAGTGTCGTCCACTATCTTATTATTTTGTTCAGGTCCAATTACCTTTTCACAAGCACAGTAGAGTCCATTGATATTTGGACTTGCGCAGTAGGGTTAATTAAACTTTTCACATATCAACCCTACTGCGCATGTGAAAAATTCAATTTATCCTACTGCGCATGTCTAAAGTGCATTTAACCCTACTGCGCAAGTTTAAAGATCAACAGATTTTACTGCGCATGTCTCAAGTGCACTCAGCACTACTGCGCATGTAAAAAATTCAATTAACTCTACTGCGCAACTCTAAATATCTATAGATTCTACTGCGCATGTGACAACTTTAATTGACCTTACTGCGCATGTCTAAAGTGCACTCTACCCTACTGCGCATGTGAAAAGTTCAATTGACCCTACTGCGCATGTCTGAAATGCATTTAAGCCCACTGCGCAAGTTTAAAGATAACGGATTCTACGGCGCATGTGAAACCTTTAATTGATCTCACTGTGCATGTCTAAAGTGCAATCTACTCTACTGCGCATTTTTAGAAAAGATTTAACAGGAGTATCATTCAAATGTCTGTCTGTCTGAACGTGTGTGCGCTTTTTTGATGCCCTCATTTTGCGCGCACTTTCGTGAAGTCGCATAAAATGCGAGGCGTATGTACCTCCATGGAGGACACATCTGCGTGCTTATGTGCATTCACCAAGGGAGGGTAACTCGCACGTCATGAGTTACTTTTGCTGTCAATTTGAACTGACTATTGCTATCTGGGTATATTATCTTAAATGAAATAATTTATTTTTTCAGTTGAAATAGTGATATAATCTTGAATGAAATCATTCATATACATTTTTGGAAATTTTTTAAAATTTTGAAAAAAAAATTTTCCACACGTTATGGGACCAAACTCAAAATTGTAGACGAAAAAGCTTTTTATTTAAAATAATGAAAAGAACGAAAAAAAAAATTTTAAATATAATTTTTATATTAATAAAATGTATTTAACCGAATAAATGTTTTTTTATTTACTGAAAATATTTGTAAGTGATGATTTTATTAAAATTAAATAATTCTTTTACCATTAATTCCAATTCGCCATCCTGAAGACTTGTGCCTCCTTGAGATCTATCAGTAAAAACACTGAGTTTTAATTCACTTTCCGATTGTTCTTGTTGTTGTAGTAGAGAAATTTTTGTTGTAATTGGATAGTAATTTGATGAAATTGCCTCGTCGAATGTTTGATTCCAAGTGGGCCTGAAATTTCTTTTACGTCTTATCGTTTGCCGTCCATTACTATCGGTGTAAAATATTTCTTTGGATTTTAAATCCGTCGTGTACCTCGTCACTATTTCTCGGCCAACATTATCTCTAAGATGATAAACATTTTTTTTTTATTAAACTCTATATTTTAATAAAAATAAAAATAATTTTTTTTTTATTAAAACTATTTATATTAATTTTTATAATTTTACTTACGACACATCAATTGGTCCAATGAGCCAATTAAATTCAATTTTTTTTTGTCCATTGTAAACTCGAATAATTTGACTAATCCAATCATTGATTTTAACTTGAATTTCCTCAACTAAAGGACCTGTGGAAAAATATAGAATTAAAAAAAAAATTTGAAGTAAAATAAAATTTAATAATTGTGTTTTAAATTTATAAAAATTTAACAAATTAATTTAATTTTAATCATTAAAAAATAATATTAATTTATAATTAATTGTTTAAAATTATTATTTTTTTTTATTAAAAAATCAATTAAAAATAGTATGACCTTTAAATATTTTAAAGCTTCCAATAAAATCGAAGGATTTAGCAGTTGTATTTTCTTTTGGCCGAAAAACATAGGCACCAGAGTTTCTTCGCAGAAAATTAATTTCTTTATTTTGCTCAGCTTCATAGAAAGAAAATGATTGCATGAAATTGAGATTTTTCTTTAATTTCGATAATACATGGACGTGTCCTTTTTTGTCTACTGAAATATTATACATCTGAAAAATGTAAATTAAATTATATCTATGAATTTTTCTTTTTTTCATTTTCAAATAATACATCTTTACCCTTATAATTACACCATTCCAGGGGCTATTATGCTCATTGACAGTTTTTTATGAATAAAGTTTTTTTAAAAAAATATATTCAAATATGCCGCTTAATGTAAATATGGGACATATGAATTTCCCATAAAAAATTAATGTTTCTAATTTTCAATTGAAAATAATTTTATTAGATAAATTTTTTTAGACGAATTTTATTATTCGAATTAGCATACTAATGGTAAAAAATTATCGACTTACAAAAACCTACATTGCCGACTAATGATAAAAAAATTACCGACCTACAGGAATCTACATTCTCGACTGTTGGTAAAATGAAGATATAAAAAATTACCGACTTACAAAAATTTACTTGTCTGACGAAGGGTAAAATGAAAAATATAAAAAAATTATCGACCTGCAGGAATCTACTTTGCCGACTGATGGTACAATGAAACATTCCGACTTGCATTAATCTAACTTTCCAAAATGATAGCCAATAATTTTTTATATCTATATTTTACTATCAGTCGACAAAGTAGATATCTTCATGTCGGTAATTTTTATATCTACATTTTGCCATCAGTCGACAAGGTAGATTCCTGCAAGAAGATTTATATTTACATTTTACGATCAGTCGACAAAGTAGATTCATGTAAGTCGGTAATTTTTTATATCTTCATGTTACCATCAGTCGGTCATATAGATTCCTGTAAATAGGTTATTTTTTTATTTACCATCTGTAGGCAATGTAGGTTCTTGCAAGTCGGTAACTTTTATATTTTTATATTCTCTATCCCAAAATGTTAATTTTGGTAAAAATTTGAAAGTTTACGGTCGCATTTTATGTGGTTTAATCTCACATGGCCTTAAATAGAAAACAGGTCTAATATGCAGAGAATATTCATGCGTCCCGTATGATGACCCGGTTAATGGAATACAAAAAAAAATAAATAAATAAAAAAAAATATAAATATAAAATGAAAAAATAAATTATTCTTACATCACCACCCATAGAGTTAGAAATTTCGTTATCGAAAATATTCGAATTTGATGAACTTTGGCTGATGTGAAAAGACTGAAATCCTAGTGGCGGTATGCCAACAGCATAAAATATTAATTCATATTTGGCTGCACTCAGACGACCCGGTATATTTATCACTTCCAATGGAATTGGTATCACTTGATTTACAATTTTAGTGCCTAAATAAAAAATAAAAAAACCTTGATGAGAATGTAATATTTATAAAAAAATAAATTATTTTTAATGAAATTTAAAAAAAAAAAAAATTACATTACCTAAATAATCAATGACTGTGTAAGAAGTGTTTGTTACAGGTAATCTCACATAAGTTGTGAGGGGTTGACTCGTCGGATTATATAAAGTAATGACAAAAATTTCATTTTCCTCAGTATATTGACAAGAACTGATATTTAATAGAAGACAAGAGTGAAAATTAGTTGACGTTTCATTGTCATTCTTTTTCTTATTCAACCATTTTCTGTATTATTAAATCAAAATTACACATTTATCAAATTTTTTTTGTACCAATTTTAATTATATTTGTGTAAAAATAATAATAAAAAAAAAATGAATTATTGTAAAATAATTTTCAAAATACCTTAGAGCACTAATTGCAATTTCTTCACCACCTTTAATGCTGTGATGCAAAATACGAGCATAATCATTGGCAACGTGTTGTTGTTCAGTGCCGGCAACTGCATCATGATGTTGTAAAATTCCCATTGCTTCGCGAAATTTGTCCAATTCATTATTTAAAGGAACAATACTATTTATTACAGAAAGTTGCTTTACGACCTGTATAATTAAAAATTCTTTTCTAAAATCAATTTTCTATTTTTTAATATAGTAAAAAGTACAACTTAAAAAATATTTTGAACTTTAAAGAAATTAAATTTCATTTATAAATTAAAAATTTATTTCTTTTATTTAAATATATAAATTATTAAATTTATTAATAAAAATATTCAAAAATGATTATATAACTTATTTTAAGGCCAGGTCCAAGTGAGGCAGCGCCATCTACAATGAAACTAGAATTTTTGAATAAATTTTCAACAGCCTTTTCTTGAAAACAAGAAGGTAAAATGCTTTTTCCTTTATGCACGGAGAAAAAGAAAAAGTAATTTTTATTACTTTCAGAGTAAAACTGGACCAACTCGAAGTTTCTGCGCATCTCTGGCAATTTTTACTCCAAAAATAGTAAAATTTATTATTTCTGTAGTAAATTTTACTGTTTCCGTAGTAAGTTTTACTATTTCTAGAGTAAATTTTACTATTTTTGGAGTAAAAATTGCCAGAGATGCGCAGAAACTTCGAGTTGGTCCAGTTTTACTCTGAAAGTAGTAAAAGTTACTTTATAAAAGAAATCTTTTTTCTCCGTGTGGATAATTGATTATTAGCAAGATATACACCAGCTAAAACTTTTTTTGAGTTAAAATAATAAAAAAAATTTCATGTCAATAAATTAAATATGAGCACTTTTTTCACAAAAACTGTAACAGTACTTTCTCAGAAATTACAATCAAAAATGCAATTTCCATTTGGAAAATTAATAAACGCTAAAAAATACACGACCTAAGATTCACGAATCACGAAAATAACAAAAAAAAAAGTTTTTTAACATAACATATTTTACTCATTATGACAGCCGTTTGGCAGGTTATGTATGTCACCAGACGTTTCGCGGTTTTGCCGAAAGGAGGAGATTGGCGCTGTTGCTAACCACCTGAAATACATAATCTACCAAAGGGCTGTCACAATCAGTAAAGCAGTATCAATATGTTAAATATTTAATAAAATTTTTTTTTTGTTATTTTCGTGATTGGTAAATCTTAGGTGGTGTATTTTTTAGTGTTTATTAATTTTCCAAATGGAAATTGCATTTTTGATTGTAATTTTTGAGAAAGTACTGTTACAGTTTTTGTGAAAAAAGTGCTCATATTTAATTTATCGACATGAAATTTTTTTCATTATTTTAACTCAAAAAAAGTTTTAGCTGGTATATATCTTGCCAATAATCAATTATCCATAAAGGAAAAAGCATTTTACCATCTTGTTTTCAAGAAAAGGCTGTTGAAAATTTTCCAAAATTTTAGTATCGATGTAGATGGTGCTGCCTCACTTGGACCTGGCCTTAAGTCTCATTTAATACCAAAAATAAAATTTATTTACATTTCATAATTAAAAAAAAAAAACCCATGCCAATTATACCATTGAGAAATAAAGTTATCTGTTTGAGAAATTCTGACCCAAAATAAAAGAAAAAAAAAATTGTTTTTAAAATTTAAACACATGTTTCTTTAAATTTTCAAAAATTCATTAAAATGTATGATTTATTTTGTTTTTTTTTTCTTTTTTTGAATAGAAAAAAAATGAAATTGCTATTTACCTGTAAGAAATTATTTCCGAGCCTTTCAAAAAATTTGAGAGTCGGTCTTGAGGTGAAATATCCTGTCCAATATGAATGTGAATCACTTCCATATGGGAAAAAGTCATCATCTTTTGTTGACCATGTTTTATTAAAATCATTTACTGCTTTAATATAGCACGATGGTGTTGAGTAAAAAATATTGAAATCCGTACTGTTTCGAAGATTAATGTATCTAAAAACAAAAAAAGAATCCAATAAATAAAAAAAGTACAATAAAATATATAACTCATCAAAAAAATTAAAAAGCAATAAATTTACAATAATGTGTTTTTAAAAAAAAATCAAATATAAATTTCCATACAAAAAGTCGGAGAAAATAAATAATATTAATAATAATAATAATAATAATAATAAAAACTTATGTTTATAAAAATTCATTTTAATAGAAAATTGTAAAATAATTTTTGTAAAAATAATTTTCTTTAAATCATTTTGTTTAAATTCTATAATTTTTATCGAAATTTTTATTAAAAACAACCTTCTACACTTAGTCGGCAAAGAAGAAGAGACAAAAAAAATTATGATTTACCTCTGTTGATAATGTAGAAATCTACTTTACCAACAGTCGGTAAAGAAGAAACAACCTTCTACAACTTACTTAATAATTTTTTCTAAATTAACGAACCAGGCACGTGCAATTTGATAATTAAAATCCTCTCCCATGGTAAGAATAATATTATTCGTCATGTAAGATTTAGCCTGAATTTGACAAAATGCTAAAAATATTTCCATCTGTAATTTATTTTTTTTCAATTTCAATAATTTTTATCATTACAACCAACAACATAAAAAATTATCTAGAAATTTTTGAATGAAACGTAACTGATAAAATTTATAAAAAAAAAATAATTGTAATATTTATATTTTATGTAAATAAATAAATTAATTAAAATGCATATAGAAATGATAATTATAAATTGTAAAACTTACTCTCATATCCATATTATAATCAGGACTATCAGGATCGTCTATTAATGGTTCGTCGTCACAAACAATGTCAAAACAAAATCCAGAAGGTGCTTTGTAAAAATTGTACAGAACCGACGTAAATAAATTAGCCTTATTTCCTAAAAAAAAAAAAAAAAAATCATTATATAATTTTTAATGTGATTTGAAATTTTTTTTTTAACGAAATTAAAAAAAAGTATTATTTTTTTTCTTACAATCGCGAATTTTCATACATCGAAATTTTTATTATAATCAATTTTTCATTTATTAACATGACCTTATTTTTGTTTAACACAATTTTTATATACATTTTAGTAAAATATTTATTTAGAAGAAATTACAATTTAATAAAATTATCATTTAGCCGCGAATTTTGTAATAAAAGTATTTCTATTTCACCGTTTCATTATTTGTCAAAATTTTTGCAAAAAGTAAATTTTAAATTTAATTATATGCAAAATTCAGATAAATAAAATTCTATCATTGTTAAATAAAATGTAATAAATAAGGTTGACAATTGTCCAAAATTAAAAATAAAGTTAAATAAAAATTTAGTTAAATATGAAATCGAACAAAAAAAATATTATTTGATTGAAATTCTGTTAAATAGAAAATTCGGCTAAATAAAAAAAAATGCTCTCAAATAAAAATTCTGTTAAATATAAATTCAATAAAATAAAACTCAATAAAAAAAAATTTATTTAAAGAAAAATTATCTTCTTATTATAGTATAATAGTTTACACACCTAAACTTGGATTACTTTTCCAAATAAATTCCGTCATTTTATTTTCCAATCGTTGTGATTTGTCTTTATAATCCAATCGACCAATCAATAAACCATCATATCCCATTTGTGCAAAAATAGAAGCTTGTTCACGTGAATGGCCAAAAGGATCGATTTGCCAACCGATTTTTGGTCGTCCACATTCTCCAAATGTGTCATTAAGGCGTCTAAATTTTATTAAAATAAAAATATTTAATTTGTCTATTATCCATTAAATCTATATTTAAATCAAATATATATATTTACTGGACTCGCATTACCACCAGTAGGTAAATCGTATTTTTGTTTTTCTTCTTTACCGACTGTTGGTAAAGTAGATTTCTACATTATCAACAGAGGTAAATCATAATTTTTTTTTGGTCTCTTCTTCTTTGCCGACTATTGACAAAGTAGATTTTTACATTACCAAACAGTAGGTAAATCATAATTTTATTTCTTACTGATGGTAATGCTAATTCCTATTTAATCAGTTGTTGGTTAATCGTACATTATTGTTACTATTTTTTTTTTAAATTCTTTACTTTTCTTAAGAATTATCAGCAGTTGATAAATCGTTAATATTACAAAGTATTGTATATTAAATTAAATAAAATAGAAAATTAAAAAAAAAATGTTTTTCATTAATCTAAAAATTATTTAAATTAAATTTACTTAAGGCCCAATGTGAATTGATCGATAATTGATTGATAATGAGTGACAGCCTCATCATTCATGCTCCATGCTCCTCCAATGAATTCTAATCTCCCTTCATTAATTAAATTTCTTACTATCTGTTTCACATTGTTATTCTGTTGTTGCCACCATTTCCAGAAAAATGCTGTTTCCACGTAAATAAATCTATTTTAATAAAATGGAAAAAACAAATTTAATTAATAAAAAAAAAAAAAATACAAATTAATTTATGTAAATATAATGAAATTAGAGAGATATTAGTAAGAAATTTTTTACCTTCTTTCGGGATTTTCTTTTAATGCTTCAATTACCGAGTCTAAGATATATTGAACACTTGCCAATTGTATTTTAGGGCGACCTTTATTATAAAAGAAATCACTTTTTCATTTACTGCTCTATTTTATTATTCTTATTATTATTTGCTCTATTTATATTATAAATAAAAAAAAATTAAGTAAATAAATTATAATTAATTTCATTAAAATATTAATAAAATTAATTATCAAATTATTCAATTAGTTAAGAAGTACTTTAAACAAATATTTTTTTAAAATATAAAAAAAAACATAGTACTAAAATTGTAAAATAATTTTGTGCAATAATTGTACAATTTTTAAAAAATAATAATATAAGAAAATAAAGATATTATGATCACCTCCATAATAATACTGATCAACTGTTTTCAACCATCCAACATCGTCGTGTGTATGTGCTACCAAATGGATATTGAGTTTTTTGGGATCTACTTTTGGACATGACTAAACAAAAAAAAATATATAATTTTTTTATAATTCAACATTTTATATTGTTAATTTTTTTGATTTTTTATATGAAAATACAATTTCATAATTTTATTTTCTCTAAATAATTAAATAAAAATTTTATTTTACATATTAAATTGATTTTAATATTAAAATTTATTTTCAATTAACATATTTACCAAATAATTTTTGAAAATTTATTATTACAAATAATAATTGATAAAACTAAATTAAATTTTAATTAATGTAACTAAATCAGAAGCAATGAAGAAATTTTTATTTGTACCATAAAAATTAGATGATTGAATTTAATTAATAAAATTTAACACCTATAAATTGTAATAAATATTAATTTAATAATTATAATTAATTAATAATTATTTAATATTACTTGATATCCACAAGTCGTTGGTCCCTCACGTTCACTGTTGGTAACGTAAAAAGCCTTCAATGGAATTACAAGGTGAACAACTAGAAATATTGAAAGAAACCAAAAGACGAATCCTCCCATCATCACTGGGAATCTTTTCGACGAATATAAATGTTCTTCTATAACGAAGATCTTTATACATTCTGTATTCAACCAAACATACAAATAATAATAAAAAAAGAGCAAAAACTTCTCTGAGCCTTCTTTCTGAACAGCAAGCGTGTAAATTGTATTTCTGTTGCTGATCAACAGGCGTATTTCGACAATTTTTAAAAATTAAATTAAAAAATAGAAAATTGCAAATAAATTTAAAAAAATAAAGTAAACAATAAAATTGAAAATAAAAAATTAAAATTGTTTTCTTTTGTATAAAAAAAAATTCTATTCTTGTTTAAAACAAAAAACGATTATCGGCTTAAATATTTATTTTACTTTACAGGCATTACACAATATGTCTCATTAATAATTGTCGCAAGTACAATTATAAATCTCGAGAGCTCCGAGAATAATATTTATATAATTTATACATTTAAAATTTTTAAGTTAGTTATACATCAGTCTCAAATTATGATTGTCACACAATTTGCGACGAGCGATTAACAAAAAAAAAAATTTTTTTTTTCGACACAATTAAAATCGTATACATAATATTGTAGATAGGAAATAATAAAACAAAATGCAATATTGACAAACTAATGAAAGCAAAAAGAGAAAATATTTATATATATATATAGAAATTGATTCAGAAGACCATAGTAAATTACAATCTAAATGAAATATATATATATATATATTTTTTTATTGTAACTCAAAAAAAAACTCAATGATAAATATCGTAAAAATTGATTATCTGGTTTCGATCACTGTAGGTATATATGGTTTTGTAGAAAATTATCTTTCAATTTTTCACTACGATGGAAATTCTGTTGGACTTTTTCTTAAGGGTCACAAAATGTTTATCTTCTTATTAAACATGTTATTTTTCTTTATTCTTCTTTGATCTGAAAAAAATGATTGATAGTTAAAAAAATGAGTTTCCGAAATTTTTTCAAAAGGACAAAAATATTTGTTTCTCTAATTATTTTTTTTTCTCTTAAAGCCAGGTCCAAATGAGGCAGCGCCATCTATATTGAAACTAAAATTTTGGAAAATTACCAACAGCCTTTTCTTGAAAACAAGAAGGTAAAATGCTTTTTTCTTTATGGATAATTGATTATCAGCAAGAAATACACCAGCTAAAACTTTTTTTGGGTTAAAATGATGAAAAAAATTTCATGTCAATAAATTAAATATGAGCACTTTTTTCACAAAAACTGTAACAGTACTTTCTCAGAAATTACAATCAAAAATGCAATTTCCATTTGGAAAATTAATAAACGCTAAAAAATACACGACCTAAGATTTACCAATCACGAAAATAACAAAAAAAACAGTTTTAACATAACATATTTTACTCATTATGACAGCCGTTTGGCAGGTTATGTATGTCACCAGACGTTTCGCGGTTTTGCCGAAAGGAGGAGATTGGCGCTGTTGCTAACCACCTGAAATACATAATCTACCAAAGGGCTGTCACAATCAGTAAAGCCGTATCAATATGTTAAATATTTAATAAAATTTTTTTTTCTTATTTTCGTGATTGGTAAATCTTAGGTCGTGTATTTTTTAGCGTTTATTAATTTTCCAAATGGAAATTGCATTTTTGATTGTAATTTCTGAGAAAGTACTGTTACAGTTTTTGTGAAAAAAGTGCTCATATTTAATTTATTGACATGAAATTTTTTTCATCATTTTAACCCAAAAAAAGTTTTAGCTGGAGTATTTCTTGCTGATAATCAATTATCCATAAAGGAAAAATCATTTTACCTTCTTGTTTTCAAGAAAAGGCTGTTGGTAATTTTCCAAAATTTTAGTTTCAATATAGATGGCGCTGCCTCATTTGGACCTGGCCTTAAATATTAAAATAAATTTTTTTCATGAATATCAGTTTCGATAGCTTTTTTGATGGTTTTTCGATTGGTAATATGCATATGTATTTGAAAAGAAAATTTTTTTAAACAAAAAAAAAAAATGAAATTCCAAAATGAATTAAATTTTTTTTTAGATGAAAGGTATAATTTTTTTTTTTTTAACGAAAGCTGAGGATTTTTTCTATATATGTAGTTAAAAAATTGGGACTAGAATATTTAAATATTAATAATTAACATTTTTTGCTTTTTTTACCATTTCTGGCTATTTTTGGTCATTTTTTTTACTATTTTTTAATATTTAAACATTTTAGTCCCACTTTTTTTAATAAAAAAAAAAAAAAAAAAATTGTTCTGATATTCTTTTATACGCCCTTTCGATTGGTAAAATGCATTATTGAAAAAGATGATTTCAAGAAACAAGGAAACTTTTTCTTCAAAAAAATCGACTGATTATATTCTTATGTTTATAATCTTTACGTCATAATTGTTTATAAACATGTCGAATTGATAAGCATATGAATTGATGTTATTATATTTTTTCAACAATTTTTAAATTAAGATATATAAGAATTAATAATATAAATTGAAGATTTTATTATTTAATTATTAATTAATAATTTCTAATATTTAATTATTAATTAATAATTTTTAATATTTAAATGTTAATTATACTTGCCTTTTATAAAAATTATGATCCATAGGAACTTTCATAAGCAGAAAGTTTGACGACACAGGCGAAGGAAATTTATTTAGCGTAGCAGACACTTAAAATTATACGAAACGGGAAAACATACCGTGTCATACGAAAACAAAAAAAAAAAAAAAAGAAAGAAAAAAAACAAATCGTATGACTAAAAATCAGAATAGACCAGCTTTTCCGGTGGCTTTTCAAATTTAATTGGTCGATAAAAGGAAAGTGATTGATCCCAACCACGAGGTGCTGTATTATAGTTGGCTAAATTCTGATAACTTGATATCTTTGGACCCTGGTAGATACTTTCATATAATTTACCACCTAAAATCATAAAAAAGTAACAAATTTTAAAATTAACTCTCACATTACATATAATTACATATAATAAAAAATTTTTTTTCAATTTCCAAAAAAAAAAGTTGATTGAAAATCATTTGTTCCTAAAGACAATATAGTGAAAGAAACAAAAAAAAACTAATAAAATTTTAATTACAATATTTTTTGGAAATAAAAAAATTACACATGTGTAAAAATAGTTGATATAGTAACAATTACCACAGTAACGATTACCACACGGCAAACAAATATCCAAACGACTCACATCAAACGCAACAGCGCTTGCGTTACTATAACTCTCTCATTGGTAGAAAAAGGCGCTCTAATTTAAAATAATTTAATATTAGAAAACATTTAGAAAACAGTAAAAAAAAAAATAATTAAGTGAAAAATTTATTATTTTCAAATTTAGTTACAATACATTTAATCAAAATTAATTTTTATCCATTATTTTCAGTTTAATATTCAGTATAAGAATAACTTTGCTAAAATATCGTCAGGTATTTGACATAACCTCAAAAAACCTGAAAATTCCTTATTAAAATTTTAAAATTAAGAAAAATTCGAATCTTTAAATCTTACCGTGACTATTAAATGTATATGGTGTCGTTGAAGTCAAAATTTGAGGTCTAGGGTAAAAGGTACAGTGACCGACACCCAGACAGTGAACGACACCTGCTATTAAAAACGATAATAACTATAAAAATAATAATATTTAATTAAATATCACTAGTAAATTAATTAATATACAATATTTAAAAACTTATACAGTTTATACAAAATTTTATATGTTTATATTTTCCTCAATATTTAATACTTTCTAGAAAACTAACCTCAAAAAATTTGCTTTATTGATTACAAATTTTATAAATATGAAAAAATTGTTAAATAATTATATTTTAAAAGCAACTTTTTTTGTACATTAAGTCTGAATAATAAAATTTATGATAATACTAATAAATATCATGTTACTTAAATAGAAGTTTAAATATTTTTTATTTTATTAAAGGGTGTCGTTCACTGTTTTCATGCCATACATTTTTAAATTAATATTATAAACTCTTATCAAAGTGTTTTTTAATTTTAAACTTGTGTACTATAAATTTTAACCCAAATCTTTTATTTAAAATTTATTTTATAACTAAATCTTTAATAAATTACGATAAAATGTCATTTAAAGTTGAAAGTTTGCCCAGGGTGTCGGTCACTGTACCCCTTACCCTATTTAACCCCATCACGTCAGGTTTTTGACATAACCTCGAAAAAGTTCCGAAATTTTAAAATCAAGATAAATTCTGATTTATAAGTCTTTATCATGTCTACTTTATGTTTTTGGGGTCGCTGAAATCTAAATCAAAAAATTACACGTGTAATTACACGTGTATATTTGGCCACATGTAATTACACATGTAATTCGTACTTGAAATTTGAAAGTTATTTTTCAAAAAATTCCACGTATAATAGATACTTACTATTACACGTGTAATGGTGTAATAGATACTTTAAAACTTTTTGGAAATTTCAAGAATTGTTACACGTCGAACTACATTTGAATAGTGAATTTCGAAAAGGGCTCAACTCTGAAAACCGTAAGTGTCATTTTCGCTATCAAATTGTTATGCGAAAATGACACTTACGTTTTTACAAGTTGAGCCCTTTTCGAAATTCACGATTCATTTGTAATTGATATTTCTCGAATATTTTATAAAATTTACACTTGTGATAACACATGTAATTTACACTTTGAAACTTTTTTTTGAACTTTTAAGAATTTGCTACACGTGGAACTATACTTGTAATAGATACTTTGATATATCACAATTCACAAATATTTTAAAAACTTTTTACATGTGTAATTCATGCTTTGCTATTTTTCGAAAATTTTATGAATATTTTACACGTGTAACAATTTCTTGAAATTTCAAAAAAGTTTCAAAGAATGAATTACACGTGTAATTACATATATGTAAAAAGTTTATAATATATTCAAGAAATAACAAAGTATAAAATAAACGTGCAGTTCTACGTGTAACAATTCTTGGAATTTCAAAAAAGTTTCAAAGTATGAATTACATATGAAATTACATGTGTAAAAAGTTTATAAAATATTTAAGAAATATCAAAGTATAAAATACACGTGTAATTACACGTGTAATAACACTTGAAATTTTAAAAAGTTTCAAATAAATTACACATGTAATTACATGTGTAAAAAGTTTATAAAATATTCAAGAAATATTAAAGAATCAAATACACGTGTAATTACACGTGTGACAATTCTTGATATATTAAAAAAGTTTAATTACACGTGTTAAAGTTTTTAAATTATTTTAGAAATATCAAAGTATCAAATACACGTGTAATAAAATCTTGAAATTTAAAATAATTTTAAAGTATTAATTACACATGTGTAAAAAGTTTATAGTAGTTACACGTGTAACAAAATTCATGAAATTTTAGAAAAGTTTCAAATTATGAATTACATGTGTAAATTTGATAAAATATTCGAGAAATATCAAAGTATCAATTACAAGTGTAGTTCGACGTGTAACAATTCTTGATATTTCAAAAAAGTTTTAAAGTCTCTATTACACGTGTAATTATACGTGGAATGTTTTGAAAAATAACTAGCAAATTCCAAGTACTAATTACATGTGTAATTACATGTGTAATTTTTTTGATAGGGATATATTTAACCCCATCAAGTCAGCCTCACAGAAAATTAAAAGGCATTAAAATAAGCTACAACGCTTATTATTTTAATCCAATTTTGCTTATTTTAATCCATTTTGGTATTAAAATAAGTAAAATTGGATTAAAATAATAAGCGTTGCAGCTTATTTTAATGCCTTTTAATTTTCTGTGCTTTTAACATAACATAAAAAACAAGTTGTAAATTCAGATGTTCATTACATGAACATTTTGCATCCTATTTACGATCAGCAAAAAAATTTGCTTCCTCCTGGAAGAAGCATTAACATTGAAATAAACATACAAAAATAATATAATAATAATATAAACATTTAAGTACCTATACAATTGAGTTAAATTTAATGAATTAATGGAAGTTAAAAAATCAAAAATTCACATTTTAGCTGAAATTTCTAAAAATTAATGAAAAATAATATATAATTTATAATTTATTTACAATTATATCGTTTGGTTTCAATGCAAGGAACACAATTATTTTATATTTAAACTTGAATTTAAATAAATACAAATTTTTTTTAGCAAAAATGGGAATTTTTTATTTTTTAACTTTCATTAATTTATTAAATTTACCTCAAATGTATACTTTATATATATACCAATCGATTCGTTTTCATGCAAGAAATACAATTATTTCATATATGAACTTCAATTTTAAAAATCACAAAATTTTATTGTCAAAATGTGAATTTTTGATTTTTTAACTTTCATTAATTCTTTAAATTTAAATTGAAACTACCTATACTTTATATATACCAATCGATTTGTCTTGACGTAAGAAATATGATTTTATTATATATAACCTTAAATTTTTCTATTTAAAAATTTTTTCGATTAAAAAAAAAATTTTGGAAAAAAGACGATAAAATTTTTTTTTTTTGGTATTTTTTAAAATCCTTTGGTCATAGATTTGAGATATTAATATGAGCCTACCAAATTTTATCTAAATCCATTAAAACCTGTTAAAGTTATCGTCTAAACAAAAAAGGGATCCACACACATACATACATACATCCGGACAATTGATCAGGATCTCATATAACATGTTTCTATATAGAAAAAAATTTGTTTCCGCCACTTTGAAAATTTTTATAAACGAAAGGACTACAAAACTTCCTCCACGAGGAAGCAAAACATTTAAAATTTCAAAGAACCCCGCACCATTTACATGAGAATTTGGGGACTGGTGAAATTTTCTGCAACTTTGAACTTTTGTAGTTTTTGACCTCCTGAACAAAAAATGTAATGGCAAAATTCCAAAAAATGGACAGATTTTTTAAAAATTGAGGTTTAAGTTTAAAAAATAGTGTTAAAAGCGAAAAAAATTCAAAAATGAGTAAAACCAAAACAACTTAACAAACTTTCTTAAAACTCGTTAAAAAATAATTTTTAAACCTTTTTTCGCGTCCGGTATTTTAAATTTTGAAAAACTATCATCGAATTCGTAATTAGCGACCCCGAAAACCCCCGAGTAACAAGATTTAAGGGAATTCAATGTATTTTAAAAAATCGTCGGCCATTTTGGATCCGACATTTTGGATTTTCAAAAATTGACATCGAATTCGTAATGAGCTACCCTGAAAACCCTCGAGTAGCGAGTTTTAAGACAGTTTGTTTACTTCTTTTGGTTTTACTTATTTTTGAATTTTTTCCGCTTGTAACACTATTTTTTAAACTTAAACCTCAATTTTTAAAAAATCTGTCCATTTTTTTGAATTTTGCAATTTACATTTTTTGTTCAGGAGGTCAAAAACTACCTACAAAATTATAAAGTTGCAGAAAATTTCACCGGACCCCAAATTCCCATGTAAATGGTGCGGAGTTCTTTTGTGATTTTTTCAAGGTTAATGTCAAAATCACGACGTGATGGGGTTAAATAATAACTTCAGATTTGTTTTCAGCGACACCAAATATATAAAATAGTCGCACGGTAAGACTTATATAGATTCGAATTTTTCTTGATTTTAAAATTTTAAGGACGAATATTGAGGTTATGTCAAATACCTAACGTGATGAGGTTAAACTGACTTTAGATTCGGTTTCCACGACTCCAAAAACATAAAATAGTCATTGTTTAACCTTGAGCTCAGAACATAAATTTCTTTTGTGTGCCTGTGTTATAATTGATTATTCCCATTTAATAATAATCTTAAATTAATTTTGATTAAAAAACATAACATAAAAAGAATAAATTGTTTTTTTAATGTTTTCTAAACCTTTTTGTTATATTAATGGGATTTTAAATTAAGAGCGCTTTTTTCTACCAATGAGAGAGTTTTAGTAGCGCAAGCGCAGTTGTGTTTAGTAAAGGTCGTTGGCATGGCAACCGTTGCCAATCGTCAGATATTGCACTAAATTTTATTGACATTTAGCCAATGTTTAATTAATAATATCTCTACAATTTTCAATCATTGTATCTATTCAAAAGAAAAAGAAAAAAAAATGATTTAAGCCAAAAAGCAAAAGCAAAGCAAGCGGATGATATATAAAGCCATGCAATTAACTTGCCATCATCAACGTTTAAGCCACTAATGCCAAATTCACAGTCAGCTGAGACAAGATTATTGACAACTGGCGTGTTCCTCAAATGTTTAATTGTATCCAAAATATCGTCCTGTGTGCCAACCATGGCAAGTACTCTTGGTTTTCTCGCCTCCTGAATTTCCGTCTCAATTTCAATATATTCACTGGAGCCATTTATAATTAATGTTTCCTCATGATCCTCTGAATCCATAATTTGTCGACGATAATATTCATCAACCATTGACATTGATGCACTTCTATTGCCAGCGGGTATTCGTTGAAAATCGTTCTCACAAATTGGCTTACGATCTTCAAATTGATAATAATTCATAGGCGACAATGAATCGTCCAATGATTCATCGTCCAAATCCTCAGTCGATAAATAACCGTTACTATGACAAGAATCAAGGCTCTCCCTTTCAAAAATTTCGTCCTCTCTATCCGATAACCTACAACAAACTTCGTATTTGCTTGGTACTGATGTTGTCTCGAAAAAACGTGAAATATCGTTATTGAACGTTTTATTTTGTCTACTGATAGGAATTACTTTTTGACTCAATTGCTTGTATTGTAAAACAGGTCGGCATGTTTTTTCAAATTCTTGAATTAATTGTTTCACGGGAACCGGTGTATAATCACTCTCCTCACTGTCCGTTAATTGATGATCCTGATTTCCGTTTCTAAAATTGTTTCTAATTAAATTACCATTTGTCTCAATAGTGTGATGATTAGTTGATTTTGAATGATACTTTGAATTTGAATAATATTTTGATTTTGAATTTGAATTATAATGGGAATTGGAATTTGGTCGTGAATTATAGGTGGAATTTGAACTTGGTCTTGATTGATAATTGGAATTATTTTTCACATAATTATTTCCATTGACAGTGGATTTTGAATAATGATGTGAATTGAAATTTGATTTAGAACTATTTGAATTGCCATTTGATTTTAAATGATGTTGATGATGAGAATTTGATTTTGAACCATTAGAAATGCCATTTGATTTTGAATGATTTGAATTTGATTTCAAATGTTTCGATGAATTTGAATGATGATTAGAATTGGAATTGGAAAAGGTTGTTTTATAGCGATTGCTGCGATGCCCGTTAGTAGTGGCACGTGAACGGTCCTCGTTTTTGAAGGACATTCGTTTGGATTTTTCCAAAAATTGGTCACAATCTTCGTGAGGAAGTTCCGGGTCTGTACCGACAGCCACTTCACGAAGATAAATTTTCTTCACTTCGGTGGTTGTTCTGTTCACCCCGTTCTCTAGATTGTTATTGGCTCGAGTTTGTCGATCCTGGCCTGCAATTGGTTTTTCTTTGGTTTTTCTTTTACAACAAAGCTGTGATGATTATTAGATCGAACACAAATATTATTGTTTTTTTTTTTTTCAAAAATTGACAACTAATGTTAATTACAGTAAAATTAGTTTCAACTTGATTGAAATATATATAATTTCATTATATGGGCAATTCTCCAAAATTTTAATGAATTATATAAAAAACGAACGTTTTTAAATTAATGAATTAATATTCAAAGGCGGAAAATTTTTATCGTCGGAATTTTCAATTAAATTAATTTAATAATAATTATTATTGAAATATAAATGTTTATAAAACAATATAAAGAGTGGACTTTTTATTTTCAACGTTATCAGGAAATTAAAGAAAAAAACAAAACAGTATATTTTTCTCATTATCAAGTAAACAAAATAGAAAAAGACTGCGTATTTTTATTAAATTGGATGTCGTAGCACGTGATGATTTTAGTATTTCTTTGACTTTAAATAGAGACCCTAACATAACCTCAAAACTGAAAAATGTTTTTTAATACAAACAAAAATTTAATCAAAAATTCATTTCAAAAAAATTTTACAAGATCTAGTTATACACTTTTTGGATAAAAGAAAAAAATAAAATGTTAAAATAAAATGTTAAATGTTAACTCAACATAATTTTTTCCGAAAAGTGTATACAACTAAATCTTCTAAAATTGTTTGATATTATTTTTTATTAAATTTTTGTTTGCATTAAAAACCGTTTTTCAGTTTTGAGGTTATGTCTACATTCTCCTTATAGTGAATCTACCATTAGGCATTTTATGAAGCAGGTGCGAAGCAAAAAAAAAAAATTCTCCCTCGAAAATGACCAGTTTCTGGAGAATCACCTATATAAAAAAAATTTTTAATTTCAAATAAAATATAAATTGATTAAATAAAAGTAAATTAAAATTAGTGAAAAAATTAATAAAATCAAATTTAAAATGTAATAAATTGTAATGAAAAATTGAACTTTGTTATTCCAGAGAAAGAATGTTTGTTATACCTAAAAAAAAAAACTTAATTAAAAGAAATTATTCAAAAAATTAAAAAAAATGGTTAGAAATTAATAAATTGGGAAAATAATTACGAGTTTAGAATTTAGAAAAAAGTTTCAAGAATTATTAAATGAAGAAAAATTTAATGATTATGATTTTTGGATTTTACTTTTTATGTGAAATTCTTGAAAAATGATAAATATTCACGCACTTAATAAATCACCTGACGTTAATTAGTGTCACACTTGTACTGCAGAAAGCAATTGCCAATGACTAAATGGTTCAAGAGTTGTTGGCTCTTTAACTCGTACGATGACCGTATTATAAATACGGTATTTGGGCTAAGCTAACTATACATATATATATAAAACTCACTCAATTCAAATAGAACTCAATAAAATCTAATCAAAAAATAAAATTAATCAAATGTTTAATTATAATTTTAATGTATTTTAATTATATTTTAATAAAATTTGAATTTTTCGAATACAAAATATTGATTATATATATTTTTTAATTTTGAATAGAGTAAAACTATGTAATATATGTTATTTAAAAAAAGTTCACTAAATTTTGTCAATTAGCTTTAATTATTCTGCTATACCCAGAGAAATGATTTATTTGAATTAAATAAAATTTATTTGACTTAAATAAAAAAAGATATTTGTCTCAGAGCCTACTAAACTTTTATTTGTTTCAAATAAAATGTTTTATTTTAATTCGTATATTTAAATTAAATATATTTTTTATTTGATTCAAATAAATTTCTTATTTGTTACAAATATATTTATATTTAGGACAAATAAAAAAAATTGTTAATGTCAATAAATAATGGTAATGCCTCCTGCAGTACGCAGGCGCGTACTGTAGTGCTTGGTATGTTGAGTGTTTTCGGCGTACCAGCAGATTATAATGCGATTTACAATCTGCACTGCTCATTGTTCTAAACTATACGTGACAGACACGAAACAAAATTAATGTGAGATTTATCAAAAGAATTGTTATGACGAATGCATACAAAAAAAATTTACAGGAATTTTCATTCCATATGCAAATTACACTTTTGAGGTTATGTTCTTCGACAAACCAAATAAAAACTTTTTTAAAAAAGATAATATATGATTAATATTCAATTAATTTTTCCATTAAATTTAAAAAATTGTTAACCAAGTTTCTATTGTGTTTATCAATTTAAAAATATAAAAAATACTGAAAGTTACGAATGCCTCGTGTTAAAATCGTGTTTGAATAGACGACTGCACGATAAATTCACACCATCGCGGCGGAGATCTGCAGACGATATACAGTGAAGCGAGTTGCGCAGGCGTGCATTTTTGCACCAAATATACTTATATTTGAATCAAATATTCATTTATTTCTTACAAATAAACATTTTGTATTAAATGCAAATAATTTTATATATTTCTGAGAATAAACCACAAATATTTCGATTAAATATCAGTTTATTTCTTTTAAATAAAACATTTATTTGTAACAAATAAAAAAATTTTAAATATACATTTTTAGTTAAAATAAATATATCATTTCTCTGGGTGTATTAATTTACTTTTGTACGGAGAAAAAATTGATCATAAAAAATTATTACGTGATTTTTAAAAAAATATTCTCACCTGCAGACGATGAATTTGAATTGCCAGTTGTTAAATCCACAATAAAAGGATTATAAAATGGTTTATTATCAAATGACGACAACGGAGTTTGTGGACTCACAGATGATTGATTCGAATAATTCGTTTTTTCATGATACTCCTACAAAAAATTTACTAATTATTATTTTTTTATAACAAATTTTAAAAAATTAACTAAATTCTATTTAAAAATTATATCTTTAAAGGTTTGAAATTTAATTCTCTTTCTGATATTTTTTAATTTTAATTTTTTTTAATCTCAAATTGAAAAAAAATTCTTCTAAAGTTACATTTCAGTATTATTTGATAGTAAATATTAAAACTAATTTTTGGAAATTGTCTATTATAACAAACCTGTTTTGTTGAATAAGTAGGTGCTTTTGGATAAATAGGTGTAGTTGGTGTTTGAGGTTGGTCCTTATCCACGACCCATTTCTCAGATCTTTTTCTGCGTTTTGCAAAAATTTCTGCTCCTGAAATGAAAACACATTTCTTTTTCACATTCATTTATAAAAAAAAGTTTACATTACTATAAATTTAAATGTACAACAATATTTTAAAATCTTAAGTAATATTAAGACTCGAACTTTAACGCCCACATGGGGCTCCATTTCATTTCATTGGCTACTCTTCAAGGTCATGAAGCGGTGATTGGCTATTGTTTCATGACCTTCAACAAACGACCAATAAAATGATGGTGACCATGAAATCGAACATAGAGAGGCAACTATTTCATCTCGACTGTCAAATTTATATCTATAGATAAATATCTACCAGATAAAATGAAAGATATAATTTATAAAATTTTATAAAAATAAAATGAAAGATAAATAATGAAAAATTACAACGAAAAAGAATGTCAGAAAATTTTTTAATTAATCCATATGTAGTGATATTAATGTATCGCAACAACACGGATATAAAAGAAGGAAAAGTGATTTGGTTATTTGAGAACACTTGTTCTAATACAAAATAATTATTAATTTCTATACAGGAACACCCAAAGAAATGTTTTTATTTGAACCAATTATAATTATAATTAAAAAACATAAAGTATCCCGTGCAGAAATTACCACTTTTCATCCCGATTACCGACCTGGCCCCGAGTTAGTAAAAATGTTTACTAATTTGTAATAGTGACTCACTTTTTGCTTATGAATTAGTAAAATTTTACTAATTATTAGTAACTTTTACTAACAATTAGTAAAATTTAACTAATTCTAAAGCAAAAAGTGAGTCTCTCTTAAATTTTACTAATTATTAGTAAAAGTTACTAATTCAGATTTAGAGAGTAAACGAAACAATTATTCAAATAATTTTTTTCAACTTTTATTTTATTTCCATTTTATAAGGTATTTTTTTAAATGCAGATTCATAAAATAAAATAATATTGATTAATTTTATTGTTTTATTTATCAATTAGAGATCTAAATAATTATAATTTATTGAAAATTACAATTACTATAAGATCGGGCAAATTAACATGGCCCTGATCGTGTCCCGACCAGGATTCCAGATCAGGCAAATTGGCATGGCCCCGGTCGGGTTCCCTGTTTCATTTCAATCTGCTGCGACTTTGTGCTCCCTGCATGCTTCTGCCATCTGACGGCGACAGAACGCAATGAACTTGTCATTATATTACTTTCCAACTTTTCGTTTTACAATCGCGTTTTTGTATGGATTCGCATAATATTTTAGATTTGTGAAATTTATAAGATAAGGATCCTTGGTGTTTTGGCCGATTTTGTAAAAAGTGGCCGTGTTTCGAGAAAAAAGTATTTTAAAATCAAATGTTCATCATTTTCACGTTCACTACCGTTTATATATAGGGCGATAATTAATCGCAATTACTTTATTTCAATTCAAATGGACAAAAGTTCGGGTACTTCTTGTTGCTCAAGATTTTGTGTCTAGAATATTGGGTCAAATTATAGTTACTATAATGTCGCTAACAGCATTTGATTTAATAGATTGATCTAAATTTTTTTTGGAGATGTCTAAAATGTAATTGGAAATAGCTCATATGTGGGAAAATTGTGATATTTTGTCGAATTAGTTATTATAATAACTACAATATAGTAACAACATTATAAATTTACCTATGTCAATTTCTGCGTAGGGGTAATATTTTTTAATCGTAATATTATCTTAATATTAAGGTAATGTTAAGTGATGTTTGAGGACAGTTTTTCTCTAGATGCAACTTGAAATGAACCACGTCAGAATTATTTATTTGTACAATATATGAAATTATTGTATTATAACTCAATTTATTATTATTAATAATAATTCACTTCTTTTTTCTCCTTGTATAAAATAAAGATAAAAGAAGGAAAAAACTTTTTTTCTCAATATATATTTTTCATGTTATCAATGAAATATTACGTTTCTTTTTAGTATAAAAGCTTCTTGAAATATTAAATTAAAATCACTCAAGTTTCTCTGAGGACATTTGTCTCTTCTATACAAACGGTACTACATTTTTTATTTCATAAATTATTTTAATTTCTGAAATTTATAATTAATTTTAATGATAATTTATTTTTTAACGCTCATAACTCCCTTAATCCTTTGAGGATCAAATTTTTTCTTTAAAAAATCACGATTTTTAACCAATTTTTCAGCGAAACTAATTAAGGATTTTTGTCTCAAAACTAGTTTGAAATTAGAAATTTATTAAACTGAAAAAATGAAAAACATTGTTTCAATATTCAGTTTTAAATATATAAAGGAACTTATGCATAAGAAAAATGTGTTCCTGAAAGGGTTAATGAAATTATGAGTATTCAAAAATAAAAAATCATTAAAAGTATGAAATTTTGAAAAATTCATATCTTGTGAACGACTTTCTGTAAAAAAAATTCAAAAAAATAGAAGGTGTAAATGCAAAATTTAAAACGATAACAATTTTTAAAAACAAATTGTTTTTTCATATTGTCATTATTCCTTTTTGTTTATTTTTTTTTTCGTAAAATAATCCAAACTAACGTATATTGGTTTTAATCTTGGGAATTTTCCTTCTTTTTATTTTTTCTCATTACAAACAAACGTTGCTTAACAAAAAAATATTTAAATGCACGAGACTGTATTTTCATGATCACTGATTACGAATTTGTTATAAAATTTTTTTGCTATTTTTTCATATTTAGCAATAACTATCCGATTTTTAAATAAATTCCTAGGAAGAATTAGACAAAGAATCGGAACAAAAGTTGTGTATTTTTAAAGAAAAAAATAATTTAAATTTTAATAAAGCTTCGGTGAAATTTTAAATAATTTAATTTACAAAATTTTAAACAATTAGAAATTGCATTTAATTCAAAATTAAAACTATTTATGCATAGGAAACGATTTTAGGTAACATAACCTAAAAATAATGTTTTAAAGTTATATTACCCAAATCGTTTCCTATGCATAAAAACTTTTAATTTTTATTAAACTGCAGTTTATACTTAAAATTTTTTTTAATTAAAATATTTAATATTTCACAGATATATGTATATGATGTATTCCACGCCAAAGTGAAAGATCATCTGCAATTGCATCTATAACTTTTGTTGGAAAGTTTTTTTTAAATTTTGCATATTTTACCCAATAAAAACGAAAAAACCATAAATTTTGAGACTTTTTTTTATGGTTTTCACTAAAAAATCAAATTTTTGGGTATTGTCACTATGATTATCGTAATCAGCGCATCAAAATACATAAAATTACGTAGTATAATAAAAAACCAAAAATATTTTTAAAACATTCAAAATTCAATATTTTTTGAAAAATTCCGAAAATATTGTAAAAATCGCTTGCCCATTATCGGGCTAGGTTTAAAAGTTTCGTAATAAGTAGTTTTTTAAAAAAAAAATCGATCAGTACGTCAAATGAGATAAATGACTTTTTATCATTAGAACTCAAAAATTTGATAGTAATATCGTTTAAAAAAAATTTTTGAGTTTTTTTTTTTTTGAAAAGTACGTTTAAAAACACACATTTTGAAAAAAAAGACTTTTAAAATTGATGCATGTTTAAGGAAGTTATGAGCATTCAAAAATTATAAATGTCATGAAAATTCTCCAATTTTCAAAATTCCATAACTCAAAAACGGCTTGCTAAAAATATTTGAAAAAATTCATGGAAGTTAGTCTCAATTAGTATACTAAAAGTAAAAAAAATCGGAGATGCAATTGCAGATGGACTTTCACTTTCGCGTGGAATACATCATATCTATATAAGTGTATAAAAATTTATCAATGTTTTTAGAAAGATAAATAAAAATGAAAGGATACACATTTTTATTCACGCTAATTACAACACTGATAGTATTGTTGTCGTCTTGTGTTATGTCGCAACTAACATCACCAAGATCAACTTTTCCACCTACTGGAAGCACCATACCTTCAATAATAACGACAGGAACACCGGACTGCATTAAAAATGGAAAACGGTGCAAAAGAGACGGAAGTTTGGGCATTTGCTGCTCAAGATTTTGTTTACAGCAAGCTGGGGCACGTTATGGTGTCTGTCGTCGTCGTTAGTTTTATATATGTACACTGAGAAAATGTTTTGTATAAAGTTTACTCAAAAAGTTGGTGGGGATATATGTAAGTTTTACTCAACTTTTGAACGAACTGTGACACTCGCAGACGAATAAGTACCCAAGTAAAGCATAAAGTATAATACCAAAAGTAAATCAGTTTATGATCAAATGCATTCTATAGTTTAGTCTAACATTTGTTTTCATCTTTACACTATACTGTTTGAACACACTTTAAGAAATATATTTTAATAAACATACAAGAGAATTTTAAATATTAGAAAAATGCCCATGTGTAGCCATTTTACATAATTTTTGACTATATACTTTAAACAAATCGTTTTCTCAGTGTACCTATATATGTGATGCTCCATAAAGGAAGGGACATTACGTCAAAAAAATTTAAAGTTATGTTTAGTGATAGTTTTACTCACGAACCCTGGCGAATTGTATGATGCGAATGCTCCACGAAATTGGCGGAGCATTCCTGGAACAAGAGGTTGAGATTGAAATTTTGTCTCAAATATGTATATAAAAAAAAGATGAAATATATAGTTAAATGATTGAAACAATAAGATTTATGTTTTTTATGATGATTATTGTTAAATAATTATAAAAATTTAATGTTTTTATTAATTTCAATCTATTACAGTTTATTATTAACATTTGTCGATAAAATTAATAGAGCCGCGCTTTTTAGAAGGTAAGCGCAGCACTTATTTTCCTTTCCTTAAATAACTCCAGTAATTTTTTTATCAAAAGCAAATCTTTTATTTGTTAAACTGAAATATTGGTCAAAAAAATGTATTATTTTATAAGTCTAATAATAAATTTTGTGATTTTTTGAATTCGTCGACATCCCGGCAAGAAGACTGGAATAGAAAAAAATTAAAGTTATTTTATACTCGTATACGAAATTGATAAATTTTAATTCCATTTAATACC